GCCGTGAAAAAAGAAAAAAAAATCGAGGTGTTTTCGGTGAATTTTTTCAGGGTTAAAAAGGCACAAATCGGAGTTATATTTGGTCGGAAAATTAAAAAGTGCCCGCTCTATACACGGGTTTGAAATTTCAGACCGCCGCCTTTTGATAGCGGCCGAAATTTATTTTCCACTCGCCACAGTATTCCTCGCGCGCAGCCGCCCGACACGTTAATTTCACCCTTTAAGAAAAATGCGTTCAAATTTCGTTAAAGGCTAATTCGCGTGCGCCCGTCAATAATCCGGCGTCAAATCAGCGGCCAGGGTTGCTCTTCCTGCCTATTGGGCACTCTGAGCTCACGTTCTGCCCTTTCTGAAGGTCACAGGTCGGTTTTGAGCGCGGGCGCGGCTTGTCGCAAAATCTATAAAACGTCCCAACACCAATTTATTTTGGTCCGGAAGTTGGAGAAAAATCCTGCAATTGCACTTTTTCACTCGGCGAGAGCAGAGCGAGCTGTTTGATCGCGCGTCCTGCTCTCATGAGAAAAACACGCGTATTTTGCTCGGGGCGCACGCTCGCCGATCTTCCCAGGATGATTTTCTGGCGCCCCACCCGATTTCCGAGGGCAAATTTGAGATCAAGATTACACTCGAGGTGACAAAAAATAGGTCTTCTCACTCCTTTTAAAATAATTGAAATTAATTATTTTCTCCAAGTAAATTTGTCAAGTTATATTTCATATTCAATTTTCAAAGTGCACCAAAATTTGAAGTCACGTGATGCCATCAATTAAATATCTATTTTAAAATCAGCTCCAGGGAATTTTATCGTAAAAATTTCCTGAGTTTCAGATTTTATTCTCCTTAGGAAAGTGAACGTGACACGTGATCTGATTAAGGTGATTTTCAATTAAAAAAATTAAAAAATGATAATCAAATTCAGGGAATTTATGCACCTTGAGAACCAGCACCAGAGGTCGAACCAACACACTGCACGATCCAAGGGCTGACAAAAGGGCGGTGCAGTCAGCCCCTGCGCCCGTGGTCAATTCGTAACATAAATGTTGGCCTCTGATTTTAATTTAATTTCATTGCGATTCTCTGATAACAATTTAATTTCTTCTCCCACTCAAGGTCACTTGGACCAAAACGGTTTTTTCGCTCCATTTACAATTCAATTCCCTCGTCGAGACACCGATTGGGCCCTCAAGATTTGTTCGTCAAAAATTTACGGTACAAGTACTAAAATAACAAAATTCTCGCGGAATCGCTACCAACTTTGATCCAGATAAATATTTTCTTTAAAGAATAAAAGAGGAAAAGTAATTCAATTTAAAATAATGATTGCTGAAAATTTGAAATTTATAATTGTTGTGAGCGGCAAAGAGCGGAATGCCAGGTGCATTAATTAATGCTTGTTCCGCAACACGTGAGCTCAAGATAATTGTAATAAAGAAATCCGCACTTTATCCAGGAAATTAAAATGGGCGCGCATTGATGAAGAATCGAAACGTTTTAAGCTCTTTACCGCGAATGATGTTTCGTCCATTTGGATCCAAATCGAGATTGAGCGAGCTGCATTTTTATTTTGACGAAAGCAAAATTAGGTCACGCGCAGTCACATTTAACAGTAAGCATCAGTTGATTATGTACTGAATTTGCATACAACATGCTAATTAGTTGCATCACTTTTTTCGTCTTTTGCAATTTAAAAAATTAAAAAAAGCGCGTCGACAAACAGCACAAACACCAGGGTTCGTAATTTAAAATAATGCAATCAATGCTTCAAATATGAAGTTGATTAATAAACTCGATTGAATTAAATTTTCAATCAGCGCGATTTTATTTTCATTTTTGTGCCTGCCTCTCGTGAACACGTCTCTCGTCGCCGTCCAGACTTGTTCGCAATCGTTTCGGAGGTCGCAGCAGCCGCAGCCACCAGCAAGCGGAGGGAGTTTGCGTCTCTCCTGCCTCAAAATATTGCGTGGGGCCAAAATGGCCGGGGAAGAGATTTCAATCGCCGATTCAAATTTTTGGCCGAATATCAGGGCAGGTGCGTTTTGACAGCAAAATGGAATCTTTAAATTCAAAGAATATAAAATTATGAATTGCAATTTAAGTAAAAACCAATTTTTAATAAAATGAATTGATTTTAAATTTCAATGTAAGTTGAAAAAATAATAAAAATTTCAAAATTAACAAAATGGATTGTAATTAGAATGTTTATATGCATTAGAGCTGATTAAAAATTCAATATTTTCATTTACTATTCAAATTAGGACTGATATAGATGCAAACGAGGTTAGGCAACCTGCGTGACAAAAGAAAGATGCGGGTTGCCGGCCCTTGGTATCAACTTGATCAATTGTAGCCGAGAGACCGAAAAAGTAATCAACTCCGTCAAAATTCGGCACCATGACGATTGATTCCGCCAGGGTTTTATCGTCTCTAGAGCCTTGTTTAATATTTCAATTAAAATCTACTTAAGGATCGTTAGACCAGTTAAAAGTTCTCGTTTATCAACAAAAATTAATTGATTTTTTATTTCAAAAGAAAAGTTAATTACAACACATTTATCCAAAATTGTGGTTACAGCGGTAAATTTCAATTAAATGGATTAAAATTACAATAAAGCTTGCCACAAAGCGTTTATCAGAATTCAACTTTCCTCTCGAAATTGTCCTATTTTGTTTAGCGCATCGCTCATCAAAATTTTCTATCCGCACTGCTAGCGACAGTGGTGACACCTCTACGTTTCTCCTTAACCGTAATTGCTAATCAGGTCAATTAATTTTTTTCTTTCATAAAAAAAATTTATGCATAATATAAGAGTAGCTGATTATAAAATTAACATTGAATTTTAATACTATAATTAGGGAAGAATTTGAATGGATATAATCCACGGATTAATTTATTAAAGTTTAATTTCGTAATATATTGAAATTTTAAGAAATGTATAATTGAATATATTTCTCTTTGTATAATATGGTTTTTAAATAGAACATCTGACTAATGAGGAGGTTAAAAAATGTCATTACTTCTAATCAATCTCAAGCCATCAGAATTTCTACAAGAAAAGTTTGGCTAAGCCAATCTCTGGCATAATTAATCTGACGAAAAAGAGGCATTCTTAAATCCACTGTTGCCTCACAATGAAAAAAAATTCTCACAAAATTTTAAATGTCAAAATCCATTACAACAATCAAGTCGAAACCAGAAAGAGGCTAGGGATGATTTCAAATCGTAGGACAAAAAATTTCATTTTTAAAAAAAATAAAAATTTGTTTACCTATTAAATTAAAATATTAAAATTCAGCAACTATTTTGCACAATCATAAATAATGCAACGTTAAAAAATCAAGACTATTTCGAAAAGACAACTTGCGAGTTAGTTAGAGAACCTGGAGAGAGAGGCTAGTTGGAAATCGTGGTGCACAAAATTTTAATTTCTTAAAAATTTCAAAATTAATACAATATAAATTTAAATATTGTAATGGATATACAGCAAAAAATTTTTAATTTGCACAATTATTAATGTTACGTTGGAAAAAACTAGACTGGATAAGAAAAATTGCGAGTTGGTAATTAAGAGGCCATGGAGAGAGAGGCTAGTTTCAAGTCGTGGTGCAAGAGTGTCGAAGGAGTTCTGAAAAGCGCGAGTCCAAACACGTTTGTTCTTGTTGGCCTCATCGAGAGCTGAAAAGCGCGAGCTCTGATAAACTATAAGGCTGAGGAATGCGGTCGGGCAAAAATTCCTCTCTCCTCACCCATATCATTGTGTGTCCACCAGGAACGGGAATTTGCAGAAGTCCTGGGGATTCCCGAAAAATTTGCCTCCCCGAAGCGATTGTGCACCCATTTATTACAAGGCAGATGTGAACCGGGAAAATCCCGGAAGCGAAATAATGAAAAATTGAGTAAAATAAACCGAGTTTTAGGAATTTTAAATTTTTTATATTTTTCGCTGTGAATGAGAAAAAAAAACTATTTTTATGAATAAAAATTTCAAATTTTCACTGGGTTAAAATAAAAACCTTATTATTACTTAAATTATTTAGAATTTTCATTACATATATGTAAATTAAAATTAATAATAATGACCGGGACTAACTAATAACTTTTCGGGAACGTGAATTCCCGAGAGATATTGACTCAGAACTCAGCGCGGGAGTGGGTGGTAAAAGGAGAATTTTCCAGGTTATGGGATTCGTCCTCGAGAGAAAAATTTATGTAAGCTCCCGATGGACTCACTCAAACAATTAGCATCTCTGAACGGCGGGCTACGGGCTAAGCGACGGAAAGCACCTTCAAGCCGCTCCCGGCCCCGAAAATCTCGCATTTGCCAGTATCGCCGCGCAATTAAATCCTTTTTCATGAAATGGGCAAACGGCAGCCCGCGTTCGCCGGCAAGGTATAAGAAATAGATAAAACGCGATTTCGCGCATAAAGAAAGAAAATTAATAGACTTGTGGCAGTTCCACAGCACCAGCAACAACACCAAATTCATATACACAACAATTCAGTCTACCACATGGCCATCCGCCACAGCCCGCTCCGCTAGCTTGCAGTTCAGGGTCCTGCCGTCGACATGACGATAGAAGACCGAGCTGTGATGGATCAAGCCCGTGTGTGGCCACACACTTTTCCCACAATGATGCCCAGACAAAAGAACCGAACATAATCATCAATCATCACGACCAATCCAACCAACCTGCTTCGAGCGACACGCCCCTTGCCAGCATAATGAGTTCTGCATAACTCGCCTGACAGGTGGCGCCACCTCAACGCAGAAGAAAGAAGCATTACGACCTACAGTCTCAAAGGGGGAACCCCTGTGGCAGTTCCACAGCACCAGCAACAACACCAAATTCATATACACAACAATTCAGTCTACCACATGGCCATCCGCCACAGCCCGCTCCGCTAGCTTGCAGTTCAGGGTCCTGCCGTCGACATGACGATAGAAGACCGAGCTGTGATGGATCAAGCCCGTGTGTGGCCACACACTTTTCCCACAGACTCACCAGAAAAGAGACTCGGGACGCACTTTCTTCGAAGAAAAAATCAACAACAGCGGATCTGTTTAAAAGACCTGATAGCAAAAAAGCACGCTGTTGTCGGACCTGGGTCTCGGATTCGGAAAATGTGGTTAGAAAAGGCGGAAAGTGGCTTGGATTCTGGAGGCTCTTGGCACGTCAGCAGCAATCGTCGCTATGAGGGATCGAAGCGCGGGCGAACGGTTTTGTGGGGCGCGCATTGCTGCTGCTGATTGGCTGGCTCCGGTTCGGTGCCAACGACGCTCGCTGATTGGTCCTTGCTCGGCAGCGCTCGGCCGACCTGGACTTTGGACTCGCGGCACGCGCTGAAATAAATCCGCCACCGCAGAGAAAACGTAAAGCAAAAGAGAATAATGAGAAAATCCAACATCCAACATCCCTCTTACAACTTGCACACGATCCGATTCTACATTTTCGGTTGCGTCACCACCAGATATATAATAAAATTCCCAGTTGCAATGAATTACATCTTACATATCCCAGCTTTTTTACCATCAATTTTTCATGAAATTTAATTAATTGATTCTTGATAAAATTAAACGGTTTTTCCCTTATATAAAAAACGCTGATTATATTGTAATTAAATGAAATATGAATGATATTTTGATTATGCATGCACATAAATTTCAAATTACAGAATAATTCAGTTTCACATGCGCGAGAAGTTAATTGCATATTAAGATTAACTTTGATTTATGTAGTTTTTATTTTTATGTACACATAAATAAAAAGAATAAATAAAAATCATTTTATATTAATTATAGTTTGACCATAATTTCTGTAACATCGGCAAGATGATAATTTGTATGATTAAACATTTGATCGAAAAACATTGTGAATTTCAATTTAAAGGTTAGATTAGGGTTTAAATAAAAACAAAATTATGTATTTTTTTAATTGCTTATCAGGATTGCGGAATCTTGACGATTATTAGAAAGAGAGAAACCGAGATAAACTATTGATAAAACACATATTTTTATTCTAAAAAGAGGTCAGGTATATTTTTATTGATATTAGGCTCAACGTTAGTGAAGTTGGCGCGATATCAATTCGGCTTTGGCATTTTTTAAAAGTGGAGAAGTTGGCGATATCGCCAACTTTTTTATCTTAAAAAAGGGTTATAAAAGAATGCTGATTGCGTTCTAGGGGATGCATTTGGCTATTATACAGTAACCCGTTATGCATTAGACCTCAAGTACATAAAATGTGGATTTTTCGCGATTTACACCCTCACGGCCGGGTTCAGCCACTTTCTAACCCACCCCAACTTACACTCTTGACACCCTTACATAAAAAAACCGAAAAAAACAACCCTTGCATCGCGGCTGAACCCGGCCTTCTAATTTAATTATTCACCCGAAGGTATTTTTATGGTGCCGACTACAGTGAAAAATCGGTTTCGCGATTTAACACCCCCACGGCCTTGTTCCGCTGTGTTTTTTTCTCCTAGCATATCAGCTGTTTGAAATAACAATTATTTTCTTGATTTGATTTCCTGAATAACGAAAAAAATTACACCCCATGTATTTTTTTGTTTTTAAGAAATACAATTATTATGTCACACACATTTTCCAGAATTTTGGTTTATTAATTTAGCACTTTTTTATCAATTCATTTAATTTTTATTGTTGTTTCTTAAAATTGATTACTATTACATATTCCACTTCAATTATCATTTGAGAATTTCATTTTCTTGATATAAATTTAAAAATTAGTAAATTTAGTATTTTAATCTAAAAATAAAATTTATGAAATTTTATTAGGAAAAAATTTATAACAAGTCCGGGGCAGGAAACACATATGTATACATACATGGGTAAAATTGGGTTAAGTTAAAAAAATCCTCATTCAGTAGCATGTTTATCAAAATATTTCAGATGACACCATCAAGAAAATCTCAATCTTCTCAAAAGTGGTAAAAAAAAAACAATTAAAAAAACTGGGAAATAGAAAATTCAAACCAGACTGCTACACATTGATAATTTGACTTAGAAGTTTATGAAAAAAAAACAATTAGTAGCAAACAGTAATGGGTTGCTCTGGGTGATGCTAACCTGTATAAATACATCGATTTAGAGTTAAAAATTAAATTGAATAAAATATATTCTTTTATTTGAAACTCATTTGAGTACAACTTCAACTTAACTTAGAGAAGTTTAGGAAGCAATTTTCAATGTGGTGCGCGACAAAATAAAGTTAAAGTCTTTCACTTCATTTTCAAATAGTCATTAATACTAAGGACGCGATTTTTGCACTCGGCCAGGTGTACTGGGTGCCTTTCTCACCGCATAGCAAACACACCAGGAATCACTTTCGTCGTAGCACTGTTGTCGCTCAGAACTATTGCTACAGAATTGAATAATATAAAGAAAAATGTAATGCATATTTTTAATAGAAATTTACATTTCAATTGAATTATTTTTAAAAAAAAAATCCAGATATGAAAATGACAGGCCGGAAAGATAATGCACATAGTAAACCCCGTAAAGTTAAAAATTAGTTTCTTGTTAATTTTCACAATTTTATAAGACACAGTCTTCGTCAAAATTTTCTATTTTAAATTATTTTATGGGAAGTTTGGAAATTTTCAAGTCGATCAAAATTCAAAGTTGGATAATCAATTTACAGCGGCCAGCGATTTGTGGAAATTTTTTATATAAATATTCAATTGTTAATTAAATATTTAATTCACTAATTTTTTTAAAAATTGATAAAAAAAAATGATATTCAGGTGTCATCGGCACCATAAAAATACCTTCAGGTGAATAATTAAGTTAGAAGGCCGGGTTCAGCCGCGATGTAAGGGTTGTTTTTTATGTAAGGGTGTGTAGGAAGTAAGTTGTTGTGGGTTAGAAAGCGGCTGAACCCGGCCGTGGGGGTGTAAATCGCGAAAAACTGATATTCAGGTGTCTTCGGCACCAGAAAAATACTTTCGTTGAGTAATTAAATTAGAGGGCCGGGTTCAGCCGCGATTTAAGGGTGGTTTTCTTACGTAAGGGTGTCAAACGGGGTGAGTTAGAAAGCGGCTAAACCCGGCCGTGGGGGTGTAATTTGCGAAAAACTGATTTTTCACTGTAGTCGGCACCATAAAAATACCTTCGGGTGAATAATTAAATTGAAAGGCCGGGTTCAGCCGCGATGTAAGGATTGTTTTTTATGTAAGGGTGTCAAGAGTGTAAGTTGGGGTGGGTTAGAAAGCGGCTGGACCCGGCCGTGAGGGTGTAAATCGCGAAAAATCCATATTTAATGTACATCTAGAGGTCTAATGCATAACGGGGGTTACTGTATAATAGCCAAATGCATCCCCTAGAACGCAATCAGCATTCTTTTATAACCCTTTTTTAAGATAAAAAAAGTTGGCGATATTGCCAACTTCACTAACGTTTAGGCTCATGTAATTATTTAAAAATTACGACAAAATTGCTTTGCATTCAAGAAATTATACTCCTGATGAAACTTTACTTTGAAATATTGCTGCACAGGAATGCAGAAACTCGAGACTTAAGACAGAACACAAGATTTTCATGTACAGCAAACAACAAAATTTCATGCCGATCCTCGAGCACAAATAGAGAAAAATTCCACCAGAAATTAGTTTTTGCTCTCTCTCGTTTGCGCTGCACAGACACGTACAGACACGAAAAGAACAAAGAACTCGTTTGGCTCCGCCAAGGATCGAAAATCCGCTTCTCAGAGATTCTGCTGCTTTCTTGCCACGTTGCCAGCGCTACTTTTATGCGCGCATTAGATTATACAAATTTTTTTCTATCATTGCATATATTATGTAATAAAAAAATAAATTATAGCGCGACTTATAGGATTGAGATACGCTTAGGAAAAATATTTAAGTTTTTACATTAAAAATAATAATGGTTTATGTTTCTTCGAAAAGGATTCTGTATAAAAATTACATCTTACATATCCCCGCATTTTTACCATCAATTTTTCATGAAATTAATTAATTGATTCTTGATAAAATTAAACGGTTTTCCCCTTATGTAAAAAACACTGATTATATTGTAATTAAATGAAATATGAATGATATTTTGATTATGCATGCACATAAATTGCAAATTTACAGAATACAGAATTCAGTTTCACATGTGCGAGAAGTTGCATAATTAAGATTAACTTTGATTTATGTAGTTTTTATTTTTATGTACACATAAATAAAAAGACTAAATAAAAATCATTTTATATTAATTATAGTTTGACCATAATTTCTGTAACATCGGCAAGATGATTAATTTGTATGATTAAACATTTGATCGAAAAACATTATGAAACTCAATTTAAAGGTTAGATTAGGGTTTAAATAAAAACAAAATTATGTATTTTTTTAATTGCTTATCAGGATTGCGGAATCTTGACGATTATTAGAAAAAGATAAACCGAGATAAACTATTGATAAAACAAATATTTTTATTCTAAAAAGAGGTCTGGTATATTTTTATTTTTTATTGATATTAAGCTCATGTAATTATTTAAAAATTACGACAAAATTGCTTTGCATTCAAGAAATTATACTCCTGATGAAACTTTACTTTGAAATATTGCTGCACAGGAATGCAGAAACTCGAGACTTAAGATAGAACACAAGATTTTCATGTACAGCAAACAACAAAATTTCATGCCGATCCTCGAGCACTAATAGAGAAAAATTCCACCAGAAATTAGTTTTTGCTCTCTCTCTCAATTGCGCTGCACAAACACGTACAGACACGAAAAGAACAAAGAACTCGTTTGGCTCCGCCAAGGATCGAAAATCCGCTCCTCAGAGATTCTGCTGCTCTCTTGCCACGTTGCCAGCGCTATACTTTTATGCATTAGATTATAATTTTTTTTCTATCATTGAATATGTAATAAACCAAACAAAATAGCTTATAGCGCGACTTATAGGATTGAGATACGCTTAGGAAAAATATATAAGTTTTTACATTAAAAATAATAATGGTTTATGTTTCTTAATCGAAAAGGATTCTGTATAAAAATTTTAATTTCCAATAAATGCATGATTATTTTTAATTAAGCCCGCAATTTAATTTGTGAGAGCAAAACTTGAAAATAAATCAATTTATGAAATAAAAATAGCAATAAATTTAACCTGCGCATTTAAATAACGTATTGCATAAAGCTTTTTCTATTTTAAATGGTTTTTATCCTAAAATAATTATACCTTTCATACTTGAATTATACAACTTTTATTCGCAATTATAGCATATACTCTGGCAAAATACATATAATATCCCTATTAACAAAACAGAAGCATTAAATTAGCAAGACGTTAAGTGATTCAAAAAATTATTAACAGTTTAGGTTCTTGGTTCTTTGCAAAGAAAATTATTAAATAATGCAATAAAATTTTTATTTAAAACAATCAAACTGTTTCCGCCAATGGCTTGTTGGTAACAACCAATTGTAAGCGGCGGCCAGAAAGGAAAATTTCTAGTCCACCAATAGGCGTTTGCGTAGCTCCACGTGTGTTGTTATTCTCGTGCTTTTATGACACATGGTCAGCTTGGAATCGGTGATTTTGTTGATTCTTTCGTAATTTTTTCTATAATTAATGCACTAAACTTTAAAGTAAGTTCTTATTGAGATTTGATAATCATTGATTTTTGCAAGAAAAGAGTTATTTACACTCAATTTCCCTGAACAATCGTTAAAAAATTCATTTTTATGCTGCAGCACAAAAATGGAATCGTTCGAAGACACTGAAGACCCATTTCCTATCGCAAAGAAGAGCAAGAAAAAGCAGGGTGATGGTTTCAAAGGAATGGGCTTGAGTCACTCGATTTTGAAGGGAATTCAAAAGAGGGGATACAAAGTTCCAACTCCGATTCAAAGAAAAGTAACGTTGCCTTTAATTTTGTTTATAAATACATAGTGTCTTTAATTAAACATTTTATTTACCCTCTGCAGACAATTCCTGTAGCACTGCAAGGCAGAGACATGGTTGCAATGGCTAGAACTGGTAGTGGAAAAACGGCCTGCTTTTTGATTCCTCTTTTTGAAAAGCTGAAGGGCCGAGTTGCAAAATCAGGCGCTAGAGCAATGATCCTTTTGCCAACAAGAGAATTGGCACTACAAGTAATAACAAACTTATATTGTATGTGTCTGGAATAAAATGGCTTTATTTATTTTTCAGACTCTAGGGTTTATAAGAGACATTGGAAAATTTACGGACTTAAAAAGCTGCATGATCTCTGGTGGAGACAACATGGAAAGCCAGTTCGAAGCTATTCATGGCCACCCGGACATTATCGTAGCAACCCCAGGCAGATTTGTACACCTTTGTGTCGAGATGGAACTTAAGCTGAATGAAATCGAATTTGTTGTATTTGATGAGGCTGATAGGTATATTTTTGGCACAGAGCTATTTCAGATAAATACGTATTAAAACAAAATTATTCATCCAGGCTTTTTGAAATGGGATTTGGAGAACAACTGAAAGACATTTGCGCCCGACTTCCGAAAGGAAGACAGACTCTGCTTTTCTCAGCCACACTTCCAAAATCTTTGGTTGAATTCACCAGGATTGGGCTCTCTGACCCTGTATTGATCCGGTAAATTTTTGCTCTTAAAATTTTTTTTAATCTTTTTATTTAAATGCACAAATAGATTGGACGTCGAATCAAAGTTGTCTGAAAAACTTGAATGCAACTATATCTGGTGCAGACAGGAAGAGAAAACGTCAGTGCTCCTGTGTCTTCTGCGCAAATTGGCTGAAATGCATGCCAACAGATATGAGAAACCTCAAATTATCATTTTTGCAGCAACGAGACATCACGTTGAGTTTATCAATACGGTAAAATATAATAAAAAATAAAGAAGATACGTTGACTTAAACATTTTTTGCCCTGTAGATTTTGGGTTTGGCAAATATCACCAGCACTTATTTGTACTCAAACTTGGACCCATCTGCCCGAAAAATCAGCGTCGGAAAGTTTCGCAATCGCTTGGTCCAGGCGTTGGTGGTCACTGATATTGCCGCAAGAGGTATCGACATTCCTGAAGTGGGGGTTGTGATCAATTACCACTTTCCGGCCACCCCAAAGTTGTTTGTGCACAGAGTCGGTAGGTGCGCCAGAGCTGGAAAATCTGGCGAAGCTTACACATTCACCACCAAGGAAGACATTCCCTATTTGCTAGACTTGCATCTATTTCTGGGGAAACCTTTTGATCCCAGTCAGCTTGGCCGAGTCCCGGCTGACTTGCTGGAGGAAGATCAAGCACTTTTGTTGGAGTGGCATAGAGAAAAAGCAGATTTGGTTAGTTTCGGCAATGAAAAAGGGGAAACATAATTAATTTTACTAATTTAAAGGAAAGTATGGAAAATGTGTGCAACAATGGATACTCAAAGTATTTAAAATCAAAACCTGGAGCGTCCAATGATAGTATCAAAAGAAGTAAACAGTTGGCACTGTCGGTCAATACTTCTCACCCAATTTTTGGCACGGATATTACCAAAGAAGGAGATGATTTGTTAAAAAGAATGAAAAACTACAAGCCAAAAGCCGTGAGTCGTTAAAAAACGAAATCATTAGATGTTAAAACTCATTTTTGTATTTTTATTTGCAGACTATATTTGAAATATCAAACTTTGGAGTAAAGGAGATGAAGCAAAAGAGAAGCTATCACGAAGGAGCGATTGCAAGTCACAGGAAGAGAGGCCAGAATGAGCCAAGTTTGTTTCCCAAAAAAAGTCAATATTTTTAATTACTAACAAAAATTTGTATCAGTACCCACCGCTAAGAGCAAGAGAATTAAGTTGAGAGCAGATGACAATTATGTGCCTTACTTACCGGAAGATCACCATTCTGAATTTGGGTATTATCAACTTTTTCATTTTAATTTAAATTATTTTTTTAATATTAATGTTATTAGCTTGGCTGTAAATAATTTTGAACAAGCAGCAAGAAAAGTTGGAATGGATGTGATGGGAGACGAAGAAAAACACATTCAGTTGCAAGACAGAATGAAGAAGTGGGACTCGAGGAAGAAGAAAATGGTTGGCCAGAAGGTAAAGATAAAATATTTACAATCAGCATGGGAATGGAAATTAATTTTATTAATCTACAGACGACGCAAAAGAAAATCAGAACTGAGTCTGGTGTTTGGATTTCCGCTACTTATAAAACTGGCAAATACAAGCAATGGAAGGACAAGTCGAAGGCTGATGAGCAAGACGATGATGATGAAGAAGAGGGTGGTGCTCGTCCAGACAACAGACAGCTTCAGATAAGAGGTATTATATTTAGGTTGTTGTATATAACATTAGTGTTATTTTAATTTTCCTAGGGTGGAAAAATGCTGGTCCTGGCAAGGGAAAGAAAGTAAGGTCAGAGCTCAAGAGACCAGAACAAATCCACAAAGTAAGAGAAAAGAAGCTACGAGCTATGGAGAAATCCAAGAAGAAGAAGCCAAAGGGCAAAGGTAAGCCACGTAGGAAGTAGTGCGCTATGTTTTGGGAAACATGTTAATGGGATTTCAAAAGAATAAAAATCAATATTATCTATTTCATTGCATATAATTAACAACTAAAATACATTAAGTCCTATAGCATGGAGTGCATCGTTTCACAAGTGTAAACTCTTGTATATAAAATATATAGTTGTGTATACTTTTTTCCCATCAGTTAAAATTTCAATTTAGGCAAGATTGGATTGCACATTGCATTCTGACATACCAGAGTTAAAAATTGAGGTGTGTAAAATTTTACATGCTATTAACTCTATCCCTGAGTTGGTGCAGCTGCTCTGCTATCGTATTTGGCAAGTCGCTTCCCACTTGCTCATCGAAGTATTTTCCTATCTGTTCAACCTGGAAAATCAAAATTTCTTTATTAATGACTTCCTGCATTTGCAAATTGGGATTTTAACCTCATTGAGCCAGAAATCTTTGGGAACACTAAACAATTGCTTGGTGTCGATCGGTTCGTCCAGTCCATCGAGATTGATTGCTCCATCAGAGGGAATGTAACCTATCGCAGTCTTTTCCGCCATGCTCTCGTTTCCATCAAGCCTATTAAGAACCCATTCTAGAACTCGGACATTTTCTCCAAATCCAGGCCACAAGAATTTGCCCTTAAGAAAATGTTTATATTTTTTATTTTGATTTTAACAAATCAATAATTACTTGATCGCTCTTGCGGAACCAGTTCACATGGAATATTTTTGGCATTTTTCTTCCAGGAGTCTTTTCTAGGCTAAGCCAATGGTCCAAGTAGTTACCAAAATTGTAACCAAAGAACGGCCTCATAGCAAATGGGTCGTGCATTATCACTTTGCCCTAGATAATCAGTAAAGGGTTTAGAAAAGTTTTGCATAAGGCTTTAGAATTAGACACCACCTTATGTTCGGCAGCCGCTGTTGCTTCCGACCTCATTGCAGCTCCAACGAATACACCATGTTTCCAGTCAAATGATTCGTATATGAGAGGAACGCCTTGAGGACGGCGACCTCCAAAAAGAATGGCGTCAATTGGAACGCCCTCGGGAGACTCCCATGCTGGATCTATGATTGGACACTGATTTGCCGGACTGCAAAATCTATAAAAGAGAATATAATATTATTTACTTGATATACAAAAGCGGTGTAAATTGTGTTGCCTAGAGTTAGGATGAGCTGCATTTCTGCCACAATCTGGCGTCCAGGGCTGGCCTCTCCAGTCCGTGACCTGCACATTTGGATTCGGCTCCATGCCCTCCCAGTAAACTCCACCATCCGACGTTTTAGCAACATTGGTGAAAACGGTGTTTTCAAATATTGTCTTCATGGCGTTAGGATTCGTGCTGTACGATGTGCCTGATTTGCAGAAAAAAAAATTAAAAATACCATTTTTAATAGAAGGGCAATTTAATTTACCTGGGGCAACACCAAAGAAGCCATTTTCGGGGTTAATTGCTCTAAGCCGACCCTGGCTGTCAAACTTCATCCAGGCAATGTCGTCTCCAACACATTCAACTTTGTAGCCTGGCAAACTAGGGGTCAGCATAGCTAGATTGGTTTTTCCACAAGCACTTGGGAAAGCTGCGGCGATGTACTTCTTCACACCTTTGGGGTTGGTTATACCCAAAATCTTTCAGAAAAATTATATTTAAATTTTTGTTGAAAATGAAAATTTGATTGAAACTCACGAGCATGTGCTCCGCAAGCCATCCTTCGCGCTTGGCAATGGTAGAGCCAATTCTGAGCGCCAGGCACTTCTTGCCCAGCAAGGAGTTGCCTCCGTACCCACTGCCGTAGGAAATAATCTCGTTGGTGGCCGCCTTGTGGGCAATGATGGTCCTGTCCGGCTCGCAAGGCCAAGGATTGTTTGGCTCAGTGGACCGGCCAACCGAGTGCAAACACTTGACAAAGTCGGAACCGTTTTGAATCGCTTGCAGTACAGGGGCTCCCATTCGGGTCATAATTCGCATCGAAGCTGCCACATATGGCGAGTCGGTCAGCTCAACACCCAGTTTGGCCAGGGGAGAGCCAATTGGGCCCATACTGAAGGGCACAACGTACATTGTTCGTCCTGGAGAAGAGAAACAAATTGCTTAATTTAAATTACAGAAAGCATTAAATATATAAAATAATATTTTCACTCATAAATACTTTTGCGCTAATATTTTCTATCAAAATATTAAAAAAACAGAATAGTTCCAAATATTTAAATACTATTTTTTACAAGCATTATTTAGCTATATTAAAAGGCATAACAAAGGTTTAAAAAAAAATATAATACACACACAGTTATTTGACGCATGGAGGGATTTCTCTATTTATGTCAACGTTGCGGTGTATGGAAAAATTATTGTGGCGCAATGGACATTGATACGGACGCACCACGCACGTCAGACCCTCAACTCTCGCATGATCTACTGGAGGTCAGTGGATACGTGACTCACGGACCGTGCATGAAATACGGACATTAACCCGTGTTGAAGTTGTAATTTTTCAATACTGCATTTGTCATAAGTAGATGCAGAGGACTTTGAAAAAACAATTCATAATTTATTAAATGTATTCGCGAGATAAAGCAATGACCTAAGGTGAACCTTGAAAATTTTACAGCCTGGTCGCAGGTATATTTGGATCTTATGATCTTATCTTTTACGGCAGCAAACATCTTTAACCCAAAGTCGCAAAAAATTTATATTTTATAATACGTTCAATCTTAATTTGATTTCAAAAAATAAATTACTGATTGATAAAATGTTAATAAGAGGAAATAAATTTGCCATTGCATTTGTTAAGAAACTTCTTGATTTGGATATTTGACATAATAAATGTTATTTTAAGGTAATTGTATAAAAAATAGTATGCAGCAAATAACTAAATAATCCTTGGAAGTTTGAAAAACTAAAACAAAAAATAATTTAATTCTCAAACAATATTGTTCATTCCACAGTAAACATTATTTTTACGTCCGATAATGAAGTTAATGAGAATTAATTAAGTTAAATTTAGATTTACTTTATCAATTAAATCAACAATACGTCAATGCAAAAGTCGTTAAATTTTTATCACCGCGCGTGGTAAATATTTGTCAAGTGGAAAAGCGCGCAGCAACGTTGCGAAATCTGCGAGTTAACAAATCCTCGCGCACGCAGAAATTTTTTTAAAAAATAATAATAATTATTCATCCTGCTTTTGCGTACTCAGTACACAAGCGGCAAGTTCAAGGCAACAAAAGCGAGAGTGCGGTCGAGTGACGGGGGCCCGTGGACCGGCTGCTGCCAATCAGAACTGGTCCCGACCAACACACCCACGGCAAAAAAGAAGAGAAAATTGCACTCTGTGCGCTGGACGTGCCTCCCGTGTAAATTTTTCAGCCTTTATTATACCTTTCATGCAACCCGGAAATCTTTCTTGGACTGCCTTATTGAGGTCGTCTGGAGATATCCAGTTGCCTAAGGTGTTCTTGGCAGCTGAGCCGGCGGGAACGGTGTCCCTTTTGTTGTCGGTGCTCATGTAGGTGCGACTCTCGACACGAGCCACATCTCGAGGGTCTGTGAGGGCCAGCCAGCTGGAAAAAAAAGCAATTGCATCAATTCTGGGTCGTTCGGAATGCATACACCGCGTTTTAATTTTTTTAACAGGCAAATATTGGCAAATATTACACAAGATGAGAAAATTAAAAAGTCAAATAATTTTACTAAAGCATATAATCAACTGAAAGTGCTAAATAAGTTAAATAAATTATAGTTTAAAATTGGATTGAAAGGTACGTAAATACAATTTCAGGTAAAACGTACACACAGACCTCTATAACATCTAATTAGCAATTGGGATCAATTTTAATCAAAAAATCATTTTTTTTTTTTTTTATAAAAATTTTAGTTTTTTTTTTAAACCAATTGAATAGTTCATTTAAATCTCTAAAAATTTTAGAACTATTAAAAAAATGATATAAACAATAATAATATAATTTAACTGAAAAGTGCCTCATAAATTATTAAAAGTTGGATCAAAAATAATATTATATTCTTCAATAACATATTTGAAGTGTTATTTTTCTCTCTTTGTAATTACATAGTTAATAATTATGCTTTGATGCAGTACGGATAAACTAAAGCGGAGCACGAGCTCAAACAGAGAAAGTGATCTATGCACCCGACGAGCCCACAAGCAAGAGGGTCAAGTTCATTCACCACTTGCGCTCTATCTTTCACTCCGCGCGAGATGTACCTCATCGATATCGCACCGAGACCATGAGAAGAAAGCAAAGATCAACAGTGGAAATTAATCTTAAAAGTTAAACGACGCGCATTAATCCTCAAATCAAGTAAAAAAAAAAAAAAAAAAAAAAACACCTGATCGGAAAAATATTAAATTGGCAGCTCAAGAGTGCCCTTGGAGCTTGAGAGGCGCAATTTTGCCACTCATGTTTTGAAGGATGTCCAGAAATTATTTCATAATCAACAAGAAATATTTTTTTTTAAGTTATTAAATTTTGTTATTCAATTTATTATATAAATGAATTCTCAGGTCAATTGAATGAAAAAAATTCTGCAGAGCTGCAGGAAAATTCAAAGGCTAGCAAATTTCTAGAAAAATTCCTTGCTGGCAAGATCTACGCGTCTTAGCAGAAAATATATAACTGCAGCTCAACATGAATAGTTTTTCTTTTATCAAACACAATCTCAAAGCTTTTTTCTTTTAAGTGCTCCACTTTCTTTCACGACATACAACATGCACTAGCTGCATCCGCCGATAAGAGGACAAGACATTGAACAAATAGCATATAAAAGTAAAGCAGCTACTGCTGATGCGAGGTGATATTAAAATAACAGCACTCGACAGTAATTGCAAATGCAAAAGCTATAAAGAAAAAAGCTAACTGTGCACTTTTCAATAAATTAATTGATCACGATTTTTTATATATAAAAAAAAATAGAGACAGTGAATTATGGGAGGTGGTTTTTGTTAGTTAAAAAATGGTGATATGTACCAGTTTTTGTATTTGGGCAGAGGCTCGAGGGTTCCAAGTTTAACCATGACAGAGATGAGTTTATCATTCTCTGCCTCCGAGCCATCACAGATATGCACCTTTTCGGGCTGACACAGAGCCACGTTTTTCTCAACAAATGTTTGCAACTAAAGGGAAAGATTCGATTTAAATGCAGTCCGAAGAGCGGCGTCCGGCGAACGTACCTTGGGGCTCAGGGCGGCGGTGCCTTCCAGATTGCGTCTGCAGACCCTGAAGGCCACACGGTCGACGGCCAAAATGTGTTGGAACTTGTTGCGAGCTCCAACATAGCCTCTGAAAATTGAAATCAAAAATTTCCTACATGACTTTCATTCAGAATTTTCCAAAATGAAAATTTTCAACTTTTTTTATAAAAAAATATTCAAACGAATATTTTAATTTTTGAAACAATATATTTCGTGAGGGTAAGAGCGAAAATGTGTCGCAGCAAGTGTGACTAATGTATTTTAAATTGCGATTCAGCAGGACGTCCTTAATATGTTAAAGGTCCAACCGCGTAATCAAAAGTGACGTATGTATTATATTTTAATGCGACAAAATACATCGGCGGAAAATAATAAAACACGGAAAGGAAAAGTGTGGAAAGTATTTAAACGAGAATTTACCTCGAGTAGATATTGAGCAGCTTGGCCATTTCGAACAGACTGTAGCCAGCAGGCTTTGTCTTGATGGAATGTGAAAATGTAACTAGATTCGCAATTTGCTGAGCCCTCACTGCCTCAGCAGCAGCCAAACAGGGATAAGCCGCGAAGTCGCAGAGCTTTTCGTTCTTCGATCACTCGAAGCTCTAAACCGGTACGGCTCCGTCCAAGCGACAACCGCGACCTGCTTTCGCACGATCCCGTGCAAAATTAGTTGGAGAACAAGCGGTTTTCGCGGACGGAGAACCGGTATGTACACGTTTTGACAGGTTGCTATGCAATGTGATCGAATTTGCTAGCAATCACGAGAAGACGGGAAAAATTAAGTAGGGTCACCAACCTCACAGAGTTCAATAACAGCACCGGGCTGCGAAAAACCGTCGCAAAACTAGGGGCTATGAACATTTGCGTTCTTTTAATTGGCACCGTGGGTTTAATTGCGCAAATTATTGCATCAGCAGGGACGCTCAGACCTGTTGACAGTAGTTTCATCTGCGCAGCACTTATCGATCCGTGACCTTAAAGTGTCAAGTTGGCAATAGTGCGTTGGGTTTTCAGCAGCTGTTCCTTGTTTATGTTGTAATCGCAGTTAGTTGCTATTCTCGTTTATGTTTGCACGCAATTAACGATTTGCAGAAAATGTTGGACCTGGAGATTGTGCCCGAGAGGTCTTTGGGATGCGAAAATTGGGAATTCATCCTTGGTAAGCGATCTGCAGCTTGAGAAGCTCGCAAAACTGAACGTCGACCTTGTTTACAGGGATGCACTTCTCCCAGGCAGTGTCAGTGATTCAGTCGCAGATTGGCGTAATCAAGGGAGTGCACGTACTGTACAGTGAAATGGTAAATATCATGCATACCTGTTGATTATCCTATGCACATATTTCTTGACCTTGACAGTCGTGCATTGTCAATAACGCCCTAGTTTCGTTTCAATGCTAATTATTTGGGACAATTAATGTCAACAATGACGTAATAATTTGCAAAAATTTTTCTTTCCAGGATCCCCTGAATACTGATCTCATATTAGATCTCACCCAAGATGGGATTCGACTTATCTTTGATGCTGTTGTTCAAAGACTCAAGGTAAACTTCTAATATTTATTTAAAAATAAAACTTCCAAGCTTCTTTATGTATAATTAGATTATAATTTTGATAATTTTTGCTGCTTGAACTTAATTTAATGAGGTGATGTTATCGTAGGTCATCGAAGTGTACAACATGAAGCTGGTCAGGCTCAAGTACTGTGGCGTTGTCTTCAATTCGCATGAGACTGTTCCGACCGTGGAACAGATCGAGAATTCGTTTGGCGCCACTCATCCTGGCATGTACGACAGTGGAAAGCAGCTGTTTGTCCTTAATTTCCGTGGTTTGACTTTTTACTTTCCTGTCGATTCAAAGTACCAAGTAGGTTTTTTTTAAATCGTCTTGAACAATAAAATAGTAAAAATTCCACTTTAAGCCGGATTATGCCCTGGGTCTTGGCTCACTGCAATTTCCCAGTGGATCAAGTCCCGTGGTCAGCTGCATGGCCATATACTCGGGTAACAACTCCTCTGAGACCAAGGCGCCTCTTCTGCCTTTGTGTGTTTACATGAACAATGTTTATCTGCAAAAGGTGGAGGTCATCAGGGAGGCTCGTAAAACCTCTGGCCTTCGCCTGCACCTTTACAGCGAAGGTAATATTGTCTTTTGAATGTTTTGAAAATATCAATTTTTTTTAATTTTTTAGGACCATCTCGGTTCTTGGAATATAAGAGCCAAAACCTAACCAAAGAAGTTTTCTTTGGGGACACTTGCCAGTCCGTGCTCAGTTCTTTGGGCACCCCTTCTCGAGTCTTTTACAAGTCCGAGGACAAAATGAAGATTCATAGTCCCAACTCTAACAAAAAGTCGTCCGACGCTCATTCAGACTACTTCTACAATTACTTCACTCTAGGACTTGTAAGGCTGATTGTTGTTTTTTTATTTTAACTGTCTCACTAAAGGCATGTTGTTTCAGGATGTTTTGTTTGACTCCAAAACTCAACGGGTTAAGAAGTTTGTGCTGCATACAAACTTTCCCGGTCACTACAACTTCAACATGTAAATTTTCAAATGTATTTCTTTGCATTTCATCACAACTCTTTAATAAATTTAGGTATCATCGATGCGAGTTTGAGTTGGTTCTCCCCCAAGACAGCAGAGACAATAGTAAAAAGCTGATTAATATCCCCTGCCAGACAGTGACGGTAAGTTCTTTCAAAATCGATTTGGAATTTTGATCATAATTAAATTTTTGCTCAGGTGACGACCTTCACTCAATGGGATGCGATCTCAGAACAAATAAGCCCCAGCGAGCGGCCAGTGGTGCTAAATCGATCTTCTTCGACCAACACAACAAATCCTTTTGGATCAACCTTCAGCTACGGCTATCAGGACATAATTTTTGAAGTGATGCCGAACAACTACATTGCCTCCCTTACCCTGCACAGTGAGAGTGAATAACACAAGCATTGCGCCCCTCTGCACTAGCTGATGTGAGCACCACTTTCTATTCAAACTGGTTCAAACAAATCATTTTCAAACCACACAGTCTTCCCGTTTGGAATAACAATACTCAAGAGTTGTGCAGAGAGGAGCATTAGACGTTCGTTTTAGATAAGTCTAAATAATAGACATTTGCTATTAAATTGATTGCCTATTCGTCTTGGATTCATTCCTCCATTCAGTGAGCAATACTACAATTCTTTGTGCAAAAGCGAAGTAATGACAAATCATCAAAAAGTAAACTATACCAAGTATATAATTTTGTATTGGAAAAAAAATGAGACAGAAGTTGATTAATATTATTATGCGATAAATTCTTTCTTTTTGCTTTATTTTAATTTTTTGTGATATTTTAATGCTATCATTACAATGACTTTATGATAAGCATAATTATATATTTTGCAGTGCTGATATTTCTATGATTGTCTTCAATCGATAGTCTATATTTATTTTAATAACGAATGACGTAGGCTTACTTAACATTAGTTGAGCGTTTATTTAACAGTGAGTAATTGTCTTATATGAATTAGCAGGCACAATCAAATGAAACATCTGAAATGAAAATATATATCTCCACTTTAATTCTACTGTTCAACAATAATAAGACTCCAATAAAAACTTATACTCAAAAAATAACATTTTGCAATATCTGTTAAGTTCATTACATGGGGCTTGTAAAATTTGGCACAATGATATTTTCTCCCTGATACCCTTAAAAATTTCGATATCGACAGCAATATTGTACTTTTGAATTGGCAAGGCACAGACAATAGTTACAAGCAGGTTACAAGTTACAACAAAGGCAACATTACATTCTGAAAATGCCAAACTTGGTGTCTGACAGAGGCACATTCATAGCAGCACTCAAACTCAAACCCAATACTCTCCTCGTATCCATGGGATCGATGACGCCATCATCCCAAAGCCTAAAAATTTATTATTATCGAGAGTAAAAAAAATTATTGTTATAACCTTACCTTGCGCTAGAGAAATACGGACTACCCTCTGCTTCATATTTCTGAACGATAGGAGCTTTCAACTTTTCCTCTGCCTCTTGTGTCCACTTAAATCATTATAAAAGTTTTACTGTGAATTTATTTATTCACAGATTTAAAAAGCAAATTTTACCTCCTTCTTGTTTCGGATCATCTGATCTCGTGTAATTTGGGCCATGACTCCTGCTGCCTGCTCACCTCCCATCACTGAGATTCTTGAGTTAGGCCACATGTATAAAAATCTGGGTCTACAAATGTTTAAATTATTTAAAAATCTCCTTTTTCTTGCACTGAAATTACCCATAAGCTCGTCCGCACATGCCGTAGTTACCAGCGCCATATGAACCGCCAATTAATAGAGTCAACTTTGGCACATTGGCACAAGCAACTGCCGTCACCATTTTGGCACCATTTTTAGCAATGCCTCCAGCTTCAGCATCTCTGCCAACCATAAAACCTGTAATATTCTGAAGAAACAGCAGCGGGATTTTTCTTTGGCAGCAAAGCTCAACAAAGTGGGCACCCTGAAATAATTATTTGATTTTATTTCAATCAATAAAATATTATTTTGGATTTACCTTGAGAGCTGATTCAGAAAATAACACGCCATTATTTCCAATGATCCCGACGGGAATTCCGTGGATGCTCGAAAAACCCGTCACAAGAGTATCAGCGTATCGAGCCTTAAATTCGTCAAACTTGGAACCATCCACGATTCTGGCAATGACCTTAAGGAAAATTTTTAATTATTATAATACAAGGCTTCCATAAAAAAGGAACCTCTCTGACGTCAAATGTTTTTTTGAGATTGCCACCAACAATGCCATATAAATCATCAGCTGGGAACAGGGGATCTTCGACAGGTGCTTGGACGGGGGCTTTCTTGTTACGATTCAAATTGCTAATTACCCGACGAGCAAGATGGATTGCGTGCTTATCATCCAGAGCATAGTGATCAGTAACGCCAGAAGTTCTGCAAAACGTCAGCTCCCAAATTTTGCAAATTAATGAAAATGGTCAAAATTTACGTGCAGTGGAGGTCAGCACCGCCGAGGTCTTCAGCCGAGACTTCTTCTCCAGTTGCTGCTTTTACAAGAGGTGGACCAGCCAGGAAAATAGTGCCCTGTTGCTTAACTATCACACTTTCGTCAGACATGGCAGGTATGTAGGCACCACCAGCAGTACAGATACCAAGGACAACAGCAACCTTTAAAATCGATTAATTGAAATTTTGATTCAAAATTTATTTTCTGCAATTTCATTACTTGAGAAATGCCTTGTGCAGACATATTGGCTTGATTGAAGAAAATGCGCCCAAAATGCTCCTTGTCTGGGAAAACGTCAGCCTGTCGAGGCAGGTTGGCACCGCCAGAGTCGACCAGGTAGATGCAAGGCAGGTTATTCTGCAGTGCCACTTCTTGCGCTCGAAGGTGCTTCTTGACAGTTACGGGGTAGTAGGTGCCACCTTTGACGGTGGCATCGTTGGCCACAATCACGCATTCTGTGCCGTGCACTCTTCCTATTCCAGTGACAATTCCACCGGCAGGCACGTGCTCATTGGGGTAGAGGTCATGAGCAGCCAGCTGAGAGAACTCGAGGAACGGAGAGCCAGGGTCGAGGAGGAGGTCAATTCTCTCACGGGCCAACAACTTTCCTTTTTCCTTGTGACGTTTAATGGCAGTTTCACCTCCACCGGCGACGACTTTTTCAATGTTCGAGCGAAGTTCAGACACCAGTTGGCGCATGTGAACGTAATTCTCCTAAATATTCATAAAATTTTTATAATTGAATATAAATTTTGCATTACAAAATACCTTGAACTCTGGAGAATTTCTATCAGTATCATTTCCGATAGCGACGGCAACTTTGTCAGTGTGATAGCGGTTCTTAAAAATGCTTCTTCTCAGCGGTGCGATGTTTCGTAGCAACGCAACGTTGAGCCTATTCATTTTTGTGGTGTCTGTTTTGGTACAGTAATATTGAGATTCCGGAATTCGATGTAAAATTTAAGTTGATTCTATCAATTAGAAGGCAAATGAAAAGACTATATTATTACAAAATTCTACTGTAAAAACGAATTTCGTTACCGCAGTCCAAATCAGTCCTTTTGATATAATTAATTCATTAACATCAATCTGCGATCTTCGAGGTTGCAAATTTTTGACACACCTCCTTTTGTCCTTTGCGCAAAATGTTACACCCCCTTGTCGTAATGCGCATGCGCTACCTCTGTTCGGCAGACATTTTTCATCTTGAGTCGTTTTCCCAGCTTTCAACAAATCTCGTCGAAAAATTGCCATGTTGTCCTCTAGGTTGTCTCAGGTCGCCAGAACCTTTACGACCTCTGCCATCAGGCGAGGTGGAGACCATCATGTGACCCTTCCCGGAGACGTAAGTTGTTTATTTCGTGCACAATAATGTGCGATCTTTTCATACCAAGAATTTTTGCACGTTTGAACCCTACTTAAAAATTTTTAATTTAAGCTCTATGTCTGAAGGTTACCTAAAGTTATTAGCACTTATCTTGAAGATAACCTTATTTTGAATCTATGCAGTCAGTAAAATTTATTAAAAAATTTTACAGTGCCAATTTTTCTCAACAGACAATGCCTTGTTCGGGAATTAAAATTTCGTAGCATCAATTATTGAAAAGAATTAAAAGTACTTTTAAGACGGGGGCAATAAATATTCCAAATATTAAATGAAGAATTTTATTTGATTAACTTATACTGTTGGATCACTTCTGATCACCAAAATTAAATTGGTTTTAAATTTAATCTCGGTCTCTATTATTCGTAAATTTTGAGAGTCGGCAATGCTGCTCGATGTTCTGTTTTCATTGATATCACTGGGAAATGCTGGATATGTTTCATGATTTTCACGAAGTGACTTTCTACCATAATCAGGGACGTAACTTTGAAGTCAGGGGTCCTCTTGAAACTCATGTAAAGTAGGCAGCACCTTGACACATGTGCGTTGTGGGTTGCATAAAACGTCGACTTTGGTATAGGCCCTCGGAAATGCGCGACCAATGCCCCAGGAAGTTACGCTCCTGGCCAGAAGCATCATCCTAATTTTTTTTTATAAATATGTATATTGATTTATATTGGAGCGTATAAAAATGAGTTTTTTTTTTAATATCAAATTAATTGTCTGCCTATTTATGAATTACAAATTTAAAAAATTCTTTAAAAAATTATTGTATAATATAAGTGATTGGTTTTGTTTCAGAACCTGCCATTCCAAATCAAGAACAGGTACAGGCTGACCGCCCTTTTCATCGTTTTCTTCGGCAGTGGCTTGGCTGCTCCCTTCTTGATCCTGCGTCACCAGCTCCTGAAGAAGTAGAATGCCTTTTGTTTCCTAGCTGTTATAGAAGTGTACAGATTATGTATCTAAGGACAAAAAAATAATAAACCCAGTGGTGCGTTATCAACAAATTCGCACATTATTTTATATCCCTTTACTTCAATTTTATCTTCAATCAAAGAAAAGAAAAAAAATTGTGTTTTTGTCTAAATTTTTTAGAATGGTGAAAATTCATTCGCCTGTATTCTTTTCTTCTGTATCATTCTGTATTTTAAAATTAATCAAGTATTTTCCAATTGACCTCATTCTGCTTTGCACAAGATATGCAATGAGCTTGTCTATTTAAAAAGGAAGACGTTATTAATTTTAATAAGAACTTTCAAGCTTACTGTGCTTCTTTTTATTGAAATATTTTAAACGCTCTTCATTCTTGCGCCTGTTAAAATAGTTTGTTACATATACAAAATTTAAAAAATATATTTTTTGAGGTGTTTCTCTATTTTTTTTTTTTTTTTTTATTCTCTTATTTATTTCTACAAAAATAAAAAGCTTACTTTTTGTAATAATTTCAGAAAGCAGTTTAACAGAATAACCAAAAAGATTTTTATTTTTTACACATTTCCTACTGTTGTACCATAATATAATTTTCATAACAGGTGCAAATTTTTACTGTGAAATTTTGTATGTCAATTTCTCTACACTTTCGCGCTACATTTTGCTCGTGGATAGTCAATCAGGCAAATGTGAGCGTGCATGTATAGGGTGCAAAAACAGGAGAGACGTGCGTTAGCCGAAAGGGGTGCGAGCAAGTTCGTTTCCGGCGCGCTGAACAATCAGATTATTTCCTTTGACAGGAGGCGAAAACGCACACAATGTCATCGGCTTTGAGCTGAAATTAGCAAAGTGTCCAGTCGGACGGTGGCGGGTCGACGAGGAGTGCGGGGGCGGGAGAACGCGCAGGGGGAGCGTGTGTGTGAGAGAGCGAAGCGAGTGTGTGTGCTGGATGATTACGCACGGGAAAATATGAGTAGCGAGTTGCAAAGAAGAAAAGTTGGTGGAGAGCGCTTGCGTGCGAGTTGTTAAGAAGCGAGCGAGCGACATTGATTATTTGGCAGCGAGTCGACCAGCAGCTAGCCTGGGGAGGAAAAATGCTTCGGCGGCCTGACGGCACTGCCAAATGTGAACGACCCTAGCAATGGGCAGCAATTGTTCGTCCAGGCAGGCCCACAAGGACAAGGACAACAACTCACCTTGCTCCGAAGAGTGAGTTAGGGCGGCGGTATTTTGGGCCAGAGCTATATATAGGCCCGCATTTACATGTTGCGCCAGCACCAAAGGGTTGACTCTGCTCTTTCAACCCGTTATTCTGAGCATCTCTCTTATTTATTTCGCTCCTCTTCCCGCACCGTGCCTCTAAATCTTGAATGGTCCCATTGCAAACTCCTCAATTCTTTCGTCCGGCAGGCCTCGGCAGGGTTTGTTTTGAAATAAAATGATGAGTATTTTTGCGGGGGTTGGTTTCGCGGTTAGGGGGCACCTTGCGTGTTGCATCTGCCGATGCCGGGAAAGGATAGAGGAGCTTGCAATCACTTGCAATTTTTTCTCGGCTAGTTGGAGAAGAAAGGCGCTTTGTGATGTGTTTCATGTGGGTAAATCATTCGTGGGTGGGACGAGCAAAGAAATATAGACTCCAATTAATGGAGGATTAGTTAGACTGATAAATGGGGCTTAGAACAGATGAAAAATTGTACAATGGTTGTAAAAAATCTATTATTATTAAAAAAAATTGATATCAGCAATTTTAAAATTTAATGAAATAAAATTTAACCTGTTATTTTCAATCAATCATCATTTTTCAGGTCACCTTGCTATCAATTGGCAAAGGTCGAGAACAATGCCAATGAGACAAAGAACAATCACAAGGACGATGGAGGTGGTGGAGGAGTTGCTCACCCTGACGACGGCAGAACTACTGCAACTGCAGTACCGAACAAAAGTAATATTTACTATATACTTGGTTTTTTAAAATTATAATAAATAATAACCTTTTCAAACTTTATAGCAAATACCGCACAATCAAAAATATCATCAAAAGAAGAGAAACAGAGACCGAAAGAGCCGCCACTGTCCTCTGAGCTGCTCAAATTCCCTGGTCACCTGGCCAAACTATTGACAGGTCGAGCGCCCGACTCAAGCAAGCCCATCAAAAAGACGCACAAGATCGCCCTTTATGTATGCGCAGCCGACTCCCAGGATTGCTGCGTTGAAAAAGGCGTACTGCACAATTTTGTGTACCCTGAGCTCAGGTCCATTTGCAGAGGCAAAGGGTACGAACTGCATATCGTCGATCTGCACTGGAAAACGGCGCTTGAGAAGCAGCAGGACCATGAGTTCCCAGAACTCTGCCTCGGAGAATTAGCTCGTGAGTAATTAGTATTATTTTAACGTTATATAAAATTGAAACAAATTGTTTAATTTTTTAAGGCCAAAGCGAAATCGCATATGTTATTCCCATCATTTTTCTGAACGACTCGCTCGGAACACCTCTACTGCCAAAGACCATCGAGAAACAGGACTTTGAATTTGCCCTCAACAGCGCCGAGAACAAGGAATTGCTGCAGAAATGGTACAAACTTGACAGTCATGCCCAACCTCCATGCTACAGGCTGCAACCGATTGGCTCACACATTCCAGGTTGAAAAGATATTCATGAGCATAGTATTATTATTTTTCAAAGCAGTACTAGAAAACTTATTTAGGCTTTTAATATATATTATCATTTAAAAATATTTCCAGCAAATGAAGTTTAAATAAAACTTGAATATTTTCATGTAGGCGTCAAGGAAGAGGGAGAAAATGAAGTGGCCCTCAACGAGTGGCGCCTCGAAATTGAGCGCATCCTGGCCGTCATGGTGGAAGTGTTTCCAGCTGAGTTGCGGGATACATATCTGACCACTGTGGTGGAGCAGGAGGTGCACAACACGGTGCTGATGAGCCAAGAGTTAGCCAAACGAAGCATATGGGTTTGGAGGGCGAGTGCCCCACAATCTGCCGATGACGCCGCAGAGATCTCCACGGGTTTAGTTGAGCAACGGCGGCGTCTCGAAATTCTTCAAGATAACCTTAAAGGTCAGCTGGCTGAAAAGCACATCATCAGGGTGCAGGCCAGGGACCCTGAGGCCGAACAGCAGAAACAGTACGCACAAGACCTGGCGGAAAAACTGGACGCACACTTGCAAACTGCCGTCACAAAGATCATCTCAGAAGATTTGGCAAAGGTAAATTGTTATCCATGTTAAAATATAATTATAAGGTTTTCTATTTTGCTTTGTTTACTTTAATGAGATTTGCATTATTACTTCTATTTTTAAATCAAGGGTCAGACAAAATTGTCTTGTAAAAAGAATAATCGATGGTATCAGCGCCTGCGAAGGCTGAAGTATGCAACCGGTTGGGTTTGCGTGTTGCACAGGTTGCATACATTTCAACCGCAAATTCAGACAAAATATTTACATATTTGGGTATTATAATTGAAAGAATTTTCTGTGCTTATAGGACCCGCTGAAGTCCTGCTTAGGAGTCAGCGGAGAACTCTTCCAAGAACTGGTACAACAAGCAAACTACTGCCAGAAAGCTGCCCAATGCAACATCAACCGAGAGGAAGTATTGCAGCATGTTAAAAAGTATTTTTATTCCTATTAAAAAAAATTAGCTTATTACAACTCATAAAATTTCCAGTTACATTTTAGAGAGCAGCACAACTCCGCTTGTTCTGCATGGGCCAAAGGGTTGTGGGAAAAGTGCCCTGGTGGCAAAAGCCTTCCAAGCCATCAAGGTGTGGCAACCCGAGGCGTACAAAATCATCAGATTCACAGGTCTCACACCTGCAAGTGGCACAATGGAGCAGCTGCTGCTCAGCATTGTGATGCAATGCTCCGTTCTTGCTGGGTGCGAGGATTGGTACTGCCCACACGTGAGTTTTTGGATTGTTATTTGAAATGTCTCTTAGAACAATATTAAATTACACAGAGTGTGTCGACGTACGGAGAACTGCTGCCAAAGTTGTTAGCGTCGGCTAGTTCTCGAAATCCACTCATCATCATGATTGACGGAATCGACCAAGTTAGAAGCTTTGGTTGCCAGTCTTGCGAGTGGCTCCCCGAGAATCTTCCTGAAAACCTGAAGCTGGTACTCTCGGTTGACGAAGACAGTGAAATGTTCCAGACCATTCAAGCCAAAGTTTCCGACCCAACCAAACTTGTTAAGGTATTAATTTCTAAAAACAAATTTGAATGAATATTTCATGCGACTACCCCATATCAGGTCCCTCAACTGGGGAAAACTGAGGCCAAGAGCATATTGATGTCTGCTGTGGTGCAGTACAACCATAGCATTAACAAGCAAATCCAAGACTTTGTGCGCAACTCTGTCATGGAATGCACTTTACCATTATATATTAAGGTGAAACATAAAAATATATTATTTAGAATCGTCTTATTAATTTTAAATTTCTCCTTAGATCTTGTCATGGCAGACTTCATTGTGGGTTGACAAAGAGCACACAATCCTTCCCAAGGGGAATGTCAAGGATCAATTTCATGCATTACTCGAGGAACTTGAGACAATCCTTGGCCAAGTCAGAGTATGCATCTTTTTCTCTTTTTCATTATGCAGGAACCATTAATTTTTTTTTCAATTTCAGATCAAAAAAGCATTATCACTCATTTCTGCATCTAAATTTGGACTGTGCGACTCAGAAATGCTGGACTTGCTGGCACAAGACAGTGTTTACCACAGTGAGAAGACTTATGGTATTAAAAATTAATTCAAATAAATGCATCAAACTAATTATTAATTCATACACTAGTACCATGGGCACCAGCCTGCCTCTTTTGGGCGCAACTCAATAAATACCTTGCGCCATTCCTCGAATGGACCAGGGTGTCGGGTGGTTACTGTGTACGCCGCTGGAGAGACATCAGCTTCCAACAAGCAGTCAGCGACAGATATATGGACGAAGATTCAACCAGGGAGGCGCATGAGAAGCTTGAACATTATTTTAGCAAAGGGGTGGTTATTGCTGATGGACTTTCAGCCAGAATAGTTCAGCAACCAAACAAGGACACTGAGTTGTAGGTTTTTTCTGTTATAAAAATTTAAATTTATACCAAATAATTTTAAAAAAAGAGTACCTTATCAACATAGCAATAAAAATGAAGGTTTAAAAACCATAATTTTCTGAAATAAAATTTAATTTTCCATTAATGAATTGCTTTCCTTTTCAGATACAACATCCGAAAGCTAGTTGAGCTTCCTTATCAAACATTTGCTGTGAGTGGGAGCATCGAAGAGCGCTTCCTACTTGACGAAGAATGGCTGCTGGACAAAGTGTGCGGCGCTGATGTATACCAAACGCTTGAAGATTTTGCTTTGGAAGGGAGCGGTGACGAGGCGGCCACCCTTCGGAAGTGCTTGGAAGAAAGTAGCCAGGCTCTGGCCTATGACGGCCGACAGCTGTGGGCGCAGCTGCATCTCCGCCTCTCACACATATCACTTGAGGGCCAACCCCGATTGCAAAGGCTGCAAAGCATGTGCGCGGCGCCGCCGATCGCCTCGTTGATGCCGCTGGGACCATTGGAGCCCTCTGACGAGCCACAACCCATCAACTTAATCACGCGGCTGCCTGAGATGGTGCGATTTGTCTGCACATTGGCCACTGAAAAGGGCGAGGTGGTCATTTGGGACGTCTGCACCGGCCGCCAAATTCGCACACTGACCAACGTTCCGCAGCCATCGGCCATCAAGCTCATCGATTGGCGTCGGTGCGTTGTTCTCTGCCGCCGAGAGCTCACCGTGTTTGACCTTGACCAGGGTCAACTACTCAAAAGGTTTGTGGTTTAATTTTGTGTAAAATTATCTCTTAGCCTTGGGGCCTTTTTACAGATTGAAAGGCGTGATGAACCAAAAAATGCCCTACTTTGGTTTGCACGACGAGCACCACCTTGTCGCCCTGTCCCGAAATCGCATGTATATCAACCTGATGAACCTGGAAACAGGGGATTGCGTGACCACCTTCAAAGCGGGCGAAGACCGTTTCCTCGACTCTCTGCTTGTGTCCAAAGATGGTCGGATCTTGGTGTGTGGAGACGAAACTCAAAAGCCCTTCCCGTTGTTGGTGTGGAGCCTTACCTCAAGAAAACTCATGTACGACTTGCGCATTCCTCATCACGACTTTGTCACCAGTCTCGCAGCCATCACGGACGAGGGACATTACGTTTGCAGTGTCTGCAAGGTGGGTTTTAATTACAGAGCTTGAAGCAAGCAACCAATGCAAACTTTTACAGGAGGTAGACGAGCCGTCGCCAAATTTCATAATTGTCTATGACCTTCAAAGTGGCACCTTGTTCAAAAAGTGGAAACCTGGCGTCAACACCGTTTCTATTGCAATCTCATCATCACAGGACAAATTCGTGATTAGTGGACACGAAGACTCGCAAATTTTGGTTTGGGATTTGACGACCGGTAAACCTTGATTGATTTAGTGTTGGGGAAAAAAATTGAAATTATTTTATAGGTAACTGCCGACACACTCTGAGTGGACACACTGCCCCAGTAACCATGCTGAGATTAGACTCAACTGGCTCCTTCTTCCTTTCCACTGACTCATTGTGTCGTGACCGTTCATTGAGATTATGGAATCTGAGTTCTGGTAAAATTTTGAAATTTATTTTGTGAATATATTATATTGGCATTTTCTACAGGAACCTGCATAGCTGTTTTCACGCCTGACTATCCATTCACTGCATGCGAATTGGCCAACGGTGGCCGTGCAGTGATACTAGCAATCAAAGGCCAAGCAGGGATATTAACGTTGCATTTAAAGAGCACACAAGAAGAAGAGGAAAGCCAGGAACAAACATACGGTGATTCAGAAATGGATGGCCAAGTTGTTACTTTAAATGATGAAGACTTTCGGTGACAAGCTAATTTATAATTCTGTATATGTGTTGTCAAGACAAAACTCAAGTCAGTTTCATCCTTCATTTCTCCTCATGTCAAATGAATGTGTCATTAAAAAATAAAGCCCATGATATCAACTAGAATATCTTAAAAGTTTTCATTACTTAATATTACATGAAATTTTACAATTGGACACCGGCCAAGTAATCGTCGAATTAATATTTTTAAGTATTGAGGTTGATCACTTACGAGTAAAGAAGCTCATGATGCCAGCCTGCTTCTTTTTTGCTGGGGCAACAGCAGCTTTCTCTTCAACCTTCTTGGTTTCTTCCTTCTCTATTATTTTTACATCGTCATTTTCCTTGGTGTCAATCTTTTTTTCTTCAGTGACCCAGACCTTTTTGGTGACTAAAATAGCAAATTTTAACATAAAAACTATTCCTTTATTAATTTTATCTTGCTTACCAATAAAACCTTTTTCATCTTTAAACATCTTGTCGACCAGCTTGCGTTCACGACAGACTCCTTCTTCTTGAGACACTTCAGGCTCCTCCTTGGCAGCAACTGCTGTTGGTGGTGCAGGCTCGTCTACTTCGACTTCTTCAATTTGCCCTGGGACACAATATCTTATGCTGTACACTGTGTATATTATTGAATCTTCATTAATTACCTTCATTGTCACTGCTATCAGAGTCAGACTCAATCACAATCCTCTTCCTCTTCTTTTCAGGATGCCCGTTAGATTTTGCAGGTTTCCTCTTCGGAGCCACTTTTCCGTTGCTCGCTTTGCCCTTATTATTTAAATTACTCTCCACTGCTTTTGATTTGGGTTTCGTCTCAGTTGGTTTGGGCTCATCTGAATGAATTTGAGCTTGAAAAATTCTATAAGTAATAATAAAATAGAGAATACCCTCTTCTATATCTATAGGTTTCTCCTCTTTAGCAGCAGGCTTGGGTTCCGGCTTTGCCTTGGCAGGAGCAGCTCCTCGTTGAAAGAAATTTGCAATACCCTTTTGCTTGCTACTGTTGTTTGAATTTGCCTGAAGCTTTTTGGATTCCTGGTTTGTCATAGAATAATGATAATATTTTTTTAATAAAATATTAGAACCTTCTCAGGCGCAGAAACTTCAGTCTTCTTCTCCGCAGAGGCCTCTGGCTCTTTCTTAGTATCTTTTTGCATGGTAGGAGAATTTTCAGGCTTAGGTTCAGATTTGTCTTTCTTAACTTCTTCAACCTTCTTTTTCGTCATGGCAGGTAATAATGGCGTTTTAGCAGTTGCGAATTTTCTTTTTCCGTTGCTTTCTTTAACCGAAACATGCTTATTTTGGATGCCAGACACTCTGAAGATAATAAAAAATTGTGATATTGCTACAGTTTTAATGGTAACATAATCAACAGCTTACTTTTCTGCAACATCTTCAATTCTTGTTGTCACGTCGGACAAAATTTCAGTACTCTTTGACCCTTTATAGACGGCATAGACGTGACTCGAGGATGACTCGTAGAAAGACGAATTGGTAATTGTTTGGACATCTTGCTTGTGAACCACGCAAACATGCCATCCAAAACCATTGCTTGATGGAACCTTGCCCGAGACAAGGTGGGTTTCAGAGACTTTTCCTTCCTTGCCATCGGCAAAATCAGCGAGTATTCTGCAATAAATTTTTTAAGCCTCAATAAAAAAACGTTTAAAAAATATTACAACACCCATACTTTTTTGCTTTGTTAACGTGGACGTCCAAGTGCTTGCTTAGTCTCTTGTATGAAACCTGCAAAATGTCCGGAAGAATCAATAAAAAGCTAAAAGATGTGTATATAATTGCGTTCAAAATTGTGTCAAATGCGAAGCAGTTTGATTTTTCGCTGGATTTGCATGTAAATTACAATCAGTAAAATAAATAGTTAAGTTTTACTAACGGGCACGTCTTGTCCAATGACAAGGTCCTCAATTTCTTCAAAATGAGCTCCCATCTCCTCTCTCGGCATTAAATTTTACTGGAATTATGCAGCGAGTAAATTTTCTTTGTTTACAATTTTATTTCAGCACGGAACAAGGCACCGCCACTGCTCTCATATGTTATTGGCGCTGTTTCCCGCGTTGTTCGATTCGACCAATGAGAATTTTTATATAAAAAGAAGGGGCTGATTTAAATTTTCTAATAAAGGGACACGTGTGACTAACATTGCAAATTTAATTTTGTTGGCACATCAGATTTCATTGCCAAGATTGCAAGATTAAAAAAAATAATAAAACGTCTTTTTATGTGTCCTATTAAAAAAACAAACATGCACTGAGACTTTGGAAAATTTGGTTATTATGACATATAACCTAAACTGAGCAATTTTTTACATTCCACATGGGTAACCCCAAATTTGATGTTGGCACCCTAAAAAATTGTGTGGCTTATTCCTCATGAAACGAAGGCACACTCCATAAATTTTTATAAACAAACTCAAAATTTTGCGGGTTTTACGGGACATTTTGGAGGAATAAAAAAAATTAATTCTTGGCTCCCAGTAGTGGTCGTATATTTAAAACCAGAATAATTTTCCAGAAGGGTGGTATTTAATTAAAAGGAGACAAATTTTCTAATTCATTTTTCATCTGACATTCATATTCATATTATAGATTTTCATGTGATTTTCCATTGAAATACCTTAATAATTACAATGCTATGCATGCATAATATGAACTTTTCTTGTTTAGGCTAAAATGAAAATTGAAATCTAAAATTATATTGCTGAAAAAACTAAAATTTCTTTAAGAGAGGTCAGAAAAGCCAATTAATTATATTTATAAAAATGTATACAGCTGCTTCATAAAATATATAATATAGATTAAAATAACAACATTAATTTCTGCGAACATCCTTTTTCCTTTTTTGTAACACAGTATTTCAAATTTTAATCACGATTTATTGTGCATACCTCTTGCGGCAACTAAGGAAAGGGTTCACAAGCTGAACTGCTTTTCCATTTTATCAGCAATAACTTTGGCTATTGCTAGAGAAGAGGTTGCCCCTGGGGAAGGAGCATTTCTGCAATGCAAGATCCTCTTGCTCAGGGGACCTTTTCCTGAATCAAACACAAAGTCTTCGACAAGATTTCCATTTGAATCCATGGCTTGAGCACGAACTCCACTTGGACCCCTATTATTCTTTATTAATTTAAGATTAAAAGCACTTTAAAAAAATTACCTTCGAATATCAGCAGCATTGATGTCTGGAATGAACTTTTGCAGCTCTTTGAGCTGTTTTGTGATCCAGATGGACTTGATCATTTCAGAAGCGCCAAAGCCAGCATACTTTAACGCAAGCTTTCTGAATCCTTTAAATTTAACAGCGTCCAACAAATCGGTCAAATTAATATCTCCATATCCATATCCTTCTCTTTTGAAGGCAAGAATTGCATTGGGGCCAAGCCAGATACTGCCGTCCATCCTTGGCGTAAAGTGAACACCGAGAAAAGGGAAACGTGGATCAGGAACCTAAAAAAGTTTTGAATTTATTCATTTGAAAAAATAAAAATAAATTATATAAATACTGGATAAATATTTCCTTTGACCATGTGGCTCTTCTCTGGACTAAGGAGAAGATACTCTCCTCGGAATGGCACAATTTTTGGCTCACTGGAGCAACCAGACATTTGAGCCAGTCGATCAGACTGCAATCCACCACAAGTAACCACAAATTGCGCTCGGACTTCCTTTATTAGAAAAAATGTTCAGACTTCTGAAAAAGCAAATTTATTTTATTTTTACCTGACCAGGGGCCCCGGTCACTCTGATGCAGTGTTTATTGTCACTTCCTTGCTTATTGCTTTCCGCAATCTCTTCAAAACCAGAAACAGGGAAATTTTTGAAAATTTGACCACCCAGAGCTTCAAAGTCTTTGGCATAGTATTGTGTCACCAAACCCCAATCTACAATTCCTGTGTTTGGTGACCAAACTGCTCTTATTCCCTAAATAAAGATAAAAAAGTTGAAGCATAAAATAAATTCAATACTATTATAGCATAACTACGCACCTTACAATATGGCTCAATTTCTCTTATTTTTTCACCGTCAACCATCTCTAAACCAGGTACTTTGTTTTCAACTCCCTTCCTCATTATTTCATCCAACTTTTTTACTTCATCGCTATTTGTGGCCACAATAAGTTTGCCACACCTTTTGTAAGGTATATTTTTCTCATCAAAGTATTTGTACGACATCAAAAAGCCTTCAACGCAGAGTTTTGCTTTCAGTGTCCCTGGAGTGTAGTAGATGCCTGCATGAATGACACCACTGTTGTGACCACTCTGATGAGCAGCTGCAATTTTATTTATTTTTAATTTTTATTGATCGATTAAATAATACAAAGTATTGAATACGATAAAAAATATTTTACAGTACCTAGAACTTTCTCCTTTTCAAGGACAGCAAAGGTCAAACTAGGGTGTCTCATTTTAAGTTCCCTTGCTGTTGCCATTCCCACGATGCCGCCTCCAACAACCACCACGTCATATTTTTTGCTCGATTCAGAGGTCGAAGAAAATCTAGCAAAGTTCAACACCATCAGATATTTTGTTTTACAATAAATATAAAAAATTGTATCAAACCTAGCTGGAACACTGGCTCTTTTTGGGCCATGAGATGCAAAGACGATACAAGGACTGACCCTCAATCCAAGAGTTTTGCCAAAAAGCTTCATCGAATTTAAGCGGTTTGCGGACAAAACATTTAAAGATGTCATTTTGAAAGCGTCAGGCAAACAAATGCAGGCTTACTGAAACCTGAGACATTAAAATATTAATAATTTTGGCAAAATTCAATGCAAATAAAATTTTATCAAGGAAATTTCTCTCTGTTTCTCTCTTAATGATGTTATCTGTGTTCAATTACATTATTTACATAAATAAATAAATTATAAGCATACATACAAATTGTCCAAATTTGTTAAAAAAAAGGGAGAGATTTCAATTATAATTTAAGAACTCCTGTGCTTACGAAAAGTCGGAAAAAATGAGCACTTAAAATGTAAGTGTATGGTGTACGTGCCAGAAAATTTCCATGCCAAAGGGCCCAAAGGTTATGTTTGCAGATCTTCTGATTTTCGTTCTTGGTTGTCAAAAAGAGCCGATTTCCAGCTGTACAAAATGTAAACACACAAGCAGCTTTATCACCATTGGCTGCAATACCGTTGACAGCCAATCGCAGCGCTATCGTCCTCCCACCCTCTTTTTCCGGAGCCGGCGGAGCCGCTGCTGGCGGGTGTACGCAGGTGTACGCAGGTGGGGCAAATTTTTGCAAGTTTCGACAAACAACGACAACCGACAACCCTCCAGCTTGTTGCTCTTGTTCTTTGACAAAAAGATCAAGAATGCTGACTCAATTCTCAATACGTTACGGAAATTGTTTTTGATAGTGACGTGTCTGTCAATTGATGAAATCGGATGAAATAGTGTCTGTGAAATGTATGGACCTTGTAACAAAACGTGGTTGCTACGCTGTTTTGGTAGTAATGGTGTGAAATTATGTTGTGCGTGTGCAGTTTTGGAAGAAAACTTTTTGTTGACATAAATTAGAGTTTCATCGCGGAGCCATCGCAGCAAAGATTCCGATTTTTGTGCATCTCATCGTGCTGCTAATTTGCGGTGAAGTTTGATGCCCCTATTTTACAGGTAAGAATAAAAATTAAATATGACTATACATTATTAAAAATTTCCCTGTGCCATTATATTATTTTTATTCTCATCTACGTTCGTACGGAGTTAAAATATCAATGACAATATCATGAATAAGGAATGAAAGTGTATAATGTAATGCGTTAAGAATGAAAATAATACAAAATTATCATAACGGAAATTGCAACATGTATGTATCGGTATGTATAAAATAATTATCAACAATAATTAAGGCCCGAAAAATCCCAAATTATTATTTTACTAATTGTAAATTCGAGCTGAATTTTGTATTTACTCTGAGTAATTTTTCAATTTTTTAACCTTAATTTTTCTTCACCAAAATAATATCAATATGACGAATGATACACCATTTTTATGTTAGTGGATTGTTTGTTTGTAATTCAAAAATCACTTTGAAAATAATATTAATATCAAAATTTGATTTGAATCTGAAGCAACACATTACCAATAAAATGACAAGGAAAAATTTAACTATGTAAATTAAAATGTGCAAGTTTAGTATATTTTTTATTATTGCAGTCTTTTTAAATTCATTGAAAAAGAAAAAATTACAATGTTGAGGAAAATTTTTTGTTAAAGGATTATTTTACAATTGAACGCAGCATTCCGTTCCTGGGTATTTTGGCAGGTCCATCTGGTACTTGGTCTCTAACTCAGGTGGCACGAACCTTCCTCCAAGGTAGTGAAACCTTCCTTTGAAGTGTTGGGCGCATTTTTTGGGCGCAGTCAGGGAAATGAGCAGCTCTGGTTGAATCCCTCCTTCGGCAGGACAGCCGTCTTCGACGTGCCAGCCGCTCGGGATGTCGACGCTGCAGATGGGCACTTTGGTCTTCTGCAGGGCCTCCATGATGGGCACGAAGGCGTCTCGGACCGGCGGCTTAAAACTGAAGCCAAAGAGGGCATCGACGACCAGCTGGTACTTGCTTTCGTCCACGTCGGACACTTCCACAAAAGGAATGTCCATTTTCTCACACTGGCGGATTAGGTTGTGGTAAAGGGTCTTGCTCGGGTCAGGTCGCTTAACATAGTAAACGCTTGGTTTGTATCCGAAGAGGGCCAAGTGACGGGCGCAGACAAGTCCGTCGCCACCGTTGTTGCCCACCCCACAGCACACCAGCACCCCTTGGCCGACCTTGTCCGGGAAGCTCTTGGCAATGGCAGTGGCGCAGCTCAGGCCGGCCAGTTCCATCAGTTGGTCCACTGAGAAGCGGTAGTTGTTGAATAGGGCCTGGTCAATATCGATGGCCTCTTGTTGACCCAAAAAACGCACCATGTTTCTGATGTGATGGGCGGTGGACGATTGAGATTTAACCCTGAGTAGGGATTTCAACATAGGTTCTGAAAAGAAAGTTAAATTAGATTTGGCTTTTAATAGAAAATTATATAATCATGTACTGACCAATCTGAATGAATACAAAAGAGCATGGAAACGATGAGAGAAGAACAAAAAGCATTTTTTTTCACCGATTTCTTATTTATTTGCACCAAATATGGACACTTCTGGCTAAAACATTTAATTGTCTTGAGGACTTTAAAATTATCCTAGTTAAGTTTCCGGTTGTATTTGAACACTTCTTGCTGCCAATTGAAACATTTACAGACTAGGACATCATATTTTTTTTTCAATAATAATTAATCCAGCTTTGTTTCACAAAATGTGTACGTGTTAGTAATTATTGCAATTAATTGCGTTCCGTCAAATTGTTTAATACTTGTTAGATCAATAATTTAAATTTACACAGTCAAGACTCGGCGTCGCTGAAGTCCAACCAGATCAGAAAACAGGATTTGAGCCACACGCCTCTGTTTGGCTCAGTGTCACTTTCATTGTCATATCACTCAGTAATATTTGTGTGCAGACTGTCCTTTTTTGTTTGTTAAGTACTCCGTTTTAATCTCCTTCACTGGGTTTGCTCTCCTCCTCAGCCTCCTCGGCTTCCTCCACCTCCTGTTCAGGCTCTCGATTGGCCGCCGAACTCGACGCGGCTGCATCGTCGTCCTCGTGGTCCTCTTCCTCGTCCTCCTCCATTAATTTCCTCGCCAACTTGACAGCTTGGAACTCGTTGTAGTGCATTTTCCTTTTGCTCTCAAAGTGCTTTTTCTTCTCCTTTTCCTCGGGACTTGTCTCCTCCTCTTCCTCTTCGCTCTCCTCGTCCGGTTCTTGGCAAACCGTGGGTAGCGAAGTGGCCTCGGAAATTTTCTCAGCTAACGCTGTGGCGTCGACGCCCTTGCCGTCGGCCACGTCCATCTGCTCCTGCTCCTCGTTGGCCCAGTTGTACGGAGTCTTTGGTTCCTCGATCTTCATGTGTCCGTAGTCCTTGTCCGCGGGGTGCAGCGTTGCCATTATGTTCATCTCGTCCCACTTGGTTTCCTTTTGCCGACTGGCGGCCTTCAGCTGGCTCTGCTCCTGCTTCTCGAAGCTGGTCGACGACTTGAGGATGCCCTTGGCCGGTCTCTTCTTCAGGTTCTCGGCCATGGTCACACGCACCTATCTGCACACGGCGGGCAAGTCAAGAGTCCTTCTTCGGCTGTTCCATACGCGTTCTGCGGAGAGGAACGTGTCATTAATTCACCGCCTCTGCATCGATCTGCGCTCAATTTGGCCACTCAGATTGGTCAGGCACTCGAGATAAGGGTTGCTTACCTGTACAAATGCAAATTAGTTGCGGCGCGGCGAGACTTGAAGATTCGCACAACCGACTTGCGAGCAGCCAGCCAAACAAGAAAAAGGGCGGATCACTTTTGACGATGACGTCACGGGCCACGGCAAGGAGGAATTATCAAAGAGAACTCTCTAGATACGGGGACCTCCTAGGCAATTTGCAATTACGACGCGGGAAATAGCGAGACAAATTCACACATACGTATAATTAGCATAATTATATATATGACTTTTGCAAATAATAGTTATGGAGTAAGATTTAAGGAAAGATACGACATGCATAAAATTTTATTTTTATCCTCCCATAAATTGGCATTTCTTCAGTGATAATTTTTCAAAAATTTGACAAATAAACTACAATATTTTTAATAATTTGGATGAATTTTAAAAAAAGTGCATAATTATTACTGGAATCGAAAAGCTAATTAGAGATCAGTTAGGATATGACCGTTTGCATGAAAAATGTATCAAATAAAATTATTTTTGTATCAAATGATTCAAATAATTTTCTGTCTCCAGTGTTAAATTTCAATTTATACCGTTTCATTTGTTATTAATCTTTTTTTGCACTACGTAGTTTAGCCCACCTGTATATTTCAATTCATTTTTATTACTAAAAAATACACAGAAGAATTGATTACAAACGCCTTCAGAATGTTCATATTAAATTTTCAAAAGTAACTCTTTCTATGTTTTAATGATAGAAAAATATTTATTGGGATTAAAGTAATAAAGCCAGAAAATTATCATGCGTTATCATCTTCGATCAGTTGATCGCCGCCCCTATTCTGACCTGTGCATCGCATTATGGGGTTGTAAATGCAAATTGGCACTAAATCGGGTCTCTCTTTGAAAACGAGGTACAAAGAAAAGACCGCAACAACCCAAGAGCACAACAGTGCAACAATCCACCAAACAACAGAGTTATTCGTTTTCTCAGGAATCTCCTGCGCATTATAATCCCATTCCATATAAGCATCCGAGGTCTCCTTGTTCTCTGACGAGTCCTCCTCTTCAACTTCCTCGACCTCCAGCGGAGTGGCAGTTACATTAATTGGTGCATTTGGTTTAGCTAACAATAAGTAATGGATTATTCTTCTTAAACTTTGCTCTGAAAATAATCATCCGTTACCTTCAAGACAGGCCGTGTCCCAATTTGAAGTCGGTTCGTATCCAGGCAGGCATGAACAGCGGTCCGTGTCACACAAGACTTTTGCTCTGCACGTTGCGTCGCCCATCACATTACCGCAGGTGATGTTGCAGTACTTTCCAAAAACATTTGGTGGACATTCTAAAAAATAAATGATGGGATTAATCTTAAATTTTCTTGCAAAAAAATATTTGGATTATATGAAACTTCATGAAATTATTAAAAATTTTGCATATAATTAAATTACCTATTTCACTAGGTCCAGTGTATACGGAACTGCGAACTACAGCAAATTTTTCCTCGCCCACAATTTGGCAAATTGTGTTGGTGGGGTTAGTTCCATTAGGTAAAAATACCTTGGAAGTAAAAAATTCTATTCGAAAAGATATCCGTTTTAAATTTTGAAACAAGATGAAAAATATTTACCATCTTCTCCGCATACTCGGAAGGGTTGATGCAAAGCAAAGACGGGAGAGACGTGGGTCAAGTGGTCACCGAAGGGAACTACAAAGTGCAAGTAATCTGAGGGCGCCTTCATCATCGCCTTTATTACAGTATACTTCCATTTTCCGTCAGTGGGCTTAAATTTTATCAGATAATAATATTTATTCAAATCATTTCTCGACCGTGAAATTACCTCCAGTTCCATTGAAAAACTTCCGTCCTTTGTCTTTACATAGGCTTTTCCGTACCCCTTGCGAAAAAAGTAATGGATTTGTAAACATGACATTGATGGCTTGTTGAGGACCATCACGTTAAATCCTTCTCCGTCCTCTTTGCCATTGTGAATCACAACCCTATCTAAATTTTGGAATTTTGAAAAATTAATAATCATCTAACCAATAAGTTCCACACTAAATTAATGGTTTTGTAATGAAACACGACGATTTTGATGAAAGTTATTGTCTACTTAAAATTTCTCTAGTGTAATTCAATTAAATCTCATGTGAGTTTAAATTGGCATAAAAAAATGATTCAAGGAAAATTTGGCAAACAATTATTTGCCAAACAGTATTTTTTTCACCAATTTTCATTGAAATCTGGGTGCCTCATCTAAAAAAATAGCTTATATTGTTTAATATTAAGTTTGCATACGATTGTGGAGCCTCCATGAGCCGTAGGAATTCACTGTTCTCACTGAAATACCACTTGGCTTTCTGTGATAAGCTTGAGACTTCCTGAAGTCGAGCAATTTTTTTCCACTTTTTGTTGCGTCTGACAGTGTTATGTGATGTAGCAAGGGGCTATACTCAAAATTGATGGTGAAATGAGTCCATTCTTTTGCGTTTTTTAACAAGTTGGAGCTTCCAATCACCTAAAAGGGATACCAAGAAATGTTAAATAATTTAATTTCCAAACTTTACCAAAGTTCGCACTTCTGATTTAAATAGCAGAAAACAACCGTGAGTGCCGTTTTCTGTTCTAATTCCACCTGGGCAAAGTGCCAGGGTAATCACTCCTGCGTTATCACTGGGCTCCAGCGTCAACAGATAGGACATGCTCGTGTGCGCCGAGTCGCCCGTGTGAAGGGCTATTTGAGCGTCACTTTTTGCCAAAACAGAAAGGTGGAATCGGTCAGTGGTGAATTTGCTTAAAAGTTTAAATTGTCCCAACGGCGTTGTGTCCACTCGTTGCATATCTACAAAGCAGAACATACGCGGCTTCAATAAAATTTAATTAATTACACCATTTTATATAATTCACCATTCCATCTTTCATCCAAAACCGGCGGCAATATGCTGTTCTGAACATCAAGAGCATGTTTCGCCTCCCAAACATGTCCATAATATTCAAAGTGACCTCTTACCTATAAAATTTGCATTGTTTGCAAATTTAATTTTACTTTAAATTTTGTTAAATTTCTATCTTACAAAACCGTCGTTAGTCTTGTGTTTCCATCTTTGGTGAGCTGCAATTAAAGAAATATGCATATAATTATAAATTCGAGGGAAAAAATAAAAAATATATAGATTTACATTCATAGATCATTGGCACCCCCTGTGGAAGGATCCACGATAGTGCCAGAGAGTATTCCTGTGGTCCATTGTAGAAGCACTGCAGCTCTGTAGTTTTGTTAGTGAGCGTCCGCCTCACAATGAACAATTCATCGGCACCTGAGCTTTCGATTAATATGTTTAAAACTAAAACAATTTTAAAATGGATGCAACCAACCTGTTAGCACTACGCAGAGGAGCGTAAAGAAGGCAAGTTGATACGTGGAATGGATTAATTTTGCCACCATGCTAGAAATATCATTGAAATTAAAAAATATAAAGTCAGCCAATACTTAAATTAAATTTGGTTTAAAAGCGTTTACCTAAAATTTGGGGGAAAATCGTTGAAGTTAAAAATGGAGAATTCAGATTCAGCTGGACGTTCAAGACGTAGTCATTGCCAGCAGTAAGATATTTTATTTTTCATATTAAAATCTCCATTAAAAGCCCTTTGAACCAAATGATCTTTGCCTGGGCGTTATCTCTTTGATTTCTTCACACTCCCGTTATTTTATTTTTTTTTTAACCATATATTCTACAAAGCGTCAAATGCTGCTGATTTTTCAATTTTCCTCATGCCAATTAGGTGTCGTTCTCTTTGGCAAAAGTTCAGCTGTTGGGTCAAAAGATTCAATTAAGTAAAGACGGATAATTCGCAGATCAAATTTTTATCTTGCACGATTAAAGTAAAATAATAAATTATAGGATGACGCAGGCAAATAGGAAAAGTACAATAATATGTTGCATATAAATCACACAGCATAAAATATACGTACGCAATTGAATGATGTCTTGGGATATACGTTTATCGAGCTCTCCTTCAGTTCATATTCTCAGCTTATTATCTAATTGTGGCAGCCGAGCTATTCTTTAACTCACCATTGATACAGAGCGCGCATGTTGTAAAATATCCAGTGAGTACGTAAAATCTTGTGATCGTTTATAATAAACTGTTGCAAATAAACCAGCAATGAGGTTAGAACAACCACAATGAAATCATCTTGTGGCCCTCCATCAGCTAAAAGAGGCGAAAGTTATTGTGCTCCATAGGGTCTCGTTCAATCAGAAGCTCGGACGTTAATAAATAAATGCGTGCACCGCGGTGGTTCCTTATGCAGGATGATATAATTGGACAAGCTGATACTGTGGTGGAAGCAATAATGTAATACATACATAGAATGCATATCCACGCGCTTAAATTGAATTAATGCGGTAAAATATAAGTGCAATTCCCCCAGACCTCTACCTACAACCAAGACACTTTCACACAAAAATAATGCTTTAATATTGTAGCTTTAAAGAACTATAAAAAAACATACAGAATATACACAAATTTATTAATAATATTTTTTAAATCCTGCGGGGAAAATAGCATTTGACGTTGTTTTTATATTTAGGTACAGAGGAAAGCAGATATTTCTCTACACATGAAATTCTTGTTGGCAATTTTTCATGTTGCATGGCACCACGGCGCGCCGAGTGTCCCGAGTGAGGCGGCCAGGTTAGCTGAAAGCGATTAGCGCAGTGTCGCGCGGCCTCTTGCAATGTGAATAGCGCGCGGAAACACAGCAGCACTTTAATTGAATTTTAATGGGTTGGACGAAATCAATAAATTTTGCTAATATTTTGAATTTAATAAATTTAAACAAGACAAATTTTAGGAATCCTTGCAAAATTTTGAAGACGCCAAACTTTTAATGAAATTTTTAAGTAGACTATTTAACGAAATTAAATAAATTTTAGTTATAATAAGAAAATAGAATTTAAATAAACGAATTTATAATGTTATATTTCACATAATATAAAAAAATTTGAAAATTAAATTAAAACTAAATGAATTTAATTAAATATTTAAATAAAATAATGAATAAATATTTATTTAACCACTCTACAATTTTTTTAATGATTTCGTATTTTATTTATTTATTAGATAGGAATAGATGTTAATTAAATATATTTTTAGCCGCAAAGCGATACAGACTTTTTGCTGACCCAAATTCTCCAATCTTTCTATACAGCGCTCTTCAAATTTCCTATTGTTGTAGTTTTATGGCTAAAGCAGGTACCATAAAGCCAGATCTGTTTAAAATCCTCTAAATTTTTATTTTGAAAATTTTAGGAATATTGCTTCATTAAAGGTAGTTTTCAAATACTCTTTTTGCGTTCACAATAGAAACAATTTTTTGTTTTTAAGAAGATCCAGGAATTTTATTGAATAAAATAACACAACTTAATAAACAAAAAGTATTAGAACACCATTATGGCAAACCTTATTCCACAAATTTTAATGACAAATAAACAAATCTCTATACATTGAGCACAGCATTATTAAAGATGAAAATTAACCTTTGGAATGAAAAACCTGTATGCACTAAATTGGTCGTTAATGAAAATTAACAAATTATAATTTCCATTATGCATTACCTACAAAAAATGGGAGACTAAATAATGCCCAAACAAGAGTTTCACTGCGAAAAGTAAAACTGCAATGAATACAATTCGATGATATAATAATAACAAAAATTTAGAGAGACTAAAATAGCAGTACAAGCTGATTTGTTTCAAATCAAGAAGGGAAGAATAGCTTTGCGTCCTTTAGGGTAGTTAGAGAATTCCTTCTTGTAAAGCCTGTGCTTTCCAATGGCCCACACGGTCATCTGGTAAAGCCCCGCAAGAGCAAAAATACCAGCTGGAACAAAGCCATGGGAAAATTAATTTTAAGACACATAAAAAGCAAAAATATAAGAGAAGCAAAACTCTATGGATAATTATTATTTTTTTTTCACTAGAGGAAATATATATATCATACCAGGCAAGCATTGAGTCATTGCTGTGAATGCAGCCCAACTTCCGAATTCATAAGTGTAATTCGGACAGGAGACTAAATTGAAGAGTCCAGTCAGCGGGTTAGAGGTGGGCATGGGAATCTTGCGAACTGTGGTGCCAGGTGGACGAAGGTTACGAAGGGCAACGTGAATGCTCAGATTTCCCAATTCACAAAGCTGGAACAAAAATAAGTAAACTAAATCATTAAATTTTACTGTTTTCTTCAAAAAGGGATTTTTTCAATCCTATTTCATGAAGTTAAACCTTTCAACAAATAATTATACCCCACAATTTGGATATTATTATATCAACAATAATAATTTTATTTTAATTATCCACATTTCTAAAAAATAAAAAATTGAATATTATAAAAAAATGATATTTTTTGGAAATATTTTAATGAAATTTTTTACCGCGAAGGCTCCAAGAGAGATGTACATCTGAGTGTCACTGGGGGCAGTGAAAAGAGGGTGGTTAACGTGGTACGAGACGTAGGCGGTGAACAGCCAGTAGTACGAGCAGTTCTTGAAGAGGTTGAAGAAGGGCATTGTGGAGTGTGAAAAGCGGTGAACGAAGAGCGTCTCCAGGAGACGCTTGGCGTAATGGACAGACCAGCAAATGGCAGCAATCCTGGAATACTCAAAATAAATCCCCAAATAATAAAAAAAAAAATTAGTCATATACTTTGCGCATTGTGAGAACGGCTGAGAAGCCGCCGCTTCGCCGTAGAAGTACCAGGGCCTTGTGTAAAACCACAAATAGACAAACAGTGGTCCTGCATACTCGGCAAGGAAAACAGTCTTCCAACCAATCTGTGGTCCAAGATCCTTGAGGTACAGCTTGGCTCCGTTTTTTAGTCCAAATGAGGAAATCGGTTCACTTTCTTTGAGACTCGAACCTCTCACTTCGAGTCGGATGGATTGTCTGTCAGGGTAAAGGCTCTTTTTCTTCCTGTAGATTTGCTCCTTGATATCCTTGATGGTTGTCGAAGGTGCAAGCTAGAATATTTGTACAATTTTTTTTACTATAGATGAAAAATTTATATAACCTTTTTTATATACAAAATAAAGCACGTTCATAGGAAATATAAAAATATTATACAATGTATTAAGTACGAAAAAGAAAACGCTGGTCAGTTGCTGAATTAAAGTGTCCCTGTAAATTTTAAATTTGCTAAGTCATTGCAGCTAGCAAAAGTCAAGGGCACCAGCAGAATAACGTGCAAATGTTCGCAGCAATTTTTTTTTTGTTAATATACAAAAGAGATGATGCACCAAAATTTTCCATCGCTAGGCAATTATCTAAATTTTTTATTGCATACTTACACCAGTTAAGGTCACTACAGGTTTTGAGCCGCTGGTGCTCAGTACTTCAATCTGAAATGGAAATTCAACTTTTGTCAACAAAAATATAATATTATAATAATAATTATAAAGGGTTAATATTTATTTTTTATAATTGCTTTAATAAATGAAGATTCGTCGCACAAGCTACTATAAGGACTTTACCCGCAGGCTGTAATTTATTTATTTGTGTAACTTTTAATTAATAATTTACAGTTTTGTGAGAAATGGGTCTGATCAGCTGGAAACTTTATTTCAAGTGCCGGATATTATGAAAAATATAAAATAAATACAAAATAAAAATTTACCTCCATGGTCCAAGGGTGGGTTTGTTCGCTTTTGAGATTAGGACGGCCGTCCAAGCCCGTCTAAGGTGACCTGAGGTCAATTTTCAGAAGGTAGAAAACACGAAGCACACGTAGCTGGCCGTCCTCAGGTGAAAAGAATATGAAATACAAGAAAAATGCCAGTCAGCAGTTAGCGTGTATGTCTAGCTATAGCAAATGATTCCCACGTAAAATGTTACTTAACTCAAGTGGAGTGTGATTAAGGATTTACAAGTAAATGTTTTATGAAGCCTGAGAATGGTAAATTAATGTCATTTAACAAAGGCACTTGCACAAAATATTATAAAAAAATTGATCAGTACGTTATTGGAATCAATGGATTGCATGTAAAGTAATAGTACTTGAATCTTAAGAATGCTCCTTATTGAAATCCACCTCACGTACATACAAAGCTTTTGCAAAGATTGCTTCAAAGATTTTCTTGGCGTTCTCTCTAGGAAGTCTGATCTTGATTTGTTTTTAGAAAAAATATCATTTTGTTTATATTTTATGAGATAAAGTGTTTTCGGCACTAATTTTGGTTTGTAGAAAAATCATTGTAAAATTTTTGCCCCAATTTTTAATTCGCTTAATTATTATTTTTTTAGCCCATTTCAAATTCGGCGCCTTGCTGGTGATGTGGAAGGAGAAACAAGCGAACAGCGCATGTGATTGAGAAGAATGAGGGCAAAGGTAGAGACGGCACTACTCATCGGTCACTTCGTACCCCTTTAATTTAGCAAATAGCTTTTTGTGGGACGTCGGTCGGCTCTAATCGAATCCTCGGCGTACATGCAACGGAGTGCCACGACCACCGGGCTGCCCTAGAGGTGAGTGGTTCAGTTTGCCGACGCCGAACAAACTTGGTCAAGGTGTTCTTCTGGGTGGCTGTTGACATTGCCAATGCTGTTCGAGACCCTTTTACTGAATTATGCAAGAGCGTTCCAGCTGCCTGTTGGCCTGATACAGGTCACGAGACGCTCAATTTCTAAATACTAGCTTTCCCTGAGCAACGAGCAGTCCCTCCTCGGGACGGAAATAATTATTTTTGCACCCATCTGAAAGTGGACGACTGACGTGGAAGATATAGTGACAAGCTGTTTGTCATATTTATGTTGCAGCTCATCAAGTGCCACTTGCAGCAACTCAATCAAAATGGATCCCCAAGCTGGACCTCCACCAGGAATGCCTCCATTCTCCGGTTCGATTCCCACTGTTGTCCGCAAATCTGAGATATTTACAATTGATTCCGCAGGACCTGCAAGGCCACCCATGACACTCCCAAATGGCCAGCCCCCCTGGGTCCAACAACAGCAGTTTTCGGCGCCTCCAGTGAACGGACACCACAACCAGCAGCAGCAACAGATGAGGCCCCCACAGAGTGGACCCTACCCTCCACCCCCAGGCGTCAATGGGCCCCCGCCTTTCATGAATGGTCCCCAGAAGCCGCCTCCCCAGTTCCAAAATGCAAGGCCGTCTCCAGTACCTGTAGATTCGCCAAACAGGAACTCTCCGTTGATGATGGGGACTAACAAAGGTGATTCTAACTAAAATACTCTGCAAACCATCCAAAGAGACTTTTTTATGGGCTATATTTCAACCTTGAGTAAAATGATCCTCTTTTGTGTGCATCATCATCACTTATTTTAAGTTTTATGAAAGCAGACTTTGTCTCCCGCAAATTTAATTAGAGCAATTAATTAATGAAAGGCAGTTTTAAACATAAATTTATTAAATTTATAATCGTTTTAGATGTGCCTGGGCCTTTCTCTGGACCACCTCAATCGCAAGCAGGCTTCCAACCTCGACCACCTATCACAATGCAGCAGCCATTTCCCAACTCACAATCTCCTTTTCCTGGTCAAGGTCCACCTCCACCTGGTGTCGGCAGTCAAGGCCCACCTTACCTGCAAGGAGGGCCTCCTCGACCTCCGTTAAATCTTGGTGGTCCAATGCAAGCACCACCCATGGGCATGCCACCTTTCTCAGGTCCTGCTAGCCCTCCACAAGCACCACCTGGGGCGAATATTCAGTACACTAGCCCTTCAGGGCCTCCTTCATTTTCCAACCCCAATCAACCTCCAACGAGCATGCCTTACACGTCCACTCCCTCCGCTCCTCCAGCAGCACCTTTGAATCAGCCAGTAGCAATTTCCAGTGCTAATTATGGCTCTGCATTGCCCACTCCAGCATCATACTCCACCCCTGCAATGCACCAGCAGACGCCTGCACCTCAGCAACAACCAGTGGCTCAGCAAGCTCCGCCTATGGCCAATCGATATCCTCCGCAAAATTCAGCTCAATCGCCAGTTTACCCTTCCCAACAAACCGCCAGGTCCCCTGTTTTTCCACAGCCAACCACAAAATCCATGGACGGACTGACAACGCAAATGGGTTCGATGTCTGTTACTCAACAAGGATTCAATCGACTGTGGGGAAACATGGAAACGTATGACCTGATGCAAATGAGGAACATCTTACCTCCAACCAAAGTGGAGGCTCCGAGAGTCAACCTGCAGCATTCATTTGTTGACGCCCAGAACTGCAGCCCAGAGTATATTTTTTAAGTTTTAAAATCGCTCGCATCTAATTTTTCATGTTACTATAGTATCTTCAGATGTACAGTCACTAAAATTCCCGAGACCAAGTCAATTCTAGATAAATCCCGACTACCTCTTGGAATACTAATTCATCCATTCAAAGACCTAAGTGTGAGTAATATGTTTTGAATTAAATTCTGCTTTTATGTCTGAAATTTTTCGTTCATTTGCAGCAACTTCCTGTAATCCAGTGTAATACCATTGTTCGTTGTCGAGCCTGTCGGACGTACATCAACCCTTTTGTGTATTTTATTGATCATCGACGTTGGAAATGCAATATTTGCTTTAGAGTCAATGAATGTAAGTGTCTCATTATGTTGTAGTGTCAAGTTTCTAAGCATCTCATTTCATTGCAGTGCCGGACGAATTCCAATATGACCCTGTTAGCAAAACATACGGCGAGCCTACAAGGAGGCCTGAAGTCAGATCAGCCACAATAGAATTCATCGCCCCTTCGGAGTACATGGTGCGGCCGCCGCAACCTGCCGTCTACCTTTTTGTTCTTGAAGTGTCTCGAGCTGCTGTTGATACAGGATATTTGAAACTTGTGTGTGATATTCTTTTGGAGGAACTAGACAACCTACCTGGTGACTCGAGAACACAGATCGGCTTCATCACCTACGATTCTGCAATCCATTTTTACGAACTGGCTGAGGATGCACAGCAACCGCACATGATGGTTGTAGGAGATATCGACGGTAATTTTTTGTTCCCTTTGCTTATAAATTTAAATAACTCTTTATTATTGTAATACAGACATTTTTCTTCCTTGCCCTGAAAACCTTCTGGTAAATCTGCACGAAGATTTCGAACTGGTGCGAGACCTCTTGGCTGAGCTACCTAACAAGTTCCAAGGCAATCCAGAGCCTAGCTCAGCCCTAGGTGCTGCATTGCAGGCATCGTTTAAGTTGATGGTAGATTATTTCCTTAAAAATTAACACCTTGAAGTCTTATTTATGATTCTTGTCAGGGTTCAACTGGAGGACGAGTTACGGTTTTCCAAGTGACTCTACCCAGTTTAGGTCCAGGAGCGCTGCAACCCCGTACATCTGGAGGCTCCAAAGATGCTTCCCCTCTGCTCAACCCTGCCATTGACTTCTACAAGCGTCTCGCTCTGGAGTGTTCAGCACAACAGGTCGCTGTGGATCTATTTTTGTTAAATTCGCAGACTGCCGATCTAGCCACCATCAGTAAGCTTAGCCATAAATTTTGATCCCAGTTTCAAATTATAAAAAAAAAACTTTAGGTGGAATTGCTCGGTTTAGTGGCGGCTGCATTAACCACTTCCCTGATTTCCATGCTGCTAGTAAACTTCATTCAGAACAATTAACTCGCTGTTTCCGGAGATATTTGACTAGGAAAATTGGCTTAGAGGCTGTGATGAGAGTTAGATGCACAAGGTTTGTTCAAGGTCAAATTCATGGTTAGACCTGTTTCATAAATTTAACTTGTAAATTTCAGGGGCCTTGCTATTCATACATTCCATGGAAACTTCTTTGTAAGGTCAACAGATTTGTTGTCACTGCCAAACGTCAGCCCAGATTCTGGTTTTGGAATGCAATTGGCCATTGAGGAAAACCTTTCTGATATGCAAAACGTCTGCCTCCAAGCAGCTTTGCTTTACACATCCAGCAAGGGAGAAAGGAGGATACGAGTGCATACACTTTGTCTGCCGATTGCCAGCAATATTTCTGAAGTCATAGCTTCTGCTGACCAGCAGTGCATTGTTGGACTTCTAACAAAAATGGGTAAAATTTCTCGAATACCACCCAACTTGGTACAATATTAATTTGGTTATTTTCTTAGCGGTTGATCGTTCTCAGTCGTCTTCACTGTCCGATGCGCGCGAAGCGTTTATCAATGTTGCTGTTGACGTTTTGTCTACATTTAGAGCAACTCAAAACATGGGTGGAGCAGGAAGTGGCCTGCTGGCTCCTCACAGTCTTCGACTCCTCCCTTTGTATATTGTGGCCTTGCTTAGACATGTAAGCCTAAAGCAGACCTGTTGAGAGATATTAAAATTTAAATTTTTTGCAGCCTGCATTCAGAGCAAGCTCGAACGTCCGAATTGACGATCGGGTCTATGCCATGTGCCAGTTCAAGTCATTGCCACTTGATTCGCTGATGCAAAGTGTATTCCCAGATTTGTACCCTCTACACTGCTTGACTGATGAGGTGATTTATTTTTCTTAGATTTTAAAATCTTGAGTAGCTCTTTATTAACATGTAATTTATTTCAATTTATTTTCAGGGAGCTCTGGAGATCGAAGGCAAGGTGATTCCACAGCCACCAAGACTCCACTTGTCAGCAGAGAAACTGGATTCGAGAGGCCTATTCCTTATAGATACCGGCGACAGTTTAATCATCTATGTTTTGCGAAACATCAACCCTGCTCTTTGCCGTGTTCTCTTGGGTGCCAACTCCTTTGAAGCCATCCCCGATGTCATGACTGAGTTACCAGTGCTTGACAACCAAGACTCTGAACGGATGAGAGCGTTTGTGAATTACTTGAAGGAGATCAAGCCGTATCCGCCTCCTCTGCAGATTATCAGGTAGGACACATTTTGTTTACTTCCTCCTCTGTCCTTTTGTAGTTTGGTACTTAATGCGTCTGGCATTGTGCTGTTGCAGAGAGGACAGCAAGTACCGCAGCAGGTTCATGCAATACCTGCTCGAGGATCGTTCTGAGTCATCACTTTCGTACTATGAATTTTTGCAACACTTAAAAACACAAGTGAAGTGATAGATGTTCACATGTCTGGACTGAAGCTAAATGAGCGCACTTTTAGCCGATCAGTTACGTTGTCTGCTTCGTTTTTGTATTGGGGTGTGTAAAATGCATTGCTCTCTGAGGGAAAGCCTCACTCACTACATATTCATTTTCCAACAACGTTCAACAAGATCGGTCTATATCCGCCATAAATTTTAAACGCATGAATTCCGGCGCCACGTTATGTTGATTATGTTCACCGATGTTGGGTGTGTGTTCCTTTTATACTGTTATTCTGATGGCAACTCAACTGCTTTTCTTTGTTTCAAGTTGCCGTTGTTATCAATATTATTAAAATATTCGATACCAAATTTATTGATTCACTCAAAGTACTGTATTTTAATCAAAGACTTTCCAAAAGAAAATAATGTGAACATGGCCACGATCCGAGTCAACGTAGCAATAAAATTGGAATTGTTGATTTTGATTTCGAACATAGCAGCGTGTAAGTGTTGATAGTGTACGTGGAAACGCGGTGAGAATGATTTTGCAATGATTATGAAAATATATTTGCCTTATCAAAAAAAAAACTTTATTTTACTCATCACTTTGAGATAAAAATTATTATTTATGATTTACAAAATTGCATTAGTTTAATACATATTAATTAATAAAATTGATAATCACAGGATAGCACATTCAACATCTAATGAGTAAACCAAATGAATTTATGACCATTTTTACGTTTAATTTACAGCTTGGAAGTAGATATTAATTATTGTCAAAACTAAAAGTCTACATCATTTGGCGATTAAATATTGCATAGCGTTTTCCCTAGTATTCAATATCGCTAAAGGCGCAAGCAAATTTCAAGGCGCATTATTTCTTCTCTGTAAGGTCTTTTTGCTTATTGTTGAATGATATTATCAAATGCATGATATTATTGGTTATTGACCAGGCAAGGAAATCGCACATATTGGATCGTCACATTAATTTTTTTTTTCTCTCTCTTCACGATTGCCACAGCGACTTGGTTGGAGTCAATTCACTAAATGACTCGGTCACATACAGATCATCCAAATTATCCCTAAGCATTTTTTCTTGTTCTGAAATGATGTAACAAAAATTAGTTTTGCCACTTTCTTTAATATAAAATGAATAAGTTACCATCACTGAGACTGGCGATTGTGCACTGTTTTCTCAAAAATTCCATGCACATATCTTTTGTAAGTCCAAAGGCGTGCATGTTACTGGTGAAAGTCCTGCAAGTAAATTAAATTATTGCATAATTTTATAAAGAAATATTAAATTTAAAATGTAATGAAATTGAGAGGTAATATTCACCCCAGTTGCCCAAACGTGATATTTTCCTGATAAGCCCTTTCGTCTGTAATTGCTTCCATCTGATTATTGAGCACATCTTCCCTTGTAGCTACAGGTCTTATTGAACGCTCCCCTTGCAAAGCCTCAAAAAACGCAGCATTCCAAAATCTCAGCGAATGGAATATGGGCTGTTCTTTGAGTACATTAAAAATGTACTGCCGCATTGGTGGGGGCCCCTTGGCTGAATTTGTAAATTAATATATATTTTCAATTAAGCCAGATTAAAATTTGCATTTCATACATTCATAATAAAATGTGAAACACATGTTCATCAAGGTCTTTGCAGGTCCAAAGTCGTCGGAATCGGCACATTCAAATAAAATTATTGCAAAGTACTGAGCCAAACTATAAAAGGTCGATTCAGGCACTCGTTTGTGTTGCGCTCTTTGAGCATTGACAAAGCGGGCAAACCACAACCTCCCAGGCTCGTCCTAAATTTATAGAGATAAATAAAGAAGTTTTTTTAAATTAAATAAAAATAGCAAACCTGGGCGTATTTGCCAAAGGCAGATTTCTGTTCCCTGGTAATTGAGTTGCTATCACTGAAAAGTGTTGCTACGAAATTGCGCATAAATTCAATAGCCTCAATAGTAGCTTCGTCTGTTTGTGAGTCGAGGCTTAGGCTTGACGCCCACGACTGGATCGATCCCTCAGAACCTGAAAAAAGTTTATACTTATAATAGTATAGCTCTCATTTTGATTTTTATTAAGCCTTTATTTGCCAAGTTCTTTGCATTGGCGCCTTATTTTTTTACAGAGAGGCTACCTGACTGCATGTATTGCTTTTTATCTGACTCGACGCTGAGTGTGCTTGGCCCATATCCATCGTTGTCAGATCCGCTACTTTGAGCATCTGCAAAAAAATCAATAAATTTCTTTTGCTGTTCCCATCAGCACACCTAACCAATTTTGTATGTGAGTCGCTCGTAGGGATCAGAGCCGCAAGCAACAATAGATCCGTTCGGGCTGTTGACTTTAATCTCGGTCTCTGGCTCGTCAAGGCCCCTAATAAATAAATTTTTTACATATCCTTTCATTAAATAAATATAATTAAAATAAAATCTTATAATAAAACGAACATTTTTGGTGGCTCGAGCGTTGAAGGCGTTTGCAATTCTGAGCTGTTGGACCGAATCGAGAGAGCAGATTCGAGACGAGAACTCAGTCCGTTGAAGATTCGAGTCCTGGACGTAGACGGTCGCAGCACAGACTGCAGCCCTGACCTCGTCCTGTCCACCAGCCCTTGGAGCAGCTCCTCCCGCCGACCAGGCACCTCCACCATGACTTTTTTCCGGCTCTCTCTCAACTGGCCATGAACGACATAAAACCGCAAACTGATTTACATTTTTTGCGGTGGTGCTCTGGCTGGAGAACGTGCGACGACACGCCTTCTTTTATGTCATTCCTGTGTTTCGGGGGTGAAAGGGGTAAGGGGTGCAAGCTGATCAGTGACATTGGCCGCTCACTCTCCCTTGTTGGCAGGGAGACAATTTTTTGAGCGCCATTAATGCAGGCCACTGATTTTATTTTCACTCTACATTTCTTTTGTGGTTTTTTAATCTTTAATCTGTTTTTCCCAGCCCGCAAGACCGAGCTGTATTTTTCTTACTGCATTGTAATCAAATAAAATAAATGTTATTTGGGGTTTTTCTGATCTGAAAGCAAAATTTTCAAGAGCATTTTCAACTTTTTATTATTATCAAGCAATCTGAAATCTAGAATACAAGATCACATTCAGTTGATTGTAATTACAGTAATAATATTAATTTTGTCAAATTACAACTAATCCATCTGTTTGTCGCTAACCTTTGTGACTAAATGGCTTTTTTGGAAACAGTCTTTAAAAAGACCACAAATAAATCGGAGGAATATTAAAAACAGCTTAGTGCTGCGGAAAATCGTCCCTATACTGAAATGCTTGTTGAATTGAATATTTGGCAGAGAGGCACTAGGCACCTGTAATTAAATGGCTTTTAGCCTCTACCAGAAAGTGAACCCGCCTCCTGTGGAAGACCCTGTCAAGAAGCCACCCTTCTTTTGTCCCAAGACCACGTTATGGCCGGACATGGCTGCCACTTGGGCTGCATTCGGGGCGATTCCGGGGGGCGCCGGGGGCACCACTGGTTGACTAATTCCGTTGAACCGCGCGCCTCCATCGAAAGCAGCCACTCCCTGCAAAAACACAATTTTTCGTTGAGAAATTTGAAAATTTGCGTATTAAAGTAAAACGCACGGGCATCACAATTGTGGTGGGCTGATTGTGCGGATTGTGCATGTGCTGGCCTTGCATTTGGTACTGGGCAGGTGAGTAGAATGGTGTCGGCGCATAAGCTCCTGGATATCCTGCGGCCGCCTGCATCTGCTGCTGGTAGTTTTGAGCTGAAGCAGCAGCCGCAGCGGCTGACTGGTAATTTTGATACATCACAGGCTGCTGGCCATGCTGCATATGCTGGAATTTAAAAAAAATCGTTAATTAATAAAACATATTATTGCAAAAATATTCAATACTTTAAAAATTGAGTTCTGTACAAAATTAAAGATAGCCAAAAACATTTTGGGTCAATTATTTTTTTTAAAACTTTTTCAACATTCCATTGGGTTAAATAATAAGCTGATTTTGCAAACAAACTTATTGTTAGTAAGACGATATGTACCACACTTACCCATCCTGCCTGGGGAAGGTTGGCTGTATGGGCTGTTGGGTGAGCCATGGCCTGATCATAGGTTGGTGGAGCACCAGGATACTGTTGTGAGTGCTGAGGGTATGGAGGATAAGCACCTGCGATCATAGGCAGAAAAATATTCATGTTAAAAATATATAATTTGCAAATGGTTAATTTAAACAAATTAAATTGTGCGGGTATAAATTGTATAATGGCATTGCTTAATGTTATCCTTAAAATATATGCCAAATGAATAAAGAAATAAATATATTTTAATAATTATTACTGTAGTCTTCCTTGTGATTGATACTCATTTTTGTTTTAATAACAAATTAAAAATGTTTCGTTTAAATTTTTTAATTGATTGAGAAAGTATTTAGGTCAAATAATTTATTTTAAAATACAAACCTTGTTGGGGCATGCCTGGTGCTGTTGGTGCTGGGAACAATAAAGAAAAAAATCATTTTAGATGTAGAACCATTAAATCAGCAGGGTTTAGTGGAAATTTTTAAGATATCCCCTCTACCATAAACAATGTAATGTGACACATCCAGTGACGTATTCATAGGTCTGATATCGCGATATCCTTTTTTACGCGATGGAGAGTAACAAAAGGATAAAAAGCTTTCCCCAACGTTATTTATAATTCAACTTTTACGACAGCAAATTTTATTGATTTTTCCAAAATAATATACTTGATTCACTGCCAAAGTGGATTAAGTGCGTAATGTAAAATTTGCTGCGTATAATACGAGTTCGCGGAAAATCTAAAAAATTTTGACAATCCGGCATTTTGATATGAAAAATTCCTGGGGTTTCCAGAGATTATTGTAATTCAAACATGAAAGTAAGAGTGATTCTCGAAGTGAAATTTGACGCGAAATATTTTTTGCAACCCTACCTTGCTTGTGGGACATGATTCTGTTCGTTGCGATAAGCGTAAGAACTTGCGAATTGAATAAGAAAACTGCAGACTATCGCAATCGTAGGAACTTTAGAATTATACTGCGACTCGATTATGCTGGATTTGTGCCTTCTCTGCGATTGCTTTTCTTTTGGCTCTGTCGCTGGTGTTTCTCTGGTTGACAACAGTTTTCCTCAGCACTAGAAAAAGAACATTCATACACCACCTAGCGGTGGGAAGCATAAGCATATACAAAGGGTAAATAATTAAAATTTGAATTGCAAAGATAATTACAAAATAAAAGCTCCGCCAATTTGATCAGAAAAATAAATATCAAATGAGTGCCCAAACTACTTCCATGTCACTACATTAATAAAGTCTATCAAGGTAAAAAATTTATTGTTAAAGAAAAATCAGGGTCTTCCTGCCGCTGTCCCTCTGCTGCACCCGAGGCAACTTGTGTGTACCACCTGCTGGCCAATCAGCGAACGATCTGTTTATCTAAACATACCGATTGGCCGATTTCGACCAATAGCAAAATCAGAAAGTGTCCTCTTTATTTTTACAGTAAAAGAAGTGCATTTTTCAACAATCCGCTTGACAAGAAGGAGGAATTTTCGGTTCAAAATTTAGTAAATTTAATTTCTCATTTTAAGCTTTAAAATTTCGGCCTTTAAACGCCTGCAAGTCCGTTGTTTGTAAAGTAAAATCGCAACACGACACAAACTTTTGAATTTCGCGGGTACTCCCTAGATGGAGCACAATAAGTACATCCGCGACGAAGAATTCATTCGCGGAAGAACCACAACTCACAACGGAACGGGATTTCTTTCTTGTTCTGCAGATTATTTGCGCCGAGACCCATTTGCAGGTTAAGCCAGACGCCCGTGTGATGCTCGAGCTGGCATATTGCAATTAGAGATTCTGCAGAGAAATCTACGGGAAAGCTTCAGCAAGACTGAGATTTTTGAGACTGATGAATCAGTGAACGGTGAGCCCTTTGCTTAAACTCCATTTTATATTATTATTTGGGCACTGCAATGCAAGGCCGCGCACTGTCTAATCCATTTCCGTATTCGCCTCGCTTTTCTTCCGTTGTTGACCCCAAAATTATCCACCTGGGCATCTGCACGCCCTGAAAAAGTGTCCCATTGCAAAATTGGAAGGACGGGTTCTTTCGAGAGGTGCAAACCGAGCAGCTTTCGTAATAGAGACACGTTCATCACCGCGAGTGGTGTGAATAGATTTCACTTTTTGAGCTCAGCCTTGTGTAAAATTCCGAGGTCTTGCTTATCCTTGCTTATGCAAATAAAAATAAGTTTAAATCCTATGCCGTGGCCGGTGGTCTGCTCGTGAAATGCAAATTTTGACAATGACCGCGATTTCCGAGACGTCGTTGTCTCGCACACTGCGTCATTTGATATCAAAAAATAAGCCACTGCTCTCAAGGGGCAAAGACCGAGCACAAGGGATGACTCACGTTTGTCTTGATTTTTGCAGGATTTGCAGTGGGGTTGCCTGATAATAACGATTTGAAGATGTCTGCCGCCAAGAGCAGTCAACAGCAATTGCCCACCGGATCCAAGCAGACTGAGCTGGACCAGATATGGGGTGACCTGCGAGAGGGCATCGAACAGGTGTACAGTAGGAAGTCCATGTCCAAGACTCGATACATGGAGCTCTACACGTAAAATCTTATACCAATTAAAAATTTTGCCAGTTAATATTTATTTTTGTTAGTCATGTGTACAACTACTGTACAAATGTGAACCAGAACAACAGTGCCAGCAGGAACGAAAGCCGAACAGGGGCTTTGAGTAAAAATAAAAAAACGCAAATGTCTGGTGGCGCCCAGCTTGTTGGCTTGGAGCTTTACAAGAGGCTGCGAGACTTCCTGAGAAAGTACCTTGTTAAATTGCTAGAGGTATGTCCAAGGAAAAAATTATTTTTAAACATATTGCATCATCTTTTGTTTTAATTAGGATGGAACCGACCTGATGGACGAGGATGTACTGACATTTTACACACGGCAATGGGAGGAATACCAGTTTAGTTCAAAGGTTCTCAACGGTGTTTGTGCATATCTGAATAGGTTCATTATTCATTTGTCAATATAGAAAAATGGAAATTAATCTGTGACGTTTTAGGCACTGGGTCAGGAGAGAATGTGAAGAAGGGCGGAAAGGAATCTATGAAATATACCAGCTAGCTCTAGTAACATGGCGCGAGTATCTTTTCAGCAAATTAAATAAGCAGGTGACCAACGCCGTCCTGAAACTTATCGATCGTGAACGTAATGGAGAGCCGATCAACACACGCTTGGTTAGCGGGGTCATCAACTGTTATGTTGAGCTTGGTCTAAATGAGGAAGACCCTGGCGCCAGAGGTCCAAATCTTTCGGTCTACAAAGACTCGTTTGAGGATTTGTTCTTCGAAGATACTGGCCGATTTTATTCTAGAGAGAGCAGTGAATTTCTTCTGCACAATCCGTTCACCGAATACATGAAGAAGGTATTTTAATTGATGTTTGTAGGTCTGTCTTGTATTTAATTGTGTGTATTATCAGGCGGAGCAAAGGCTCTTAGAAGAGCAGAAGAGGGTCAAGGTCTATTTGCACGAGACCACTTTGGATCGTTTGGCAAAGACGTGTGAAAATGAACTTATACAAAAGCACTTGGAAATGTTCCACGAAGAGTTCAAGATCCTCCTTGATCAAAATAAGGATGATGATCTTGGACGTATGTACTCATTAGTAGCTAGGATCCCGGACGGTCTTGGAGTGCTCAGGTCCCTTCTTGAGCAGCACATTTACACCCAAGGCTTGGAAGCAATTGAGAAATGTGGTGAATCGGCGGTCAATGTAAGACTCGAATTTGACCTGTATTCTTTTCTCATTTTGAGTTTCACAGGACCCGAAAGTATACGTCAGCACAGTTTTGGCTGTTCACAAAAAATACAATGCTTTAGTTTTGACGGCATTTAACAACGACTCTGGCTTTGTAGCAGCATTGGATAAGGCGTGTGGGCGGTTTATAAATATAAATGCAGTCACTAAAAGTGCCAACGCATCGTCAAAGTCACCAGAACTTCTAGCCAAGTTCTGTGATCACCTTCTAAAAAAGAGCTCTAAGAATCCAGAGGAGGCTGAACTGGAAGATACTTTGAATCAAGTGGTATGTTTTTTTTTTATAATTTTAAACATAAATTGCAATCTAAAATTAATTTTAGATGGTAGTCTTCAAATACATTGAAGATAAGGACGTCTTCCAGAAGTTCTATTCGAAAATGTTAGCAAAGCGTTTAGTGCAGCACATGTCCGCAAGCGACGACGCCGAGTCCTCAATGATCTCAAAACTAAAACAGGCTTGTGGTTTCGAGTACACGTCGAAACTGCAGCGCATGTTCCAAGACATCGGGCTTTCGCGCGACTTGAACGATCAATTCAGGAAGCATTTAAGCAACTCCAAGGAGACCCCAGACATAGACTTCAGCATACAGGTGCTGTCCTCAGGTTCGTGGCCCTTCCAGCAGTCCTTCAGCTTCTCACTACCCACTGAACTGGAGCGCAGCGTCCATCGATTCACGAACTTCTACAGTGCTCAACACTCTGGACGAAAACTCAGTTGGCTCTACAACATGTCCAAGGGCGAGTTGGTCACAAACTGCTTTAAAAACAGGTATTTTCTTCTGATTGTAAATATTTCAGAAAGATATAGAAATTGTATTTGCAGATACTCCTTGCAAGCGTCCACTTTCCAAATGGCAGTTCTTCTACAGTTTAACAGCGCCTCTTCTTGGACCCTAGGACAGTTAAAAGAACACACTCAAATAAAGCAAGACTATTTGATTCAGGTACTGCTAAACTTTTTAATTTAAAAATTTTACTTATCGAACTGTAAGGTTGTTTGTATATTGCTGAGAGCTAAGCTGCTGACAACGGAAGATGACGAGTCTGATCTGCAGAACAGTTCGGTCTTATCCCTGTACCTGGGTTATAACAAGTAAGATCGGTTCAATTGCGTGATTTTAGGAAGCTCATAATTATAATTTTTCAGTAAAAAATTGCGAGTAAACATAAACATCCCAATGAAAACTGAGCTGCGAGTAGAAGAGGAAGCCACCCACAAGCACATTGAAGAGGATCGAAAATTGCTTATCCAAGCTGCCGTTGTGCGAATTATGAAAATGCGCAAAGTATTGAAGCACCAGCAGCTGGTGGCTGAAGTTTTGAATCAGCTTTCACCCCGTTTTAAGCCGAGAGTCCACGTGATTAAGGTATGCAAATTTCTGTCACAAAATTGTCGGTTGAAAGTAATTTTTGTCCTTTTAGAAATGCATTGACATTCTGATAGAGAAAGAGTATCTAGAACGAACAGAGGGCCAGAAGGACACCTACAGCTATCTGGCGTGAGGCCTGACTACCGGTGCTAGCAAGTGAATGGGTTGATTTTGATTAAAAAAATTTAAAATATAATTTCAAACAGGAAAATTATTTGTTGAGCGATTTGGAGCAATTAATTTATGAAGGTGGCTGGCTACCTAACGATGAACTGAATGGCCCCAGTTGCTTATACTTGTGGCAGCCTCTGAAAAACTAATTTATATCTTGCCTTAACGTGAATGTGCGCCTATAGTTTTTATCAAATTAATCTCATCTAGAATAGAACAAATTGAATTCAGAATGGTTTTAAGTATTGTAATAGAATCCAGAAAGACAGTAATTTTCAGATTGTTTATTTCCACATCATGGTGATACAAATCGGCTCTCTTACAATAAGTTGTGAATTATTATCAGTTATATTTCCTGTACTTTTATTGGATCCAGTGCGTTTTTGTTATTTGCTTTCAACCATAATTTTGACATCAACTATCAGCCTCCCACGATGTTGACCCCAAAGTATATAATTTCAACATGGAATAAAAATTGCAATGTAAATAATATAATTTTACATCATTTCTATTCATTTGGTCCCTTTTTTGCTGTTCAGTAGGTTGCCAAATTTTGTGTCTGCCAACTGCAAAGCGGCATTATTGGCAAGAAGTTCTTTTTGCCTGTGAAGATTGTGACATAACATCATCTGCCTGCGGAAAGCCATGATCAACTCTGCATGTTGTCTTTCCAGTTTTTGAATTACAGTAGATTGATTTTCAATTACTTTCCTTTGCGCTTCGTGATCGTCCTACAAGTCATTTAATATTGTCTTATTACAAATGATTCTAAAACAACAACGTACTTTTTCATGCCCCCGTTTGTCCTGCAAAGAACTTCGTAGATTTTCAATTTCTTCCAAGGATCTGTTTAGCCTGATCTCGAGCGTCGCAACCACTTGCGATGATGATTTTGAATCTTTCTTTGCTACAGCTAACTCCTAAATTTTAAAGTAATTTAATTTTTTGTTCCACACCAATTCTAATTATTACTTGTGTCAGTCTACTTTTGATTGACTCAAGCATTTTGATATTGTTTGCCTGCTCTGCCAAAGTTCTTGTGATCCTAGAAACTTTATTTTCTGACATTGATAGCTGCTGAAGGGCTTTGTTGCGCTCCTCTTTCACTGTGTGCAGCTCGGCATCAAAAGCTTTTAACTCGTCAACCTAAAAAAATTTTATTTTTATTCTCAAAAAAACTTCATTCAACAAATATTTTAAAACCTTTTTCTTGTGATCATCTCTGTGCTTCTCTATATCTGCTGTCAAAATTTTTACTTTCGCCCTGAGGAATCGCAGCTCGGCCTCATTGTTTATTTGCGACGAAGTGAGTGTATATGGGAGATTTCTATCGTTGCCACTTTTGCTTGAGGATTCAACTCTAAAAATCATTAAATAATTTAATTGCATTTGCTTATTATATATGAATTTATAAAATAAATTTTGAATGTTTATTTAATTTTGTGCTGTTGTATTAAATACATATTTTTATTATTTTTAAAACATACCCCACAGAAATGGGGATAAAGATTTTGGAAGCGATGTCTGATGATCGTTCTTTGACTGAAGAATCTTTTTCTGACTCTTTTGGTGAATCCTGAAATATTTCATTAAACAAAAACATTAATTTTTATCAACAAAAAATATTATTTGCAAAAAGCGTGTTGGCGTTGTTTAGCGTATACAGAGGGAAAAATCAATATATTAATTGCTTTTAAAAAATAAACCTTTTTTATCGGATAAAATTTACAAAAAAATACCCGAAAAAACCTTTAAAATGCAATCTGCTTCCCTCATGAGCAGTCTCGTTCTTAAATCTAGCTCCTCATTAATCTGGAATTGCTGCTGATCCCGTTTTAGAATATTCCCTTCCATGATGCTTATTATTGCGCGGAGTGAAGGAATGGATTTTTTGCTGCTTTCCCGCCGCCCTAGCAACAAAAGCCATTTTACGGCAATGATGGCGACCGACCACCATTATTTTTATTTCGCGATTCTTTACTTTCGAGTCCTACGCAGTTGACTTTTTTTTTTTTTTAAACTATAAAGTACTCTAATTTGAGACTGAAAAATGGTTCCTTATTTCCAAAAACTGCCTGGAGAATGGAAAATTGAATTTTCCTGAACTAATTTGCATAACAACCATTAGCAGAAGCTAAGAGGCGATCGACCAATGGGAGACAATGGCTTCGGTCGTCAACCAATCACAGCATCGTTCTCAAGCCCCAGCTGGGATATTTACAGACCGAGCAGCAGCTTTTTCTCTTTAACAAGTTGCCCATGCCCAGCTGATGGCAATGACAAAATGGTCGGGCATAGTCTGCCCAGCCAAATGAGAATTATTTTCGCTCAGTTCCGCGGTCAAAACTAGGGATGGCGGCGACGCAGCGACGCACGTTGACGCTGGGACAACCGCTGCACATAAAACAGGAGCCGCTGACGATGAGGACGTTGGCGCACTCGCCCATCCAGCACCAGCAAAATGCAGTCCCCGTCAAGAGCGAAACAATGCAGCCTATTGATCTCGAGACTCGACACTTGAAGCACACCACTCCGTCGACAAATGGGTTCCACCAGGAGGCCTCGACAGCTTCACCCTCGTCCTCCTTCCTTGGAGGCAAGTCTGCCAAGCTGCAGCAGTTCCTGGAGGAAAGCGCCAAGTGAGTCTCAGGGTGCTCAGACCTGGAGACCCCATCGATCAAATTTGGCATGATCTGACAACTAACAACTTTTTGTTATTCTCTGTTTGCAGCCCCGAATCAAAACGTACCGTGGACATGCTGTTGTCGCAAGTGCAAATGCTGTCTGCCCAAGAAAAGATGCTGTTGTACCTGAAGCTCCCTGGATCCAAGAATGGCGGTGGTAGCCAACCTCAGGTTGACCCTTTGAGGCAGCCCATCAATCCCTTGGGCACCAGGCACGAGATCCAGCAGACAATCACCTGGATCAAGACTCATTTGACTGAGGACCCTGACGTGTCCTTGCCAAAGCAAGACGTCTACGACGAATACATGTAAGCGTTCAATTATAGATTAAAAGATAAACTCTTGATAACATCGGGTTAATTTTAAAAATCAATTCATTTGTTATTTATTTGTTCCAGGGCCTACTGTGAAGCTAATGCGATGAAACATTTGTCGACAGCAGATTTTGGCAAAGTAATGAAACAGGTATTTCCCCGAGTCAGACCCCGTCGATTAGGTACAAGAGGAAACTCGAGATATTGCTACGCTGGCTTGTGCAAAAGAATGCGACTTGACCGACCTATGCTGCCAGACCTGGGTTGTGATGTAGAGTTACCTATCACTGAAAAGGTAGTTGAAATTTATGCTTTCTTATTACAATGATCTATAATTTTTTTAAATACTGAAATAAAATATTCAAAGGGTAACAGTTTTATGTTTCTTGTATGTTTTATAAAATTCTCTCACTTCTTTGTTCCAGGGTGATTCAAATTTGGAAGCAGCCGCATCTTTCCTCATAAGAGAGTGGGCTCAAAAGCTGCTTGGAGAGTCGTTCAGCAATCTCCGTGAACTAGCCTCTTACCTTGTGGACAAAATGTGCGTAGACGGCCGTTCAGTGGCTGCATTTGCTCTGTTGTCGGCGACTGCAGAAAACATCGAAGATGAGGATTCTCCTGCTAGCATTTTAGCCGCCAAAGAGCGAGACGCCCAGTTTGAGAGGAAGGTTGTGGAGAAGGAGCCGACCAAAAGAAAAGGCAGCCAAGACAGCGACAAGGTTGAATCTGCAGGTCGGCCGGCATCTGAATGTAAAAGGCAGAGGCTAAAAAACGGTCGAAACAGCATCGATTCGCCGGTGAGGCGAGCCTCAGAGTCCAAAAAGCGCCCATCACCATCGGCGTCCTCTTCGTCAGTGTCGCCAGCACCTACAACTCCGGCCACTAAAATGATAATTCCTCGCTTGTCTACTGGACCAGCGACGGTAGCAGCAGCAGCAACCACCCCCACTAGTGGGACCAGATCCTCAACTTCCCTGATCTCGCCTTTGAAGCAGCAGCAACCACAACAAACTCAGCAGCAGCAGCAGAACAAAAAGTACAAACGCATTCAGCCTAAACCAGAGCCGCCACTGGATGCTGGTGAGGAAGCCAACTTCTTCAACGACCTCAACTCTAGTGAACTGATTCAAGAACCACTTGGCATGCCTAACTTGGAGCCTAGCGCGTTCGATGACTATTTGAACGGGGGCAACTCGCAAGAGCAGGAGGACCACGAGCTAATGACTTATTTTACCCACACTTCCAACTCACCAGCAGCAAGTAAGTGTATTTTCCAGAATTTGTTAATTGTACAATTAAAAAATTATTTTTTTACATAAAAGATACTTTTAAAATTTAAAATTAAAAAAAGATGAATTTAAAAAAAAAAGGATTTTGTAGTAGAATTTCATGATCGAGGGTTGATTCATAGTGAATTTAATTTTTAGTCGCCTTTTCCTCGATGGATTTTGTGACTTGTTTATTGTTCTAGAAAAACAATATCCTGCTCTGGCTGCTCTACATGTTTCGGCTGCGGGCTGCAGCTATAATTCATGAGCTGTGAAATCATTTTGACAAGCATTAGTACAAAAATCAATATTTAAAAAAAAAAATTTCAAAGTAAATTCTCCAAAAAATAACAATTTTTCGTTAAAATTGTTTTAAGTTACATTTTTTCACCCAAAAATTTTAACAAAATTTGACAATAAAATTAAAATGTTTTAACAAATTAATTTTGGTCAGAACATGTAGAGCAGGATATTGTTTTTCATAAACAATAAATAACTCACAAAACTCATCGAGGAAAAGCCGACTTTAAATTCAAATCACCACATAGAGAAGAGTTTATATTAAATATTAAATTTATGATTTCGGATTGTTCCCAGGTACCAATCCAGAGCCTCCAGCACAACCAGTCACAAATGAGGAGCCTGCCAAAATTTCGCAACTGCGCCGTCTGCTCGAAGGCAACGAACGAGTGGTGAAGGAGAGCACCAAGCGCCGAGTCAGCTTTGAAAACCCAACTTTCGACACGGTGCCTGCCAGTCCCAACACCCGTAGGCGCGTCTTCAACTTTCTGCCCATCTCGCCGGATGACGTCGTCCCCGGCATCCTGCAGGCACCGCCGCCGTCGCCAGCCTCAACGGCAACCTCGGCCAGTCCGTTTGTGTCACCGGCCAACACCCCTGTGCCGCGCTCTCGCAACAACTCGGGCAACCAGTTCATCTACCCCTCGCGCACCAGACACAGTTCAGCACCCAAACCCAACCTCACCGTTCGCGGTCGAAACTTCTCCGGTCCAGCGCCGTTGGGCTTCGACTTACACGGGTCACACTCAACCATGCTTGCCCCTCCGGACGGCCGACAACGACACGTCTCGGCCCAGCAACTGCAACTCCACGAACTGCTCGGCCACGAGACCTTTCTGTCCGACACAGTCCTGCCAAACATGCATCAGTTCCGCTCACAGTCGGTGCCTCTGCACCAAATGATCGGGGCAACGAACAACTCGTCGATTGCGCCGACCCCGGTGCCCTCCGAGTTCAACGACTTTGACACATCTGAATCGTTCCAACTGGACCAGTTGCTCATGGGTGAGGAGGACATTCTAGATGAGGCTGCCCGCGCCACCGTGTCCACCTCATTCAACTCGCGCTCCTTCCCCAACACCCCAGTCACTGAAATCGGGGGGCCGACGCTGCTGCCGTCCCTGCTGGCCGAGCAGCCGGCGTCGTCCCGCTCGTACCCGACTACGCCGGTAATCAACGCGCCGGACCCAGTCATTTCGCAACTCACGCTCAATGCCATCAACCAGCCGGCAGCACTCGGCGGCACCGCCAGACGCAATTTGTCCGAGCTGATCGACCAGTCGAGCAGTTTCAGTGCCGACGAGCAGGCCATGTTCCAGAGCATGGGCACCGAGTTTGGGGCGCCGCCGGAGCAGAACACTTTTGATGACTTTGACCAGTCGGAGCTGACGCAGCTGGTGCAGGAGGTGGAGGGCAGCGCCAGTCTTCTGCAGGACGAGTCGCTCTCCTAACGCACAAGCAAAGCAACTCTTTTGTACGTGGAATTCTATATTTTGATAGGATGAGCATTCCAGCCTTATTTTTTGTACTTCTTGTGGCTCGGGCCTCTTCCTTGGGCGGGCGGCCAGTCGGTGCTCTTGCAATCAATATGAAAAATGTACCAGACGCTAATGGGCGCTTTTTATAAAGCTGATTTTTTTTTGTTCGCTTCCATTGATCAAGCCGCAAAGTAAAGTGCGCTGGATTGGGACGTCGTTGGTCGCGGGAAATGTGATCGCATTGGTACAAAGTGGTTGTTGGTTATTACGTGTGCGATGAGATTTTAAAGTTTCTTCTTTGCATTTTTAACTTCTGGAAATTGCAGTTAGCTGCTAGTTTTCCTCTAGCGGATTGTTGGCTAGCTGCAGCAGCATTTGGGGGTCAAATTAAATATATCACTTTACGATAGGCTTTAATTAACTCAAAGGCTTTTAAAACTTGGACTCTCTCATCGCCGGTTTTTGTTGATAAGCAAATACCCTCGCTCCGTTTCACTGTTCCACGTCCAGCGCCTTCTTTGTGTAATGCAGATTACTACAATCTGATTTGCACGCACCCATTAGTGTCGAATTTGAAAACCGAATCAAAATCCAAAAAGACTCGTTCTATATTTTTGAAACTTTTTCGCGACAATCTGAATGAAGACGGAAGCTTGAGCACCATTTTCAAAGGGGTCCGCCGGGGGAACGGTCCGTTGTGAATCATGTGATGTGCCATTTCGGTTGACCAGCGCGTGCCCCAGTGGCCCAGCATCCCCCAATGATCTCACCCCAGCGGAGGCAATAAGAAAGATAAAAGCTAGCGGTGCATCGCGGCGGCACTCGGGGCACCAAACTCTGTCTTTTTCAAAATCCTCGGTGATAAATTGGAATAATATTTTCTACTGCTGTATTTAGCGATTTAATGTTGGTGTCACTCTGTCTCTCTCTTTCTCTTACTCGACTCAGTGTTTTGCATGCGAGTTATATTACTACCTAACTACGATTAATCACACACACACACACACACTCACGTTACTATATATTATTGGTGGTTTTGTACGACCAGCAGTATTAAGGAATTAAGCGTCTCTTGTGCTAGTTAACGAATGAATAAAACACACAAAAGCGTCGTCGTCGTCGGCACCAAATCGGCCGACCCGCGTGCCGACGTCGACCGTGTACTTACTGTTAATTGTAGGGTAGGGCAGCAGACGGGAGACTCGCACGGCAGCTTCGGTCGACGCGTGTTTCTCCGCGCGTGCGAATTCAATGTGATGTGTGCCGCCTAATTTAAAGAATTAGTTGATCGACTGTAAGACAAGCCACACACTCTGTAAAAAGCGACTATATTTTACATCCAGACTTCAAAAATTTCGGCCGTATCGTTAGTAATTGATTTTGTGATTGCCGATCGAGACCTGTATTTTTTTACGAGATGAAGATTGACGATGAATATTAGGAGAATGTGTTAACATGGGAGAGGAATTTGAGAGAAATGTTGATGCAAAACTGAAACGCGAGAAGAAATTTATATTTTATACTTCCTATAGATGCTTTTATTATATTTTGCTGAACCGGGACAACACACGAATTTTTATCCGTTTGTTTTATATACATTTTTTCGGTTATGTCCTGCGCGTCAAAAATCTATGATTCTTCTTGATTCTTTTTCTGTTTTGCTCTGGTTGTTTCTGTTGTTGTTTGGTAGCATTTGTTTATTGTGTCGTGCACAAAGCCGTCGCAATTTCGCCTTGTGAATTTCTTCCCCGCATTCTGACTTTCGTCTGATAGTAAAAATTTATACATTCGGGACCATCCGTACTCCGAGACAGTGCCTGTATTTTTGATCCAATTCTCACTCAAGACTGAACGACTTGAGAAACTCAAAAATTAAACTGAGAACTTATTGTTAGCTGAAAAAATTCAAGGTTTCTCATGAGGTAGGCGAAATTGCTTCGGGTCCGCCAAGTCCAGACACATGCAAAATTGCAGTTACGCACTTGTTGTTGATTTTGCATGCAGTTTTTTTAAGAGCTATTATTGTAATATTTTCTTAACCGCATAATTTTTATCGCGATACTTTTGTTGTTGGATTTGATCTGTAGAATCACACACGCAACACTCGGGAGGAAAGTTTGATAATTGCAGCTCGTCATTCGGCCTTTTGTATATTTTCGACAGACTTGTTGTTAACGCAGCCGATTAATTACAAGTAACCAATTGTTTCATCTCGAAATGACGTTTTTGCCAAAAAAAAGTGTACGGACTGATGATGACGTCTCTACTCGGAAACACAATATTTTTGTACGACCAACGTTTTTAGAGGAAAAAAGAAAGATACTAGAAAGCTTTGCACCATGAGGGGGCTGACGGGAGCCAGTCATACAATTTCACACGACGCGATTGTATCATGCTGCCAAGTACAAATTTTTAATAAAACTTGATGATTACGATGATGATATCGAATATGATTGTAAATTTTAATAATTAAAATGGCGCGATTATTTCTAGCTCGGTGTCGCTGAGGCCAAGATTTCTTGGCTGTAAGCGAAGTTAGCTGAAATCAATACCTTGTGTATAAGCTCACTATAATTTAGCCTGTTTTTGAATACGAATAAACGCAAAAAGATATGAAAAAAAATTACCTTTTATTTAATGAAACCTCTAAAAATTTAATTTGATACGATTGTATTTAAAAGATGACTTAGAAAATAAACGAAGAAACATATAAGCTTAAACTTAAAATTCATCCAGTTAAAATAAACTTATATTTTGAAAAAAAAATCAACAATAAATATTATGGAAGTTGAAACCTCTCATTTTTTAATGTATAAATAATTTGAAAAAAATATATATTGAGAAAATTATAATCCAACCGAGAATAGAGATTCATTAAAAAAATAGCGATACAATAATCTAATAATATTATTCAAAAGCAGAAGAGAATTTTCATGCCAAAACATTTTGAAGAACAAAAATTTTATTTAGTGTGTAATTCCGTTGTATGATAAAAATGCGTTTTTGATATTTTTCTTTTATTTCAAATTTAATTTATTTAACCATTTTCTTTGGCGCGCTAGCCCCCCCCCCCCCCCCTCTTCCACCCAACCCACCACCCAAAAAAAGAGCGACATTAAGAATGGGCGTGTCGGTGTCCCTTGTTTACCAGGCAGGCAGGGCTGCAGGCAAATTCGCTACCGGAATAAGAAAACCACTTTTTCGGACCCGTGTGCCGGCCTCAGGGGCGGACAAATTACCCCGAACTGGTACACCGGACGCATTTCGCCCTGAAGTAAGCAGCAGACGGAGTTGGCCCGTTGAAGGCCAAGAGCATCCGCTGAATTCGCACCCCAGAGGACCCTGATGGTGTACGCAGCAATGGTGAGGCAAATCGCAATGTAATGTGCACGGCCTGATTTTCTTTTAAGGAATCGTGGGAGTACACGACGCTCATTTATATTTACTTAATGTGGTTTTCATGCAGGATGAGACTGAAAAACCTCAACTGACGCCCAAAGCCTCTGACTATGAAATCCTGGCCGATTTGGGACAAAGCACTGGCATTTTCGGCATCGTGGCTATGGTCAGGCATTCGCCCACAAACACGCTATTCGCTGCCAAACGCTATGAGCTCGACAGACTGACTTCCGAAGAGGAAGATCTCATCAGGGTTAGGCAAATTTAAATACTTGAAGAAAATCAAAATTTGATAAAATTTATTTGTGTTTCAAATTTAATATCTTTTTTTCTCGATTTGTGAAGAACATAAGTAAATGTTTATTAATTTTATTCTTATATTTTTCAGCACGAAGTTTTCATGGCCAAGCAACTGAGACACCCAAATGTTCTACCTTGCATTGCCAGTTTTGTGTGGGACCAGTCGGTGTGCATTTTGTCACCTCTAATGGATCTGGGCTCGTGCCAAGATCTTATCACAAACTTCTTCCCCAACGGCATCCCTGAGCTCGCGGTGGCCTTTATTTTGCGTGACGCGCTGCATGGTTTGGATTACTTTTATCAACAGGGAATCATTTTAAGGTTTGCAATATTATTCAATTTGTTGTCGCTATATTTTTAATATCAAATTTTTTACAGGAGCGTCAGAGCTAGTCATTTGTATGTGTGTCAAAAGGGCAAAGTGAGAATTGGAGGGCTTCGATACGCTTGCAGCATTATCAAAGACGGAAGGTGGCTCAAAAGTCTGCACAACTTTCCCTCCAGCACACTGCCCAATCTTAATTGGCTGAGTCCTGAAATTTTAGAACAGGTAAATATTTTTCATAAATTATATTCTGATTTAAAAAACAAAAATGTTTCAGAATATGCTTGGCTACAATAGCAAATCAGACATTTATAGTCTGGGTATTACGACTTGCGAAATGGCCAATGGAATTGTTCCCTACGCTGACATGGAACCTCTTTTAATGTTGACCGAAAAAATTGGTGGAAGGTGTCCCCAACTTTTGGATAAATACGCAGTGCCCTACCTCACAGAGAGTAAGACTTTTTTGGAATTAAAAACGGCAACACCTTGTTATTAAAATTTACAAACATGTTTTACAGCAAGCAGCCAACAACCTGACTCAGGAGTTGGTACAAGCGCCGAAATTTCAGAGGCTGAAGAGGCAGCATTGAGTGCTGTGGAGAAAAGAGAATTTTCTGAGCCTTTCCACCACTTTGTCGAGATCTGTCTTTCACGGACCCCCAGTTTGCGACCATCTCCGTCACGCCTTCTCAATCACACGTTCTTCAAGCAGTGTCGGAGAGGCTCCCTGGCTGCAGTGCTGGCCCCATACCTAACCAACCAGACTGCCTCCGCTCTCAATCAAGGTAGAAGTTCTTTGATTGAATTTAAAAAATCACTCATTTTTTATTATTAGACTTGCTGACAGATATGACGGCCGAGAGGATATCTGATATTCAACTTGACAGTGTGCAATGGAACTTTTAATCAAGTGAAATGAAACTGCCATGTCTGTATAAAATAGATCTTGTATTGGTACAGCACAGGAATGTGGCATCATGTTTCATACATATGGCTGTGATGTTATTAATTTTTGATTCATGTGATGTGTCCTGGAAGGTAAGAAACCTCAATTTAAATCGAGACTAAAATCTGCATTTGATTTAAATAAGAGTCCATTATTTTAACATGATAACAACCGGGTTGTGCAAGTAGTACATTCCTTCAGTAACCAAATCTGGTATATTATAGACTATTGTGCCGTAATATGGAATTTGATCAACTACACTGATACGCCTAACGATATCTCCAAAGATAAAGTACAATCAAAATAATTATGCACCCAAAATATCTCATTTAGACTTCTAATTAATATCCTATATTTTTTTTCTCCAATTTCAGTCACTTCTTTAATCTATGAAAATCAATTAATAACACATCGGCTTTTTTAGCTAGAGTAAAAAATTTTAAATTTCAAGATCTCTTTGAGTATAAATCAATCTTGTGGTCAGGGTTTAAGATACCGGATGGAAAAATTTAAATCTAAGTCCTTAATATCTCTAAATTCTGTGATTGCTACGCAAGACGTCTTTAAAAAAGCAAAACTATATTAAATTGCTCCACGCTTGGTTCTTATCACATATTCAAATCACCCGCTAGTTTTGCATGATTATGAGGAGAGTGGTTGACACTGAACACAATTGCTCATGAGGTCTGGTTGATATCGCTCCACTTGCACTGTGCTCATGCTGATGTTGAACTTGCGGCGCAGAAGTTTGTTCGACATGTGTAAGACATGGTCCCTATCGACAGACGGATCTGCAAAAATACATTATCATAATTTGATGTTGCTGGAAAATGTGATTTTGCTTCCTTACCGACAGCAAGATGCACCATAACTGCTGTCTGACTAAGCGAGAGGCTCCACATCTGCAAACTGTGAGCCAGACGAACTCCTTCGATGCTTTGCAGTGCATTTAGCACTGCCGAATAGTCCAAGTGCCGAGGGGCACCTTCCATGAGCACCCTGGTAGCATCCTTCACAATAGGTCCGGTTGTGCAAAGCACCAGAAGAGAGAATGCGAAAGTGCAGATAGGATCGGCTAATTTTGCTTGAGGCTGATGGAAGTAAATTTTGCTTTATAAGTTAAAAATCGTAATTTTTGTAAGCCTTACATAAAATTTGATGACTATTGAGGATATGAAGACACCGACACTTTGCACAAGATCTCCAACAACATGAATCACAGCAGCTCTTATGTTAATATTCCTGTTTGAGTCATCGCTGTGATGGTGTCCATGTGAATGTCCGTGTGATGAAAAGCAAGCCCCATGTAGAGCTAGTCCCATACTATTTTATAGTCAAGATAAGAATGAGCTACAAGCGTATTAATTAAAAAACTTACAATATATTCACCACCACCCCAAGTGCGGCAACGATCATCATGGTATCAGGTTCAATTACAAAGTCTTGGTTGATAACCCTGAGCACAGCCAGGTACACAAAGATCCCAGTCAAAATCCAGATGATGAAAATGCTCGACATTGCACCCAAAATTTCTACCAAATTGAAAAAAAAAATATTAATTTTTAATATAATAAAAATCTGAATAAGTAAATACCAGCACGGTGATAACCAAATTGGAGGTTCTTGTTCGAGGGCCACTTTGCGACCCAAATTGCAAAGAGGCTGACAAGGAATCCAACAAAATCTGACATCAAGTGAGCAGCATCAGTCATAACAGCAAGACTACCTGCCAAGTACCCTCCAATTACCTCGGCAATCTGCAATATCAAGAATATAATTACATTTGAATAAACACTTTTATCACAAGCATTACCATAAAAACCAAGCACATCAAAGTAGCGGCTAAAAGAGGTTTCCAAGGGGACGAAGAAGTGTCCTTCTGTGATAGCGAGTGGCAGTGGTATTCTTCAAAGGGCGGAAGCAAAGTTGTGTTGTAGCCCTCCTAAAAACATAATCCAGATTTTCATTAATAAGATGAAAATTAAAAATGTGATCATCTATACCACATTTGTGAGAAGGGGCACGTCCGGATCCTCAGCGTTGATGATCAGTTGAGGAGTGGCACGGGGCGAGGGGTGGTGACCATTGCACTCGGTTCGCCAAGGTTCGCCGAGTGACCCTGACAAACTTCGGCATCGCACGCAGAATGTCGGCAGATCGTCTTCGTCGTCGTCCTCAACGCCGAGCAGAGGCTGCTCCGAATTTTCGATGCGCATTCTCGCAGCCAAATCTTGCGGCAGTCTGTTAATCCGCCCGAGGGAGGACATGATGATTATTGGCGAGTTGAGGTCAGTGGACTCAACTGTTCGAGTTTCGACGTTCAAGGTGGAGATCACGTTTGCACCATGGTTCACTAATAAGGTCAATAGCGGACCCTATTATTCCTAGACAAAAGAGAAATGTTCCAATGGGCTGCACGCGTTTCACTTTCTGCTAAAGTGTCGCGAATCGTTAATTTCTTTTATACACGTATGTTTACTCTCACACAAATCAGATGTTCTGCTCTACTTTTAACTTGTGCACCGTCAAAGGGGGATTTCAAAAGGAGTTTTAAATTTTCTAGTTTTCTACTCTATTCGTTTCAATTTTTTCCAAACATCTCAAAAATTAATTTGAAAATTATTTTATTATTTTTTCAAATTAACATGTTCCGAAGAAATTTAATTGTTTTGAAAATAATATAAATCCGAGTACTAAAAATAAATTTTTGATTTTGCCGCTTTCAAAGTCTTGGTAAATAATTTTATTTTACCCAATCAAATCGTGCAATCTTATGCCATCAGCCAATGAAAAGCGTTCAAGCAAGGAGTCTTCAAAAGGGCTGAATAACGATATAACGATTGGATCGAAAAATGAGAGGCTAAAACTTGCGCCATAATGGATTTTCAATCGGCTCCCAATGGTCGTTCGCTGTGACTAAAAATTTAATTTCGGCGGTTCCATGAACGGATGCAACATGGCGGCTTGTGCGCGTTCGTCAACAAGTTTGGACCTGCCGTATAAAGTGCACCCGCATGAAGAGAGCCAGGCCAGAGGCCATCATTAAATTCGCAATCTCCCTGACCTGAGGTCTGAGGAGTTGCACACGAGACCACAACAGCAGCAGTTATTTTGTTGACCAGCGGGAATATTGAATCAACGCAAAGTGCAAAACACGCGTGCACGATAGTAAGGTAAATTATATTGAGTGACATCACGTTTGCCACCTTTCAATATCACTTTTGTGCTAAATACCAAGTTTCCGGTCGCTTTCGAACGTGTCCGATGTCAATGTGACCTAACATAATCGGCACTCGGGGACGGCTGGGACCTGTCAAGCACGTGACAATTTTTTATGTTGCATGCCAACATCTATGCAAAATTGCGTACGATCAGCACTTTCGAATTTGTTGATTTTTTCTTTAAATTCCGCGCTGTGCAATTTTTGTGCCGCCGCAAAACGGTGGGAAGTGAGTTGTGACTGCAAAATATTTTCACACACGACCCTAGTTCAAATATAAAATCGGTCTACGCAAAACAGATCGGATCATAGCAAAAAAGCAGACGCCAGTGTCACTCTTTTGTCCACCCATACGGATTATTGCCGCCCACGGATGTACGTGATTCACTATTTCTCCATCATGAATAATATTTTTAGTTTAGAACGCGCGCCCAGTTTATTTTTAGTTGCGTTTGTATTTGTACCTTACATTTTTCTCTTTTTAAAATGCACCGCGACGGCCAGACGATGCGGATGGAGCGCGCAATGCATGTTAAAAAAATCCAATTGACAAACCGCGAATGCAACATAAATATTAAAACAAAAACAATAATTTATTATCGGTCGTCTGGAGGTTAAAAATAAACGAGAGGTTTACATTGAAAAAAATTAATTTACAATCGTCTTCGTATTTTTATCTTTTGACCCAAATAGTTTTGTTTCTAGAAACGAAACAGATCTTACAAGAAGTTTAAAACTGATTTATTGTTTCATAGTTTTTCAGTGTGGAGAAGATGGGCGAGGGGCGAGGACGCCACACTTGCCGGGTGCTATCCACCTGCTGCGTCCTCTGCTGCTGCATTTTGGTGCACCACGGATGCGGTGCGCAGAGTCACCCTCCAGATGACCACAGTGCCATCAGCGATCCAATGCAAGAGTTGCTCAGACGCTACGGCAATGGTACTGTTATTACGCACGAAGGACTGGAAAAACTATTCAAAGACCTTAAGATTCCGCATCACCATCATCACACTGGTGATTAACATTTCTTATCTCTTCTTGTGAAATTTATGATTTTTTTGCAACGTATTTTCACTGATTTTATTTTATACTCTAGAAAATGATTTGAACTTGAGCCAGGAAAATGATCATCAGAATGAGCTGTCTGTCTGCAAATGGCAAGAACCTATTTCCAGAGAATCAATTGCAAGTGATTGTCCTTCGTTATTGCTGCGAATCGTCGAGCCGTCCCTTTGCAATGAGAAGCACAAAAACAATAACAACCCCCTGCCAGGCCACATTTGGATGTACGCGGTGATCAGCATAGTTGTGATATCAGCGTGTGGCCTTCTGGCCGTGGCTGTCATTCCTGTGATGCAGAAACTCTTCTACCAACAGATGATTCAGTTTCTTGTGGCTCTTGCCGTTGGTACCCTGTGTGGTGATGCCCTGCTGCACTTGTTACCACATGTAAATCACGATTTTTGTGTTGACTTCAACCCTTAATTTGTTTTCATCCTATAGGCCATGACTGGAGGTCACAGTCATGATGAGGAGAGTAGGAGGAATGTTTGGAGGGGTTTTGTAGCTCTTGTTGGAATTTTGCTATTTTTCTTTATGGAGAGGTGTCTAACAGTTGTGTCAGAGTGGAGAAGAAGGAACCAAAAGAAGAAAAAGGTCTGCGAAGTTTTTTTGAAATTATAAACCAACTAATATAATTTACTGTGCTATAGCAACTGCCGCCAAAGGTGAAAGTGATGAGAGATCCGGAGCAATTGCAAGGAAACAGTGCAGTGGGTGAAAAGCTTTGCAAACACAAATATAGTTCCTATCCATACTGCTATGAGGAAATCACAGGCAAAGCTGGTACGGTGATTTATATTTTAAATAAATATCCCTATACAGTAAAAAATATTCAATTTCTAAAATTTTGATATTTACAGTTGCTGAATCTGGAGACAAGAAGGTGGAGCCGGAGGAAACTGTGGCCGAGAATGCTACTGAGAAAAGTGAGGCCCAATCTCCGGTGCTGATAGTCAACCAAGAGCTCAAGGTGGTCGAGGAGGAACCTGCCGAGAATGGCGAAGGCTACACAGTGATAGTTCGAGAACACGAACGCTCACACCACGGACACTCTCATTCGCACGGTCATGTGCACTCTGCACCTTCATCTCTAAGCTCTGTGGCCTGGATGGTCATCATGGGCGACGGACTCCATAACTTGACAGATGGCCTAGCCATTGGTGCTGCGTTTGCTGGTGGCCTTACCAGTGGTTTTTCAACTGCCACTGCCGTGTTTTGTCATGAACTTCCTCATGAATTGGGTAAGTTGTTGATAACCTGAAATGCTAGTACATTTTATATTACTCAAATTTTAGGTGATTTTGCGGTGCTGCTGAAAGCAGGAATGAGTGCCAAAGAAGCTATTTGCTACAACCTGCTTTCATCCTTCTTGTGCTTTGTGGGGATGCTGATAGGAATTACAATAGGCCACTCTGAAACGGCTGCAGGATGGATTTACGCTGTGGCTGCAGGAACTTTCCTCTACATTGCGTTGGTGGACATGGTTGGCAACTCTAAGCAAAATTTATGCACATATTATAAATTTCGTAATAATTTTCAGATCCCAGAGTTGACAAACGGCCATTCCTCAGGCTCATGGCTACAGACACTGATCCTGCAATTGTGTGGTATGTCTTTCGGGGTAACCATAATGATGCTGATCGCCTTCTATGAAGAGAATTTGCATAATTTGTTTAACGACTGAAGCAGTCACATCTCAACTACGGAGGCCTAATTTTCAGAACATTTTGCAGTATTAATTTTCGTAATCATGAGGCATTTCAATTTAGAACTCTCATTTTGCAATCTCTAATTTTTATTGCCATTTACAAAAAAAATACCAAGGGCCTCTTGGTTTAAAATGGTGCATTTTTTATTTGGCCATGTTGTACAGTCAACGTAGAGTCGATAATTTGTGTTTTAAACAAATAACACGATTTTTATTTTACTTGTTATATGAGTTTGTTCCTACAAAATTTTTTACCAGTTTTGAACACAAGATTTGAGTAGAGAAACATATCTACCGATCATCAAACAGCAATATTTTTTACGATTGACCAAGCGTGATAAATCTCTTTGGCATTAACAAAATTATGCATTTTTATAAAATGGTCTGGTTGGTTAGTTTTCTGACTAGCAAACTTGTTTACTTAATTAGAGGTTAGCCATAGGAAGCATTTTGTGTATGATATCATTCATTAAAAATTTAAGTCAAATGTTTTGTACTTGAAGTTTTTTCTTCAATTTTTTCAACCACACGCACTTGAAGATAATGAATGAAAGGCGAGACAAGCTATTGAGAAGCGGGCAGAAGGAAAAGAGGATGTGCATGGTGGCTGGGGGTGATATTATCACACATGGGCATATATACTGGCTGATGGCGTCAACATTCATACAGGCAATAAAACGACTTGGGTGGTCCCTCTCGCGCCTCAGACTTTGCTTGATTGATGTTTCGACTAATTCAAATAATCTCTCCTTGCCCAACGTGCCATGCGAGCTGTGGAATAATTTTCCTCGCTCGCTTGGCCCAGCACCCATAAAATGAAACAAAAGGAAATTCCTTTTTTGTGGCAAGCGCATATTTTTAATATGAAAAGGCAAATAATAAAAATTAACGATCGAGACCACCTCATCGCTGCGGTTCATCCAACCAGAGAAAATCAAATCGACTTGAACAAAATGTGACATGTCGCGGCCGAAATTTACGATTTGAGCCGCTCGCCGTGTCCCTTCGTCCGGTCGCGCTTTATTATAATATGTGTAATGAAATGACATCTATTAGCATGTACTTCGTATTTCCTGTGAACTCGATTTGCGACGCCCCTTTAAAACCAGTTCCAAAATCAAATTTATTGCGAATTTAATTTCCCTTCGCGGAATGGCTTTTTGCCTGAAATATGGTAATTGAAAAGAGCGAGGAGGATAAAATGATATCTTTACGACCCACAATTAAAAAAAGTGCGGCCGATTCGCGCAAAAGTATATTATAGGCGCGCGAGAGAAAAGTGCCAGTGGATAATAATGTTTATGCGCATTGTCATCCGAACAGCTTATGCATGCCCTAGCGGCCATAAATCGTGCTTTTAAAATATCATTTCCAGGTTTTTTTGTAACTAATAGTTGTTGGTTTTGAGGCGCAGAGCAGCGGTGGAAGGGCAGACCACCCAAGTGGCGAGTGGTGGTCCTCAGAGTGACACCGCGCGCTCGCTCTGCTCTGCCTCCCAACCACCCCTCGCCATATGAATGAGCGCGAGTGAGTGCCGTAATTAACCGCAGTAATTGGCGCCGAGAGAGCATCCATTATATATTAAAGTTCTCGCGGTTGATGCTGCATAACTTTGGCGCATCACTATCGTTGAATGCTTCATGATTCTGATATAAAATTCGCAAAATTTTAACGTCATCGCTTCTCATTTTCTCGAGACGAAAAACTGATCGAAGTGGAAATAAAGTTTTTTTAGAATAAATTTGGCTAGCAATCGCAACCATAATAAAGTGTATATTTATTTTTTTATTTTTCATTTTGATTTTTTCTGCTAATATATCAAAGGTTAAGAGTTTTCGCATGAGCTTAATATTTGAATATTTAAATGATTTTAAATAAAATTCAGTCAGTAAAATATAAAACATCATAGTTATAAAAAACAAATAAAATCTGTAGTCTTAGTTAAATAGCTTATAATTTCAAACTGTCATACTGTCAATTAATTAAGCTCATTGATATTAAAGAGCTGAAAACAAATTTGAAACCCACATTTTACTTTTAAATGTTTAAATCCACAAATAACAAAATAATCAAAATAATTGAAAACAAATGTAAATAAAATAATACACAAATTTCAAAATTGAACTTAAATTGTCTTTTTCATTTTGGCTTTGGTTGATAAATTCAAATAATATTTTGCATCTTATTGGCTTTTTTCTAGTAATTTCATAGTAAATTTTACATAATTATTTTGGAGCATAATACTTTAACCAAGATTATCCAAATCATTAAGCCCAAAAATTCACTGTCATTCATTTGGCTGATTTTGCACATCAGTATTGACTTTTCGTGGCACTTTCATAAAAATATTTGTATGAAAAGGAAGAACAGAAAAAACACACGCACACTAACAATTATCTGAGAAAATTATTTCCTTTCGATTAAAAATGTTTGCATCAAAAAACTAATCAACTAAATAAAAAACATTTTATTTTGCTAACGGGAACTTCCTCAAATCATATTTTGGGCTGTCAAAGTTAAATAAAAAATTGTTAATTAGTGTCCTTTATTTATTATTTGTTTATGAATAAATAAATAAATACAAATAAATAGTTCATTAACGTTGAATTAAGAATTTACAACAAATATGAATAGACAGTCACGGTGCAAATATTTGCATATTATATATTTTAAATTACTTATATATAATTCAGCTATTTTGGGGAGCAAAGAATTAAAAAAATATCGTAAATTATCAAGTTTTATGGCGTACTGCGAATATTTATAATTGATCGCGATTTTATTAGGTGCTCTAATTAAAAACACCAATTGTTTAAAAATCATATTTTATAACTTGTGTTGTTTATCCAACACAAACCGATAATGTTACTTAATTAATTAAAAAGAGAGAACACCAATTTCTTGAAACCCAATGGAAATTTTCACAATTCTAATGGTTATTTCAAATTAAGCAGTCCTTTTACAGTCAGCTTGTCGTCGCACGGCACTTTTTCTTAAGCACGGCAGCAAGAAATTGGAAATGAAAAGAATAAAGGGACAATGATGAGAGCGGCTCCTTTCCTCTCTGACGCGCGCGCGAGACTTGAATAATTCCGCTGATGAAGCGGAAAATGCGCAATATTGCGGGCGAAATTGAGATGAATAGGGAGCAGCGTTGACATGTCATGAGGCAAAAGTTATTTTTCTATAAATTGTCACCGCTGAATGAAATGAAAGGCGGCGAGAAAAGAGCAGGCGATCCCGTGAAAGGTCGTCCTGTTCTTTGTGGGCCGCGCGCAAAAGATGCAGCCTTTGAAGTCGCCGCCACTTCGTTCCAGTATAATTTAGCTAATGAATTACCGATCACCGCAACGCACAATTATGTGTGTGTGTTTCTCTCGCGCTTTATTTCGCTTCTTAGAGTGGAGGGGCTTTGGCGCGAGAAACTCGGCAAAAAAGCGTCAATCTCGACGTGATATTTCCTCGAAACAACTTTTAAATTAGGATTATTTGAAGTATAAATTTTCTACCAGTTTCTCCTAAAACACGAGTTGTTTTTATATCTTTTTTTGAAATATTTTTCCTGTAAATATATTTTATCAATAAATAAGATTCAAAGCAAGTTTGCCGAAGCTGATCAATTACGATAGGAACGCCAGTGGCAAGTGTACACATTTACATTGTGGTACCTGCTATTTAGTTAGGCGAAAGAAGAGAGAATATGGTACTGTTCGGCTTTGGCCTCACTTGAATTATTGCAAAAGCAGAACACCGTCAGCAGGGTTCTCTTTTATTCCCAACGACAGCAATAAAGCAATGAGAAGAGAAAAAAGCGTGGCGTATAAGGACCCTAAAAGATTGATTTGGGGCTCAACAACGTTGGTGGCAACTTGGGTGGTCCCTTCCCAATGGCAGGACAGGCCTCGCCGATGGCCCTCTTCGCGGGCATTCATCACACAGCCAATCCGAGCGGCTCACCAACCGCCGGCCTGCCTCGAGATCGCTTCGGCATTGGGTCACGGCGCTGCCGTCGAACTCGGTGTTGAACAAGAAATAACCGGTACTTGTAGCAAATTAATCGGCAATTCTGATTGAAGCCACAGGTCTCGCGAAATCTTCAATAATGTTTTATTATAAAGCTAAAAAATGTAATAATTTAAAAGTATATCGACACTTTCAAATAAGATAAAAATATTATGAAAATACATTTTCATTTACGACATTATCACATTAATTTTAGTTATGTTTGAATACAAAGATTTAATTAAAATAATTAGAAAAAATTATTAACTTGCTGTTAAATTTTGTAACTCATTGTCAGCTAAAATAAATTTAAATGAACCAAAGGAAAAGTTTGATGTTCGAGTTTTTAGATATTCGCGGAGTTTTGTAATCAAAAGTTTTTAATTTAGAATTAATTTGCAGAGTTAATCTAATTGCATCCCTTAAACAACGATTGAATGCTTTGATTTTCATTGAAATCGTTTAGAAATTAAATATAAATTTTTTTCTTTTTGCAGCGCAGAAGTGAAAAATAATTCCAGAAGGTATTATAAAAGTTTGTTTGAAGAAATTGACACTCGAGGAGATGGTCATGGAAATGAAGAGATCGGGCTTTTCCTCGTTGCAGAATTTTTTTTTTTTTTTTTTTTTTTTTTTTTGAAAAAACAAAATGCTCGGTCTACTACCGTATTTCTTGAGCAAGAAAAATATAAAAAAAAAATCAGGAAAATTGAAAAACACCACATTTTAACATAAAAATTAAAAAATACATATTATATATAGTTTTAAGATTTTCATATTAATGTTAAAATGTTGGTTTTTTCAATTTTGCTGATATTTGGTATTTTTTCTCTTGAAATAGGGTCGCAGACCGTGACCGAAACTGGTAGAGCAATTTATTTTTTCAATAAAAAACAATTTCTGCAACGAGGAAAAGCCCGACCTCTTCATTTCCATTATAAAAGTCGTACATATTAGAATTGGGAAAAATTTTATACAATTGTATAGTTGAGATATTTACACTATGAAATTAAAAAAAGCAGCTTAATAGCTGTTCTTGCTTATAAAAAAAAAAAATAAAAAATAGAATGTAGATTATATTTACAAAACTTTTTCTTGAAAATTATTTATTATTCAACATTCCGATTCACTTGCTCTGGCGTGGTCTCAGAAAATAGGCCATTAATAATAATGGTGCCTGGCTTATTTAGGTTACGTTTTGACCCTCTCATTCTTTAGCAATAATTTGACCTCTGACCAAATCAATGACTCTTGTGATGTTGTGATCCTTAAAATCACTTAAAATAAAATAACTAAAACAGAAATGAGTTGAGATATAAAATTAAAAAAAAAATTAAATAGATATTTTCAATATTTCCAAATTCTTATTATTGATTCTAAAAAAAGAAAAAAATAAATAATATGTAAATGCTTAGGGAGGAAACCTAGGAAAACCGGTTATGCTGCCAGTTAAAAACCGAGAACCGGGCATCTGGTGTGGCCACAGAGGCGGCAGCAGAAAGAAAATCAGTCGAAGGCTGAATTCGGTTGGGGCCGGAGGTGCATCCGTGTGGTCGTAGTGACGCGCTCATCATGTGTTTGGCCCCGCCAGCCTGAGTCAGTCGGGACACAGTGTCCGAGAGTGTAATCCAAGTTCAATGGGCGCCAGGCGCGGCTCGGCACGACGAGCTGCAGAAGTCCGACGGCTCGATGAAGACGTCGTCCCTCAATGACGCCGGCGCCAGAGGCATCGTCCGACCAGCAGGGGTGCTGCCGTCCTCCTGAGGACAAACACACCTCCGACCTGTACACCAGGACCTCCTGGGTCGACGCCGCCCTCGCCCTTTCGCAAATCGACAAAGTAAGTTGGTCAAACTAACTTTGAACGGATGATTTTTGCACAAAATTTCCAAAACGTTCTCAAATCCCGACTTGAATTGATCAATGACATGTGTACGTTGGCGTTTGAGTTGGAATTCGCGTCCGAGTCGCGTTCCCCGCGGGCCTGCGAGCCGTTCGGAGGCGGCTGTTGTTGTTTTTCGGAGGCGGCCATGCTGGTAGAGCGCCGTGGGTGGCACGATCTGGCTGCGGCTCTCTCGAGCGCTGCCTGCTGCAGCACCAGGAAGTGCCGGATAAGCTAACTAAGACGTCTCTCTCTCCTCCAGAGAGAACACAATTTATTTCTCAGGACTAACATCTCTATTCGTGTGTTGGCTGGACCGCGCTCCAGCCTCCAGCCGGCCCGTCACCGAGGAATTTCAAATTAATCAATCAAGAAATTTCCATTAATTATTAATTTACTTTAAAATATTACAATTTTTAAACATTTCAACCAGGGAAATCATATAAATTATCCAAATTATTTAAGCTTTAATAATTAATGCGAGTTAAAATAAATTCCAAATTTAGAATTATTAAAAAAATTAACCGTTGAAGTCAAAAGATGTAAAGAAAATAAATTTGATTATGATAAGGGTTTTTAGGTTTTTATTCCTCCTAATACAATTTAAATGAACAGTTAATTTCATCTTGATTTAATTATATTTTTACTGTTAATTACGTCTCATGTTGATTAATAATATTATTAAATTTAAATATTATTCACGGTTTATTAAGATGCAAAGAAGGATTTTGCGTGGATAACTGAAAAATTTGGAGGAAAACTTTTTTCAGCATGGAATTTAAGAGCTCGGCATTGCTGGAAATTCGAATTTTTAATTTTTTTTTTTTAATTATTATTCCTCTCTGATTCATGAAAAAAAAACACGAATCTTGCTTTAATATGAAACTGATTTATTTCCATTATTTCTGATGAAGAAAATAATTGGCGAATTTTAATGAATTACCATCTCACCGATAATTTTAATATTTACGTCCAATTAAGTTTTTGCTCACTCAAATCATCTTTTACGAGTCAGAGTCTCTTTAACTCTCAAGTATGACTTTTATGCCAGAAATTAATGACCCCGCGCGCAATTCCCACTCGTCATGTTTTATTCATTTTACCGCAATTCATTTTTTCTCCAGCAAAACTCATGCTCGTAACTCACCTCATTAGCCGTCGGTCGTGTTTCTCTTTCGCATGCAGCAGAAATAAAGGAAGCAGCGAAATAATATAATTTGCATGGGGGGCTGTCGGGCGATAAATTCATTCATATTGGAGGCATCTGCTGCTTTTTTTATTCGCCTGCCTTCTTCTGCGTATGTTATTATTGCCTGCCTGCCTTCTTGCCAGAGAGCGAAGAGCGGCTCTTGTTGTTGTCTTCTTCTCTTCTACCTGGCCACATTCAAAGTGGGTGGGCCACACAAGTCAGCCGAACCAACCAAGCCTCCATGCCGCCGCTTCATTAAAAATCAAAAAAGGAAAGCCATCTCCATCTTCCTTTGTTGTTCGCTTGTCCCCAACCTCGAACCTGAATCAAAATTAGGAAGAGAATTTTCTTTTTCAAAAGTTATGAAATATTCTCAAAAATTGTGAACCTGATCTCTAAATTAATTTTTCAAATTAAAAAATTGAAGCGGAAAGACCGGATAGAGGAAAATTGCGTTGCTTCCAATTAAGTGCAATTAGACGTAATTGTTCTCAGTGTTAATTAAATTTAATTGGAATGCAATTACCAACATTTTTGGAATTTTTCTTAATTAATGAAATTAAATATCTTACTCAAATTGCAGTTGTTTTTACAGTTTTACTCTTTTTGCTTTCAGGGAAAAGCGTCCGGCCGAAGGGCTGTTTTGTGGGTGCGCTCCGTGGTGCAGCAGCATCTTTTCCAGCTTGGCTGTTTCGTCCAACGCTATGCGGGAATAGTGCTCTTCTTTGCCGCCCTTTTGCTGGCCGCCTGCATTATCGGCCTCAAATCGGCCAAATTCGAGACCAAAGTTGACAAACTCTGGGTTGAAGGTAAGTCCAATTTTTTTTTATACATTTTGTTTGCTCAAAATCGCGATGAGTTTCACGGAGATTACCGAGGGGATTTGAATATAGGGGATGCCAATTTTTCTTACCCCCTTTCTTGCTTTTCCGATCTTTTTGGAGATTTCAACGCCGGCATTTTCCGTACCGGAAAAAATTGCGAATGCGGGAGCAGACGGCTTCCTGCAGCATCTCTCTTATCTGTCGCGTAACGAAAAAAAATCTGCTGATGAATCTGTCGCGATAAAGTAAAAAAGTAAGAGATGCCACTTCCTTAGCCAGGCGAAGCTCATGTTTCACGATAAGGGTGCGCGCAATCGAGAAAGTTTGACGCAAAACTCATGCATGCAGAGCACAGGTGCACCTATACTTACCAGATGACGCTGATTTATAAAAAAGGCAAAAAAAATTAAACGCACAGAAGAATCTTGATTTTTTGCATTATTGTATTAATCGATTTCTCATATTTTGAAATAAAATTGAAAGGAAAGTTAAAGGACAAGTATTAAATTAGCATTATAATTATTAATTCATATCACATTAATTGTGATTAATTTTATATTTAATTAAATTGCACCGTAATATTTTGTCTATAACTTACATTTTTCATGGCCTTCAGAAGTTTTTGCCTTTTAATTTTTTTTACTGCATTGTTTTAGTTAAAATTAAGATTAATTTAAAATGTGATATAAATTGAGAATCTATTTTTATTTTACAAATATTATGACTCTTGTTGGATTGATAGTGAAGATGTAGAATTTGAGAGAAGAATGATAAATAAAATTTTTGAAACGAATTAACTAGCAAGATTTATAATTATTCAAGAAAATCAATAAAATGATAATCACTAATATTAAAAGACTCGAGATTTTTATTAGAACCTCCATATTGGGTTTTGTCTAATAAATATCTCTTTTAATTACTCCCTCCGCCATTAAAGCCTTTATATTTTCCATATTTTCTTTAAATCAAAAGTTGTTTTTGCTCATCATTCGCCTTCTGGTTTCCGCCTCTTGCTATGCGAAAAATATTTCAGTACCTGTTGCTGGACTTAAGGGCCGTGACGCGTGACTCATTCAAGGTGGTTTTTTTTTCTATACTTGGCTTTTATACTTTGCTACTGTGCTCTCTTTCTCTGCGCTGCTCTCATTACCGAGCTGCCAATAATTGGATTCGCCCGCGTGCAAAAACGATTGTTACAAGCGGCGGCGCTCTTTCTCTCTCTCTCTCTCTGGCAGGCCAAAAAGGTTTTGAGGCACCTGGTCTTGGATATATATTATATTGCCTAGCTGCCCAGGCGAAATTGACTCATTATTTCTTTTAATGGAGCGCCACTGAACGAGGCCATTCCTTTTCGCATCAGCGGGCATTTTTCAAGAATAAAAATGCTCGCCGGCGCGTATTATTCATATTGTGTGGCATTCTTTCTTTTCTTTTGAATTCGCCGCCTCGATGCGGCGCTCGTTGTTTGATTCGAAAGTCATGAGCCGGCTCGCCATTAAAATCGCTCAAATTGCCGCGTGCAGCTTTCTTTATTTGTCCGGCACTCGGCAGTGGGTGCATCTTCATCTCAAAATGACCAGAGCGATCAATCAAATCCTTGTAATGTAAAAAAAATCTGAAAATATTTTGGATTTATTTTATATATTTATCAACATAAAGCGATGCAAAAATTTGTATAACAATCCAGAAATCGTCAATATGTTGTATTTATTACTATGGGATTTTTTTTCTTTCAAAGGAACGAACTTAAAATTTTGGTTAATTGCCTTCTTTCATTAAATCTCCAATGTATGTCAAATCATCAAATTGTGTTTTTTTTAGTTCTTGTTCAATTTTCTTTTTCAATTTGCAAGAATTGGATAGTAAAATATTAAAATTTAAGCCTGGGTGGCGCGAGAAAACTCGTCCTTTTCCCCACCGCGAGTGAATTGTCTGTCTCGAACGCAATTTCCAGTTCATGCTCGGCATGCAAATAAGCCAGCAAGTTTGTTTGCAAAGCGGCAGTTTAATTGTCACCACGGGGTATTAGCTCTATAGAATAAGTGTGTACATGTAACTTGATTTATGCACTATGCTATTGACCTACTCTCGAGTGGTTCGCTCCAAATGAGCGGTCACTCTCGATTACGTTCGCACCGCTGCTCTTGCCAACAAGTCTAAAAAACTTTTCCCCAAAAATTATAAAAAAATTGAAGCGTTTGAAAATTTTTAACCAAAATAAGTATTTTTATGGTTGAAAAATTTGAATTTCCAATCCGAATTAAGGCGCATTAAGCGTCGGAAAGGCCCTAATTTTTTTAGGGCGCAGGGCCTGATTTCATTGTTGGCCGCGCGCGATGATATTATTACACACACTCACAAAAAGGAAGGCCGCATTCTTGTGAGCTGGTGGGATATATATTAATTTTGCCGCTAGATCCTGGCCGCTCACATGGCTCCAGCGGCTCCCCACGTCGGCCTCGTCTAGATCCTTTCGCCGAGCGCAACGCCGCTGATGTCTTCATTAAGGCAGTCCAGGTGCAGCCGCGCTCTTTCACATCTCTGCGCCGCTCGCTAGGGGCCTCCTCGGCTCTCCACAGCCGAATCGGCCCTAATTTATGCACACAATAGGCGCCCACCCACCCTGGCCAAAGCCACCCTTTCTGTCGGTCTCGTTTCGTTAGACGCGAGCCGGGGTTGTTTTTTTCCTTCCATCTTTCAACTCTCGCGGCAGAAAAAGCTGCTGGGTGCTTAAAAGCAGGCAGGCGCCGCCGACCGACGACGCCTATTCTCAAATGAGTTTTTCAGTCTGGCCCCAGTGTGTGTGTGTGTGTGTGTGTGTGTGTGTTGCACGGGATGAGAGAAAGAGAGGCAGATAGATCAAAGGTGCCTCGCTTTGATTGCCTATTTTATTTCTCGCTACGAGATTCCTGCTAACTTAGTTTCAAAGCGAATGTGCATTTTTTCATAAGCGTTTTTCACCGCGCGGTCTCTTTCGTTTCAAAGAGTCTTGGGTGATTTGTTGAATTTTAAGACATTCGGAAAAGGAAGTTGTGGTCCGGCAATGTTCCAAAAGGATTACTTCCGGCCCTCAAATGCGCCCAGATATAATTTCTTAAAATATTTATAGAAATATTAAGAAAAACAAGTAAAACGAACAAGTCAAAAACTAGTTAATAATAACAAAAATCTCTGGAAGGTTCTCATATGTTTTTTCTGAAACTGTGTGAGAAAAACTTGGATTTAAAGAATGGAATACAAATCAAAATTTAGACTTTTAATGAGAGTTTTTGAAATGGCTCAAAATTAATATTTCTGAGTCACAAAAACATCACAATTTCTATTGTTTTTCTCACGTTTTCAGAAAAATAAAAAAATAATACGTAAAAACCTCTTAAAAATTAAACCCTGAAACTGCTTTACGCTTTAAAACACACAAAAAGACACTACTCCAAATTTAATTGTTATCGCATCAAGTGAGGAAAAAATATATATATTTTTTTAATTCCATTGTAATTTATAGCTTTAAAAAAGTCGAAATACTTAAAGGTTATTTACTTGTATTCTTATGGATCGTTTTCATCCTAGAATAAGATTCCTGGATAATCAGGGTAATTTCATAAACCACAACCGAACGAGCGCCTCGATCTTAATTTGCGCAGTCGAAATCGTCTGGCCAATTTCGCGGCACCTCTGCCAAATTGGTCGGCCCACGAAATATATAATAAAATTGGCTTCTGCTGCTGAAAAGAGTTGGTTGCATCGCCCAAATTGATCCATCAGATCTCCCTCTCTTTTCTCTGCCAGCAGTGGTCGTGCCGATTATTACAAACGCTTCATAGACGCTGACTTTTCACACAGGTGGGGTGGACACCCTCTGCCTTTTTGACATTTCTGTTAGAAAGGGTCCCGTCCCCTGAAAGCAGGCAGCACAAAGGAGTGCTTCTTTTCTCTGCTGTGGTCCCCGAGTTGACAAAAAGAGATTCAAATTCTTTGTACACCCCCCTCAAGCACATTCTGCTGCTGCTGCTGCTGCTACCTTGACGTCTCTTTCTTCTTTGGCCCAACAAAGGCGTTTTTTTATGAAAGCCTTTTTCAAGGAATCCCTGCTTTTTCCTACGCGGTGGCCTCAGGAATTTTCGCTATTCTCGCCCACGAGAAATAACACCACCGCCGCCGTTGCAGCAGTCAATTTCACTTGCTTCCCTCTCTCGATTTCCATCCACTGCGAGAAAAAGCCCACAATTGGAAGGATAAAGGCAATAAAGTCATAAAAGTGTCCTGCCGGGGGGGGGGGGGGGAAAAAGAGGCTCTGGGGACTTTTCAATTTCCATATCTTCACCACGGTCCGTCTGGCCCCCGGGGGGTGACAAGGGTTCCCACAAGAGACTCAATTTAAATTTCTCGCACTGTCAAATTGAAGCTCCGTGAAAAATTGAAATCGAATTTGATGGGGTGAACTGGACGCTTGACCCAAAAAGAAAAAGATCAAAGTAGGGACTCCGTCTAAATTTCTTACCGGAGAAAGGAAAGGAACTGAAAATAGATATAACAATCATAGAAAATAATTTAAATTTAATTACAATTTCTTTTTTCCCACTAGTGCTCTATATGATTGATTGATTTATTTATTTCATTGAAAATTAAAAATAAGCTCTTAGAATATTTAATTTCTTAAAATCTTTGCATTTATTTTTGAATTAATTTCTGATTTTTCTTTCCAATTTTTTTAATGTCAAACTAATTTTTAAAGAACAAACACTTGTCTTTGGAAAATTCACAGAATCCAACTGGTGTCTAGGGGAGGCTATGAGAAATTTCAACCGAACCGAAAATGAAGTTGTTTGCCGCTGTCATTCAGTCAGTCGGAGATGAGAAAAGCTGAGCCAGTTTGGCAATTAGGCGCGTTTCACGTGTCAGTCAGCCAGCCATTTGGGGATGGGGGCGGCAGGGGGCAAAACCGCGCCGGCCAGCCGCCGCTTGTGAAGAGATTTTCCTGGAAGTCGCCTCCCTCGCGGCTTACCTGCTGCTCCCGCCACTGGGGAGGTCTGACATGCAAGACTGATGATGATACTACTCCCATATGCTACCTGCGAAGTGCAATTTTAAATTTGATCCACTGCCATTGTCGGCTTGGAGAAAAAAAACGAGCAGCCCGGGAATCCTTACAACGCTCAGTACGATCATAATAATATATTAAATACGAGACCAGATTGAGTTTCTCAGCAGCAACACATTTTCTGCACTGCTAATTTTCCCCCCAACATTTGATACACCGTTAACTGCTGCGATTAATTTTGTGGTCGAGCTGTTTTAAATGTCTCGCGACAGCCGATTTGCTCGGTGTGGTATTTTATGTGAAGCAACATGTGTGCAGAAAGGGAGCTAAGGGGCTTCACTCGCCGAGATTTTCGGCGGAATTTTCCCAAGGATTTAAATAAAAATTCAACGCAATTTTATTTGATCGTGGGTGGCGGAAATTCCACGAGAAATATTTTTGTAATGAATTTTATTATAATTATGAAATTTAGTATATTTTGAGCCCGTAGAGACTTAATAATATCATTTACTCTAATTAATTTAAAATAAACTTCGCAAATATCAGTCTTGAAATTTATGTATTTATAAGCATTTGTTTTAAATAAAATTTTCCCTTGCAACAATATTTTATATTCATTTCAATTCCGATGATGGTATCAGAAAAAATTCTCCATGGCCGGGAGATGGGCGAGTCTGATGGCGAGAAAGGAAAAAAAACGTATTTTTTTTCTCCCCTTTTCTCGACGCGCGATGCATTCACTTATTTTCCTCTGATCCTGGTCGCGAGGCAACCTGCGTGACCGGGATGCACGCCCAATTGCATAATTCGCGCCGCCACGACCATAATCTGTGCGTCGCTGGAGAGTCGAGCGAGTGAGCGAGCGGCCCGTCGGCCGGCCGCGTTTTATTATGATTGTATTGTGCGGCTGGTTGGCTGAATGAGGACCACACACGCTCAAGAAATACGACCCTCGCGCAATCGAGCAAAAAGCAGCAGCCTCATCGCGTGCGAATTGCAAAAGCCACGACGCCCGCCCGGCCTGGCTGGTGGGCATCCACCTTAAAACGTATAAAGTTGCCACGGATTCCTTCCCAAACAAAATTGTCTCCGTTGTCAGCTTTTGGCAGCGAATCCGTAAATATTTGCATTTTTATTGCCGCCGTCGAAAACGAGAGAGACAGAACAAAGAACAATTCAAAAGTCTTTAGCAAATGAATCAATTCGACTCGCGCGGCTCCTTTTGCCTTCATTAAATTATTGTTTCTAGGAAAACAAAATCATTGGTTGAATTTTTATTAAAAAAATGTTCTTTCCTCGCGTCTTTCCGTCCGTATGGTAACAAAATACCGAGGCGCCGCCTCTGTCACCCAAGTCGCTGCTGAATAAATTATTACATTCTTTTTTTCGCTGCGTGTTATTCTGTGGGCGCGATGATTGTGGTGCAGCATTGTTTCCCAAGCAGAGAGACTCACTCAATTCAATGGCAGGGTGTGCCGCACAATTTCAGAAAATAAAACATGGCCACGATCGAGAGGAAACAAGAATTGTGCTCTCTCGCAATCGATTCGACAAAGTGCGCGATCGTAAAATTTAATTCTCTTCCCGCTGGAATTTGCGACTTGATTTATACTACATTTTTAAAGTAAACGCAAACTCTCATTTGTGTGCAGATATAAAAAAAGTTGGCACGTTACCAAAGCAAAAATTCGGTGAAACTGAGAAAAATGATGCTTTTTCTGACGCCTGCAGAATTCTCGTCTGCGGGCCATAAAGATAATTGAAAATCCGCGCAGGATGGGAATAATTTTTTCCACGTTCGAAATTGCGCAACCAAAAAGTCGGCTGTGTGTGTGGGTAAGAAAATCAACAAGCCAGAAGCGAGCGAGGCTGCTTTCTATAGCTCGGACCTCACACGTCGCGCTTCATCGTGTGTGGTCTCTTTTCTTACCTTCAACGCCGCGCCCCCTTCTACATTATATCCCCATAAGGAGATTAACAACAGCCTAATTATTGCCATCCAACCTATTGTGCCTCTTGTCACTTTTACGAGAGGGTATCAATAACGACTCCTCTCGGCCTGCGATGGCCGCGCGCTGCACATACAATAAAAACCGCGCGCCTTGTTACTCTCTGGGGCCGCCAACTCTCGTCGTTGTCCGATGGTCACACCTCAATCGCTAATTCTCCTTGTGACGTTTTTCCTCTTTTTAAATATTCAAATGAGCAAACCTCTCCGTTTTTATTTATTACACAAATTTTTATTTTTTATTATTCCCTTCGGAACTCTTTATTTTATCATTTATGCGTGAATTGCATTATTCATGGCCTCGCTCCTAATGCGACTTTTATTTTTTATTTTCGCAGAAGGCGGTCGTTTGGAGAGGGAGCTGCTCTACACGAAGCAACAACTCGGTGAAGATGCGTCCACCACGACGCACCAGCTGGTCATCCAGACGCCTCGCGACCCTGAGGCCTCTGTCCTGCACCCGTCCGCCCTCTTAGCACACCTGGACGTGTTGCGGGCAGCTTCGGCCGTGACCATCCACATGTTCGACGTGTGAGTTATTAATTTTTTCCGCTTTATCCTTATTTTATTAACAAATACAACCGTTTTCCTCAGAACCTGGAGGCTAAAGGATTTTTGCTACGGTCTAAGTTTCCCCTCATTTGAAAAGCAACACATTGATGTAATTTTTGAGAGCCTTTCTTCCTGTGCCATTATCACGCCACTCGACTGCTTTTGGGAAGGGTCCAAGCTGCTTGGACCGTATCATCCTGTTACCCTTCCGTGAGTATTTTCACCTTTTCCTTGTGAATTAGAGTGATTCATTTGAAAAATATTTCAACAATTTCCTTGATTTCCAGTGGCGGTTCTCATTGGACGTGGAAAAATTTGAACCCTCAAGAACTGTTGGAGCAAATGGAAAAGACCTTTGGAATCCAAGACCCGTCATTCCCATACAGAACACTTGAAGATTTTATGAAAAGGGTAAATATTTAATTAAAAAAAATTGGAAAAAATTATATTACTGACTTTTATTAATTCTTCAGGCTGGGATCACCACTGGTTATCAGTACAAACCATGTTTGAACCCCATGGACCCAGAGTGCCCAGAAACGGCTCCTAACAAGGGCTCTCCATACCCGCCAAACATTGGCTCAGAACTGACTGGAGGCTGTTATGGGTACGCCTCGCGCTTCATGCATTCGCCTGAGGAACTGATTGTCGGCGGCGCCAAGTTTAACACCAGCAGTGGTCACATGCTGCGCGCCAAGGCTCTCCAGACAGTCATCCAACTGGTGGGGCCCAATGACATGTTCGAGTACTGGCAGCGGTCCTACAAGGTGGACTACAAGTGGACTCCGGCCAAGGCGGCTGCGATCATCAACGCATGGCAGAAGAAGTTCACAGACGTTCTGAACCGACTGGTGCAAGGAGAGGCAGTCCAACTTGGTCCCGAAGAGGAGCACGACTTCAACCCCAACAAAGAACTGAATCAGTCCCATATGGCCAGACTGTCAAACTTCAAAGTCGTCTCTTTTTCGTCATCGTCCCTCGATGAATTGGTGGCCGAGTTTTCCGAACTGAGCATTCCAAAACTGGCAGCTGGCTACCTCCTTGTGGTGAGTGCAAATTAAATTTATCCTTTCGAAAGGTTTTAAATTTTGTGATCAATTTTTCCAGCTTGTTTACGCAGCCTGTGCCCTTATTCAGCTAGAGGACGTTGTCAAATCCCAGAGCGCAGTGGGCATTGCGGGCGTATTCCTCATTGGTTTAACTGTCACTGCTGGTCTAGGTGTGTGCGCCATGCTCGGAATGCCTTTTAATGCGACAACCACTCAGATCCTACCATTCCTGGCCCTTGGACTTGGCATGAGTGACCTTTTTCTACTCACACAGGCCTATGCAGATCAGGATCATAACCATGGAAAACCAGCAGTAAGTTGATTTTTTGTATTTTTCATAAATTTTTACCTATAATAACTAACAATTATTTCCAAGATTTAACATTTATTTTTGTTTTGTTTAGGAGCAAACTGGCCACGTTTTAAAGAAAGCTGGAATCAACGTCTTGCTCGGATCCCTGAGCAAAATCGGCGTCTTCTTTGCAGCTGCCATCATCCCTATCCCAGCTCTGCGCAACATGCCCCTTCAAGCGGCCATCCTGATGCTCTTCCACCTTCTCTCAATGCTGTTTGTGATGCCCGCCCTGATCAGCTTTGATCTGATGCGGCGTCGGGCAATGCGTTCCGACCTGCTTTGCTACCAGGACCCAGTGAGGTCGCAGTCAAACGCCGCAGCCAAACCTGACCTGATCCGACCCATTCGGCAGTCAATCACGCGCGCCCTTCCCCCAGACAGACACATAGTGACCACTGTGCTGGCACCAGAGGCCACTGTGGGTGCATGGGAGCGAGCGGACGCACCTCTCAAACCCAGCAGTCTGGAGGACGGCTGGCCAGTGCCTGCATGTGTCAAAAAGTGCCCATCGCTGAAGAGGCTGGCGCAGTCCCAGTACGGTCCCACTATCACCAATCCAGCAGTCAAGGCAATTGTCATGCTGCTGCTGATTGTGGTGTTGGTGCTTAGTGGATTTGGCGCCCTCCGACTGAAAGACGGACTTGAGCTCACAGAGCTGGTGCCAGCCGAGACAGACGAGCACAACTTTTTGAGTGTGCAGAGAGACTACTTTGGGTTCTACAGCATGTATGCAGTTACCCAGAATGGTTTTGAATATCCCAGTGGACAGAAATTGTTACACGAGTACCACAATGCATTTCTCCAAGTGGAAAAAGTTCTTCGCAACGACGACGGAGGCCTGCCGCCCTTCTGGCTCAGCCTCTTCAGAGACTGGTTGATCGATCTGCAGAATGCCTTTGAGCGCGACTGGCACGAAAACAGAATCACGACTGAGCGGTGGTTCTCCAACGCCAGTGACCAGGGCATCTTGGCCTACAAACTGCTTGTGCAGACTGGACGAGTCGAGCACCCCATTGACAAGTCACTGCTGACAAGAGCAAAATTAGTTGACAACGCGGGAATTATCAATCCCAGAGCATTTTACAACTACCTCAGTGCATGGACGGCCAATGATGCGCTCTCTTACAGTGCCAGTCAGGTAATTAGAAAACTATTTCATTAATAATTTTTATTTAAAATTTTTAAATAAATTTTTCATAATTTTTTTTAACAACATATAAATTAATTTTTGTCAACAGGCCAACCTGAGGCCAGAACCAAAAATGTGGTACCACGAAGCATCCGATTATGAGCTGAAAATTCCCAAGTCCCAGCCCATCGCCTATGCCCAAATGCCCTTTTATCTGCATGACCTTCACGACACGGCGGCCATGAAGGACATGATCAAGCAGGTGCGCAAGCTGTGCGCCAAGTTTGAGGATAAGGGCCTCCCCAACTACCCCATCGGCATCCCCTTCATGTTCTGGGAACAGTACTTAGGCTTACGGCAGAGTCTGGCTGTGGCGCTGGTCGTCGCGTTGGCTGCAGTGAGCATCACCATCCTAGCCCTGCTGCTCAACCCGTGGATGGTGCTGTTGGTGGCCATCACTTTGGCAAGCTGTGCCTTGCAGGTGTTGGGGATGCTTGGCGCCTTTGGCATCCCTCTCAGCGCAGTCACAGGAGTGATCACGGTGCTTGGCGTTGGCATTGCTGCCCAGCCTTGCCTTCACATTAGTCTTGTAAGTTCAATAGATTTGCAATTTTTAAATAGAATCTGACTGTTTATTTCCTTTTTTAGAGTTTTCTTACCGCCATTGGCAATAGAAACAGGAGAGTTAGACTCTCATTAGAACACATGATGGCTCCCGTGATACACGGCGCTGCTACTGCCCTGCTGAGTGTTGTGATGCTTGCCTTTTCCCGCTTTGATTTTATAGTCAAGTAAGTTTCACCGACTTTTTTTCATGGAAATTTGTATATTAAATTATATTTAAAAATTTCCAGGTACTTTTTCCTGTCATTATTAGGAGTGCAAGTCGTGTCATTAGTTAATGGTCTGCTGTTCTTCCCAGTTTTGTTATCAATATTTGGCCCTATGGCTATGGTAAATTTATTTGCTGAATCAAAATTAGAATCGAAGCACTAAATACTTTATTTCATTTTAGGTGGTGCCCCATGAGTTTGAGGATCGAATATCAACTCCAACTCCCTCACCGCCAAGAAAGCGCCGCACATCACAACCATCCTCCACGCGCAACCCCCGTCGACCAATTGTGGTTGGTCAGCAGTCTTCGTCCCAGAATTGCGCCCATCATTGCCGAGAGCCGTCACTGTCGACCATAAGTGAAGAGCCCAATTCGTATCAATCCAACACTCACGAAGTGGTGGTCAAGCCTGAGTTGGTTGTGCAGACCATGACGCACCACTACCACCACAACCACCCTCCGCCTGCTCACGGCGTTGCAAGTTGCCCAGAGGGTTGTCCTGCAGCGGCTCCCAAGGTGGCGCCCCAAGGGTGTTCCAAAGGCTGTCCGTCGGCAGCCAATACCAGTGTTCCTCCCCCTCAGACAGGTCACATGACCACCACCAGAGTGACAGCGACTGCGAAATTCAAGGTGGAAGTGCACACACCAGCTTTGGCAGCCGCTGGGCCGATCAACACCTCTGCCTCCACGTCGTCGTCAACTTCGTCGTCCATGACCTCAACCTCGGACGAATCTGGGGATAGTGGTGGAAGACTGTCGTAGTTTAGAATTGAAGGAAGTCAACAAAATTCAGCCTGATTTGGACTTTTAAAAACCGCTTTAGTAATGCATATAGGGCGTGAATGCTAGTTGATTGCCTTTGTACTTAAAAAGCAGCCTCCACTGTACCTGCCTTAAGAAATGTACTTTTTTGCAAATCTGGACACAACCTTGCAGTATTTTGTACAGTAGCCCTTATGAGACTGAACCACAATACTCAACTACTACTACTATACGATTAGCATTTATACCTTTTTACGATTAATTAATTTATTACTTGAGCAGATGATTATTTTTTATAATGGTCATACCACCTCCAAATTCACAGCTCAGCAGCTTTTTACGTTCAGGTCTTTTATTTATTTGGACTGAGAGAGCCAGTCTCTGTATGTTTTTATGTAAATTTGAACTGTACAGACCCTAGTTTTGGGTAACTTCATAATTTATATACACACAATGTGCTGAGTGACGGAGACACTCAAACCTACCTCAATATAAGGCAGCCTGTATAGTCGCGCCTGTTGCTAACTAAAAGAAAATAATAAATAAAACATGAAACATTTCCTCCCAATTGAATGCTTTGTATTTTATTTGGTATTTATTCCTGCTGCATTTTTTTAATCAATAAAATTAATATCTAGAGTCAATATATATATCACATATTACAGTCAATAAATCAAATACAAAATGAGAGTGACTAGATGCGTGGATAACAAAACAATTTAACAAAGTGGAATGCACACAATAAATAGCGAGTTATTGTTGAGATCGGGATATTTTCTTACTTGCCGAGAGACTGAACCTCAGCCTCGATGTTGGCTCTGGCTTGGGCTTCAAAGCGGTCTCGACAGACATTTGTGAGAAAAATATTCGGTATCAGCAAAAATGTTTGCAACGCCTAAATTTTAATTAGGATTAATTTACTAACAATAAATTTTTATTCCTAAAATTTTAATTTTACCTTTCTTCGCATTGCATTGTACGCTTCATCCGACATAAAGTCATACTCTTTCCTCTCCAGTTTGATAATGTCCAAGAAAGCATCACTAACAAGCCCCAAAAATGACATATCCAAATCTTGCAGTAGCTGGACATCATTTTCGCCATTAGCGTTCTTCTCAAGATCATCTTCGTTTCCAGTCAGTAAAGCTTCAACTTTGCTCCTTAATCCTTGCGGCTATAATTTTTAAATTCAAGATAAAATTTTTGATTATAAATTTATTTATTTAATTACCAAATCATTAGTAGAGGCAAACTCTTGAAAGTGAGCAAGATTGTTTGTGCTGGCTCTGTCCTGAGGATCATATTCGTAGCTAAAATTATGAATTTATGAGTAAAATTCATCAAAAAACTTGAAATATACATACTACTGGAAAATTATAGCCAATATGACAGCATTCATGTCAGAAGCTGTTCCAAGTTCATCCAACAGTTTGAACTTGCGGTCCAAAAAGGCCACATTATGGTAATGTCTGCAAGGTTCCTGGTAAGCTTGAATGACTTTTTCCCACCATGATTCGCTGTTGCTTAGATTACCACAGGCTAATTTCCAAGCGTCTGCAGCATTCATGACTTATCAAATAATGTATCCTACTGGAGTTTAATCTTTTAGGAATTTATGCTGTGGGGGTTTCCAGTGATAGGAATCAAATAAAAATAATTTTGCTTCGATTTGAGCGTCGAGCGACCTATATAAACAGCAGGCAGGCCTGATCAAGAAGTTTGGTGTAATCAAAGGAGTAAAAATAAAATCAAAATTAAATTCTTAAAACAGGTAAATTTACACTATTTTGCAGTATATTTAGATAAATAAGTTTATACACATTAATTAAATTACATTTACTGGCAAATTATCCTAAAAACATATCATAAAATATTAAAGTTTATTAAATTGTGGTTAAATCCTTCCCAAAACCACTTACAATCAGCTGAAAAGGCCAAAATAACCACGCCTGCCTCACAAAGACTGCTGCGACTGCTGTTGAAAATTTTAGGCAGAAGTAAAAAATTAAGAATTATATCACAATATTTATAAATGTCAGCCTCTTCGGTCCATTTATCACGAGTTCGGACGCTGTACAAAGCAATAATGAGACTTCATAGAGGATTGCCAGCCGAGCTAAGTGAATTAGGCACTACATACACAAGAGATGAATTTAAAAGGCATAAAAGCTGCACACCAGAAGAAGCCCATGTATTTATGGTCGAATGGAGTGTAAGCATAAAATTTACTTCCCTCTATCCATTTTTAATCAGTATATATAATTATGTTATATGTACTTAAATTATTATTAAATTAAGGTTGAATCAGGTTGAATATTATTCTTTTTACTTTTTATTGTTACATAATCAAACCAGCTCTATTTTGTTGCTTTTTATTAATACATATTTAGTCTTTTTTTAAAGAGAGAATGAATGGTGAATAAAAAACAAACACATATTATGTTTTTGTTTTTTTTACAGAGATACGCATTAAATCTGGCTGAGCAGTTGGGTTTGAAAGGAGCAAAAAGTTCTAAGCCGATTGGAAATTCATTTTCGGAAGAACACCTGGATAATTTTAGGGAAGATCAGATCGCTCAACTTTATGAACTTAAGTTAGCCGCAGCAGGTGAAAGCAATGATTCTGGAGAAGATAAAAACTTAACCGAAAGTGAAAAAGACTCTAAAAAAAGTGAATCAAACAATAAAACTTAAAGAGCGTGATGAGTTATAGAGTCAGATTGAAAAACGCTTTATTTGTGAATGGAAAACTCTTATTTATTTCTTAGCATGATCATCGAATAAAAACATGTAAGCACAATAGAATTAATAGATTAAATAATGTGATTGTGGAAGTTTGCTTAATATTATTTACAATTAAACAAACAAAAAGCTGTGAGACATTTTAAGTACCCTGTTTCTTAATGCAGAACTTAATAATAGTAATAAAGTAAGGAGAGTGATGATAATTACATCTGAACAATTGTATTCAAGAAAAATGCACATTTTTATGAAGAGAATCTACATCTCAAAATAGACATAACATTTTGGAAGCAAATTAAATTAATTGTTATTTGATTCTTTTACAAGAATTGACAGGGACATCTTAGATTACTTTGGACCCACATAGATAAAATTCACAGGAACTAAAAATCTAGCGTACAGAAAAGAGCTGATCGTTAACAGACTTACAGAGAAGAAAATGTAATATAATATCTTTTGAATGCAACGAAAAAAAATCACTTCGTCTCTCACAAGACCCAAAATTTATTCACTGTCATCATCATCATCATCACCATTCCTTATGATTGGTGGCACACAGCTCTGATCAGGCAGCAGTCCATGCTGCACCAAGAAATTCTCCACATCACTTGCGAAAAAATCATCCCCGAATTCATCAGTCATTCGGACAAAATTCCCTACAAGCTGTCCGGCCTTGTAGACGAGAAGCGCCGGCACCCCACTAATCTGGAAGCGCTCGCTCATTCCGGCGACCCGACTGCTTACCTTGCAGAACTTGACCCGAGTGTACTGCTGGCTCAAACAGACCAAGCAGCCGTTCATGGCCTCGCATCCCTCCACGTCTTCTTCGAAGACATGGATAATCACGGTCACTCCTTTGTGCTCCTCCTCGATCTCAGTGAGGAGTTGGATGCTGTCATTAACGGGGATGACCTGTTGAAATTTAAAAATTTCCTTAATTATAAATAAGAGAAAATAAATTTAAAAATCTAATAATCCTAATTTAAAATTAAAGGAAACATATATGGGGAAAAATTTGCAATTTAAGAAAAAAAAATATTTATTTTGACTCTACCTTTCCGAAATTTGGCAACGATGTATTGTGTGCCAGCATTTCAGACATTCGCTGCTGCATGTACTGCTGAAGGAAAGGGTCCTCAGCAAACAGCTCGTCTTCTTCTTCAGCTTCCTTTTGCTGCTGCTTCTCCTTCTCTTCGTCCTGGTGCGACCGGCAGGTCAACGACAGCTTTTTGAAAAGGGCAAGACGTTCCTTCTCCTTCTCGGCGGCGCTTTCGGCCTCAAGCTGCTTGAACCTTTGCCAGTCTTTGATGACACCCTTGGGTCCCGTGTTTGTTGACGAGCCCTCCCAGGGCCCCACGCCCTGAGAAGGCCGAGCTTCCGACTTGACCATTTTGCCACCGGCCTGGTTTTCGTCGGAGCCGTTGCTGTTGTCATCCTCGTCCTCGCTGCTACTACAGTAATAATGAGTCTTTTCACCTAAAAGTTTGTCGTCCAAGGTAGCCATGGTACCTGTTGAAATTAAATCAATTTAGTTATTTTGGTTTTCCTTTGCAGGCTATTATCAAAACAAACCTATCTTTCTTATAACATTATTGAAGTTTTTATGTGAGATATAAAACCAGTGACCCAAATTTTCTGTTCTTTTGATTAATAGACATATATGAGAAAGAATAAAAGAAAATGAGAGGGCAATGTTATGACCTTCTAAAAACACAAAGAACAAGTCAATACATATTGACTTGTTTTTGACAATACATATGTACCTTTTCTAAAATTACATTTTAAAGCGGCTAATTATCAAGGCAAAAATAAAGGTCCAACTGAGATTCCTCCACCCCATTTCAATTTGTAATTAAATTACGGCTTGTAAACATTGTGTGAGTTTTAGAGTTGACTAAAGTTTGATTTTTTCGAGAAAAGATGAGTGCCGGGGAAACTAAACTTTGCAAAATTTAGAAGAAAATAATGTGATGATGAGAATTTCTTTCAATGGGGCTCAATAAACCTACCTTCTCTCAGTCACTGCGCCAATTCGCAAAAAGATGCCTGCTCGCGACTGCCACTGCTTTCTGTTCGTGAGAATTGATTGGGTTTTTTTGTTTACACGAGTGACCAAAGGGAAGTAAACCGGTATTGAAATCAGGTTTTTGCAAATTAACTGAATCTCAAATTTGACATATATTTTACAGCAAATTGCAAAGAAAAACTTTAAAAGTAGACACGCTCTTCTCTAAAATGCACAATGTGACTTTAAGTTGTATTTAATTGGATCAAAAGCTTGACAAAACGTGAGCGAAGAACTGAAAACCGGTCAATTTTCAACAACCGGTTCAGAGCAGCGACCGCGCCCCCTTTTTGCCCATTCTTCGGAATGCAGGTTATCTGGTTGAATGTTTACACCGTGAGATGAGAGATGTCGCGTAGCGCATGCGAATATCAGACGGGGGTTGATTTTGCTCTCGGGGAACAGCAGTGGAGAACAATTGCTGTCCGTGGGTGAAGAAAATTGCGGGCCATCGGCTGGCGACTCAACTCTGCACCTGCGAGCACCGTTCTCCGGCACCAGGTGAGTCCTCCAACCTTTCTGGCACCACCCTTGCCCGGCCCGACGGCCTCGACTTGCAGACAACCGTCGGCCAAGACGACGGCGGACGATCTGCCGTAGGTTGCCCCCGGGGGCAGTTCGAGAGCCCCGACGCAGGGGCTGCATTTGGGGCCCCGAAAGGAGCGCTTGATTTTGAAAATTGGCCAATGAGACATCTTAGGGTTATTTTCAAAACAGATTTTACGTGCTCGGATACGTTTGCCTTGGCTGATATATGGACAGGGTTATGTGGGTGGTTTTGGGATAAATTATTGGCCACCCTGCGCTGGGCAGCTGGGAGAGACGAAAAATGATCAAATTTTTTGTTCGTTCTTCTCAAATAGAAAGTTTAGTCGTTTTCCAATTCAGGAAAAATAAGATTAAATTTTTTTTTAATTTTTTTCATAAATCATTCATCTTTATAGGAATAAATTAAAGTTACTAAATAAAATATAGCTAGATAATAATGAGAAATTTATATATTTTTGTAAAATTATGCAGGTGTGACGAATTATTTTTGGCACATATTTTTTCGGATCAGAAATTTAAATAATACTAACAACACTAATTTGATCCAAAATTCACATAAAAGTAGCAAGTTTGAATCAATTAATATATTAAATATTTATGTTGAGTGGATTAAATTATTGGCCTGATGGTAACTTTTATGGCGAATCAATTTTGCTAGATTTCCCAAAGGCCAGTGTTTTAAACTGCGCGTTAATGCTTCACAAGTTTATCCCGTAAAATAAATTTAACACAAAATTGATGTCCCCGCCACAGATTTTCGTCTAACGAAAAGTAAATGACGTTTTGAAGAAGGAAAACTGCAGCAGTGTATCTTGTTCTTTTGTGTCGCGTTTGCCGTCGAGGACGCGGCAGCCGCTCTAGCATTAACGTAAGCTGAGAGTCTTTGATACACTCTCGCGGGCCATTGTTCTGGCTGACCTTTAGAGTGGAGTGACCTATTCGGGGTGCCCTCTGAGCAAATGACACCCCTTGCCAGCACTTGACTCTCTCCCTCTTAACAGACTGTCACGCAATTTTCTGCGGAATGAAATTTCAAACAGTTTTTTTTATTTTGACAAAATATATAAAAAATAAATGTAAAAAAGATTTAAAATAAAATGTCAATTAATTGCCGGCTGAATTTTTGAAACAAATAATTTCTAATGAATTAAATATTTTTAATCGTCTTTTTTTATCATTTATAAAATTTCTTCTTCATTCTTGTTTATCGTTGCTCCGAGGGATAAAAGATAAAGTGTTTGGTCACCTGGGCTGGAATGTGGGTGGGTGAGTCATCTTTCCTTGTTCACCGACCGACCGACCATCAAGGGAGACGCACGTGCACAAACAGGTCGATTGCACATATTTGCCAACACCCCCGGCAATACATGCTCTCCTCTTTCTCGCACGGACAGATGCACACTCTGCTGCCGTTTACGTGGTATATTTTCTTTTTTTTTCTTCCACTCCTTTTCTTTTCGCAACTCGCCACCAAGCCGAGAGTGCAGGCACCTTATTTATTTATTTATTTATTTTCCCCGGCGTTGCTCTCTTTCTTTCTCTCTGCCAAAATTGCCCCGGTCCTTGACATTAGCGGGCAAAAAACGCTCAACTCTTTCTTGGCAATCGCTTGTTTGAAATTCCAGCGCATTTCGCGTACGCAGGCAGCTAACGATCTTTTTCTAATATTGGCTCCTCAGACAGAGAAAAACAGATTATTTAAAAAAAAAAGATCAGATTGAAATTTTGGGGGAGATAAATTTGATGCTTTCAAAATATATAAAAAATTGTGGTTCAAAGAAAATTTGAGGTTTCATTTTCTTGTCTTCTTGTAACTCATAGAACGTCGTTATATCTGGGAAACTTGCGTTTGGAAAACTCCGTATCCATAGTAATTTAGTGTTTGTTGTTGAGAAAAGAGAAATCATTGGGATTTCTCGAGTGCTTTTTGGAGCAGAAGCAAAGAAAAGAGTCTGATGGAACTCCGAATACAACAATGATTACTATAGAGAAATATAAATAATATAGGAAAATCTATGTTAAAAGAAAAATCTCCGGTTGCTTTGTGACTAATTTCAGCATTTCCCAATATTTTTATTTTCAGTGTCATTCTCAGTCATTCCTTTATATTTTTTTATGAAAAAAAAATACACAATATATTTTATTGCTAAAATAAATTTTTCATTCTCTGATCTGCATTAATGCTAGTGGTAATAAAAATAATAAGTTTTAACAATAAAAATTCAAAAGGGAAACTTTTCCATACGTTCTGGTGGCGTGGAAATTTCGCATCTCCTGAAAAAGTATCCAAATTTTATTCTTTATTTTTATTTTCAAGACCAATGAAATTTTAATTATTTCTTTGATATTTTTGGATTATATTGATTCAAATTGAGAGTTGTGTGAGGTTGATATCATTATTAGTTAATTAGCCTTCTCCTCCTAACTTTAATTATTTTTTGCGTTTCGTAAGAAATATTAAATTACTAATTAGTTTTAAAAAAAAATGATAAAATGATAGATATAAAAACCATTTGGTATGGGTTTTATGCCTGAAATTAGCTTATCTAGTCCACGGTGGCTCATAACAGGCACAGAGTCGCGAAAGTGTGCTGAAATCGTTGTCCAATGAAAGGAGCAAAGAGTCGGTGGTGCATCGCAATCGGTGCAATGGGGTGACGACATCAAAGGACATTGCAGGCAGGAACAAAAAGTGAATGTTTATTTAGCCGCAGCGAGTTAGAGAGATGGCGAATGGAGAAAGAGAGAGAGAGAGAGGCACGGGTCATTAAAAATGTGTTTCCCGAGAGCGAGATTAGCAGTTGTGTTACGCGCGCCCTTCTTGGCATCCGTCCACGCGACATTTTTAGCAAAAAGACAGAACGCGCTCACTCTCCGAGAGTGACTCGGTCGGGGTCACTCGGCCGCAGATGCAGCCGTGAATGGACGCTTGCTCAATTCTGGCCGAGTGCATGCGCGGCGGCCAGTCTCGGCCGAAAATCGTGGTCGGCCGACCCGGCTATTCTCGGCCGCGATGAGATTCGCACCGCCGCGAACACAGCCATTGATCCTGCAGCGAAACAACAACAAAACGCAGCGCCACGTTTTCTTTCTCTTCTTTCGTCCGGCGCACTAAAATGTGACGCAACTTTGGAATCTCGGTCGGCCAATTTTCGGATGCACACAAGCCAACCATTTCCAACAACTCGATTTATTTCGACGCTAATTGCGACGAGTGATGCGTAGTTTAACTTGACCTTCCCAACGACGAGTAAGCTTTCTAATTTGCATTCTCTATGAAATGAAATATATTCAATTTGAAAACTAGAGCAAGAATGCGGAAAGAGAAGAGAAATTTAAATTACAACACAATAACAACAAATAATCCTTGAAATTTCTTTAAAGTTAGTTTGCATTCATTTTTTCTCGCTTCGAAAATACACTAAAATTTAATATTCTAGTTCAGAACTTTTTACACTGGAATTTTTAGTTATGCAACCGAAACGCATAAGTGACAAGCAGGTTGCATAATTTGATAGAATCGGGATTGATTATGTTGATTAAAATTTTAAATTTTATCCTTTTTGTCAAAGGACTGTAATATTATGCGATTTCAAATTATGACCGTCTTTTAAAAATCCCAATTTTTGGCACCAGGATGGATTAAATTGAATAGACGTTTTATATTATTGGAATGTCCATTGTAAATATGCGGTGATAAGGAGCATGACAAAATTTAAACTAATCTTATTTCTGATGATTTTCTACTGAGAATCAGGACAGAAGTTTGTAGGCTTCACGAGAAAATCAATTCATGCCAAAACTTCACTAATTAAGTACTGAGAATGAAAATTATACGACTTCTTCCGTATATTAATGACATGACAAAAAAATATTTTCCTTAATTTATCATTTTCCAAATGTTCTTAATAACTTTTCTTAAAATTGCACAATCTTCATACTATAGTGGTTGGAAAATCATATAGCAAGAAGACAGAGGGTCTTCTTTTCTTGTGACCATAGCAACCTTTGAAAGGAGCAGTTTTATTTCTAGAGTATACAACAATGACCAACAATCTTCCTTTGATTTTTGCCTTTTAATTTAATAATTATTTTACTCGTCAAATTTTCGAAGGAAAATTATTAATTAACCGTCATAATAATGAAATTTTACATTGAAATTTTAAAACATTTATTAGTTTTCCAAGCATTAAAAATGTTGAAATTGAATCAAATTATAAAGCATTCTATCAAAAAATTTCATTTCTTGCCAAGCAACTTTCTTTAATTGATTATTGATTCAAATAAACCTTTGATAGCAATTAGGTTAACAGATGAGCAGTGCTGTATTGTAAACAGGTTATAAATTCCATGCACACCGGTGCGTCTTCCCGCACTGCGACCGCAGTTGGTTGCGAGCGGCTTGCATGTTGAGCTTGTACGTTGCGTCAGGTGAAAAATGGAAAAGACCGTTGCACCACCGTTTGCTGTTGGAGTTGCACTCGGCGAGCTGCACTTTCCAGCACCAGCTGGCCGTCGACCCATATATTAATCAGGGAGAGAACGATTGCGCCCGGCAGCTCGCGCCGCAGATTGATCAGCGAGCGAGCGCGCGCGGGTGCTTTCCGCATGCACACCCGCTGCAAATGCAAATTTTGAATAATGACTTGCAAACATCTCTAATGCTAATTATCTCGCGCGTCAGCAACACCGATTTCGCCATTAACGCTCAGCCGGAAAATTAATTCAAGTCAGCTTTGTAATTTGTTTGAATTGCATGCGATCCATGATTTCAAATAGAGAAAATAATACATGTTAATTCTTAGGACGGGGCAACTAGTCTGTTGATAAGTTTAACTAAATTTTTATTTAACTATAAAAGTAAAAAAAAAATCATTTCCTTTTATTTTGTTTTTGTTTAGTTTTCCAGTAACTATTTTTCCAATAAAATGGTAATGTTTAATTAAAAAATT